CGTTTGAAAATACGACGAAAATCATATTGTTCTTAGAAACCTTTGTTACGTTCACCGATAAACTATTAAAATTTATCGCGTAATTATTACAATACATATACCATAATTTAGATGATTGAATTGTATTCCAGCTAGAAAACTATGAAATTAGTAGAAGTTTTTTTCAACGCGCTGGCAAAATCACACGAAATTACATCATTTCTTTAGTAAAAGTCATTTTTTTTTTAAATTACAGTACCTACTTTAATAACATAAAGGCTTGGTTTTCATTCAGCTTTATTCGTTTTTAATAGCTATGTAAATTATATTACATCAATTATATTTAATAGCATATAACTTTAAGTACAAAAAGAATAATTTTGTTATTTGTTTCGATTATTTATCTCTATCAATCTTTATGATGTTTTTATTTAAATGTTTCTATATAAAAACTGTAAGTACATGTCAATGTCTTTGTGTGTTCAAAGCGACGTGCTAGTATTGGCTTGTTAACGAGCAATTCTCGATATGCTGACACAGAGTGATAGAGTGATGCGGATAAATGTATTGAGGAACATTTCTATTTGTAAATAATACTTAAGTGGAACTGTTCCGGGAAATACTTATGAATTGTTTGTAAGAGCTACTGTTTGTTTTAATTATATTATGAATCATACGTACTCGGAATGTTTTCTATGTTCGGCTGTATGGTGTTGAGCAATTTCAATTTGACAGTTCGAATATAAACTTTTTTGTTTTGATTATGTATATATGTCATTTTGACAGTTCGAATAGAAACTTTTTTGTTTTGATTGTATATATTTATAATCTGTATCGATGCTAATTATAGCACTTGTTAATTGTTAATGTTTAGTTTTAGCATTTTAAAAATGTATTTGTTTACATTTGTTTGTAATGTGTATCGTGTGAGAGAATAAATCAAACTCAATGGATACTACACGTGTGGCTCATCACACAGGGCTGTCTGATTATATTATAAGTACATACATACATATATTAAATATATATCTGTTGTAGACACATAGAATTATAAATTTAAAATAACCAGAACTTTTAAAACTCTTCAATTAATAGTTTGACTTCATCAGTACTCATCAAAAATAACTGCAACTTGATTTTTAATAGCTTGTATGAATCCGAATTACCCAATTAGTATTGCCATCGCGATTACATAAACAATATTTGTAGGGTGGTCAAAAAGAATAATACGCTCAAAGTCGTTATATTCTAAGCATAAAAATAACTATACATAAAAATAAACTAACGATATATGGTTATATATATAAATTAATTTAGTATCAATAAATCGCTGGCAGCCCTGAGTGCAACATGATAGTTGCATCTACCGCGGTCAATCAATGCCGATTTATTGCTTACTGGATGGCGTTTGTGACAATAATATAACACAAATTAGTTCACCTGGCCTGTGCTAGCAAGGGGCTTGGTGCTGTTGATGCTTAGAATATATATATGAGACTAATACACTATATATACATATATTATATTTAATGATAATCTAGGTAGATTTTTTGAGTTATTTTTTGTCGATCTTCTAGTTCTTCCTAAGTAACCGACGATGATTATATTTATACATATAATTTATATAACAGTATTTAAATATGACGTCATATATTTTTTATACGTAATTATTTTTACTTATCAATTCTCATTCATTATAATTTATTTTGCTAGAGTTACAATTAAGTCGCGTTTACACGATAAATTATTTTAATTTCGTCTTATAATAAATAAGATTGGAGTAATTAGATTCGCTGTTGATTTCTATCTATGTTTATCAGCACATAACTCTCGTGCAAACCCACCTTAATCACGACGGTGGATCGATATATCAGTATAGATATTGCAAATTATCTAGCTGCGTATAAAATTGACAAGATTTACAGACTGAACAGCATTTGGAGTGGAACGGGACCCATTAATATGGCTGTCCTTTCTAGATTTATAGTTCACTAAAATACTAATTAACTTATAATGTTCTGTACAGGGAAGAGTGTTGCGGTAAAGGAACTCGTAGTAGTTAATAGAAAGATATTAATCATATTATACACGTATATATATATATATATATATATATATATATATATATATATGTATGTTTTCAATACAAAGGAATGTTCATTAGTTTCTGGCATTACATATGAACCTAAATGTGACAATTACTTTGTTTTTTAATTTAGAAATATTTATCGTTTCCGACCATATAAGTGGTGTTTAAGAATGTTATTAAGTGTTGTTCTCACGATACAAGTTCTTACTTATCCATTGACTTAAAATATTCAAATAAGTTTTACTATAGCTTTATTAACATATATGTATATTGGTATGTTCACAATTGGTAGTATTTTTTTTAATTATTAAATTTATTTGTATTGAAAAACTGTCAAATAATACTTTTTTAAATGTCAATACATATAAATCTGCATTGCCTCAACATACAAAGGTCTATGTCCACACAGCACTCTAGATTATAATTTATCCAACAAATAAACTCAACATAAAGTCTCTAAAACGTTGACATTAGCAGAATATTACACTATTCCAGTGGGAATGAAGAGATAGCATTAAAAAAACTCACATCTATGTAATTGTTTTGCTATCAAATTTAAAAGTATCAATAATTAATTTTAAATCATTATTATCTATATTAATTGTCATTTTTTTTCTACATTTTATTATTTCGAAAACTTACATATTCGTTCGTTTTAAACGTAATTCCCGCAATAAAGCTAGTTACTATTTATTTTAATTGTAATTTTTTGTCCACATTATGTAATTTCAAAGAGTAGTACTTACATATTCGTGTTTTAAAGTAATTCCCGCGTCTAATAGCCATAGAATATTTTGTATTCGTGATCGTAAGTTTATTATTTCAATATTCTATAAGTGTAAAGTCGTTTTAACGTCCCGAGTATACATATCATCGCTCGTCTTATTTATAACGTGGTCTTTCTCGATTTATAGTTTTAGTTTTCGTGTTTCCCATTGCACCAATTAGTTGACTGAGATGTCCGCCATTGAGTGGACGCTTATATTTTTTATGGGTTCATATTTTATTAGGTTTCTTGTAAATTAAACTCGGTTTCCAATTTCTATATAATGAAGTGGTTGTGGATATCTAGTTATATTCTGTGTAAATTTTCTACTACCGTTGTACGTCATAGGTATGTGATTTTGTATATTGAATAGAATATGAGACATGACTGCTTTTTAAAAAAAAATTATTTGAAAAAGAACTTAATTTTTTTTTTGTATTTTTTAATGGGCAGAAACTTTTCCGTTTATTAACCTTTTAACATAATATCACGTCCTTTGACTTTACTTCTTAATTACTGAAATCCATATATTTTAAAGATCGTCTGAACCCTTACCTATTTACTTGTCTAAGTATGAATAAAAACATCGCCATAACTGTTACTGGGAAGTTTACGCCTTTTGGTTCATCACTAACTTTAGATGATCCTTAAAATTAAGGATTTCAAAAATTAAGAAGTAAACTCGTATAAACGTGATATTATTTGGAAATCTTTATGGATTAGAATGATCTTTTATACTCTTAGATGTATCTGTGATGAGAAATAAGTGGTTTAGGATTCAGTTGTTTTTCGTCTGATATTTTTTTTATAATAACTACATCGAGGATTTCCTAATTATAAGGTGTCTGAGAGTTTTTTCTGTGAAATGTATGACTTATATACATACATATATATTGTAAGACAGGATTATTTAGTCATTCCTTTTACGACGCTGTTCACTTATAATTTAATATATTAGATATCAACTGCTTATCCTTGGCTTCATAATTAGTTTGGATCTTCATACTGAAGTAGAGTTGATATGAATAAAAAGCGAAGCTCTTTATATTTGACAATGTATATATAACTGGTAAGTATTGTAGAAAAACTATTAACGTCCCGTATATAGTATGACGGTACCAACTTGGACTAAGGTTAGGTAACCTTTCAGGTTACTTAAAGTTGTTATATTCGTAAGAATAAACGCATCAATTAAAAATTAATATATTTTCCATTTCAATAGTAAATCACACGGAATCTTCGGCTTTATGGTGCCCACTACGAGTAATTCATATGTCGTCGAATATTATCTATTCATATGTATAAAAAATATATGTATATATTTTTTTATCCTCAATGAACTTATGATCCCTCAGACGAAAAATAGATATAAAAAAAACTAAAACTATTCTCTATTTTAATTGTTGTTGGATGGGTATCCGTTTAAGATTTATTTTACTTTTCATTGCTATATTAATGTTACTGAACACAACTTACTCCCGAACATAAAATTTCTTCGTAATATTATAATTACATATGTTCTGCTGTAAAGTCTTAATCCCTACTAATAAATGCGAAAGTAACTCTGTCTGTCTGTTACGCTTTCACGCCTAAACCACTGAACTGATTTTAATGAAATTTGGTACAGAGAGAGTTGACCTCGAGGAAGAACATAGGATAGTTTTTATACCAGACTTTTGAAATGTTTCTCTTGAAAACGCGATAAAACCTTTTCTCCACGCGGGCGAAAAGCTAGTATGTTATATATTCTATAGGCCTACCTACCACGGGTTCGAATCAAACTATAAAAACAGTTTACAATTTTTTATTTTACTTACATTGTTACTATAAGATTTTGAGATTTACACATCACTTTAATACGTGTAACTTTCGGTATTTAGTTTGGAGATACCCGTACTAAGGTTAATGTTATACAATTACTTCTTTAACATGGTTTCGCTCATTCGATGGCAAATTCGAGTAATGAGTTATATTAAGCTTGCTTGAATTATATATTTGCAATTTATTGTAATTTATAACTACCTGACTGTTGTCTGCGATATTATTTTATTGCTTTGCGAATTTTTACAGCAGTAACACTTACATTGCTACTAGTTAACATCGTCACAATACATAAAGATTATTTACAGTTTTTCATTCATATTAGTATGTGAAAAAAAAGTGACGATGGAAACTAGTGGTAAGTACACAACAATGCCCGTCAAGCTTTAAGTTTTTAATATGAAGTATTTATTTCATTTTTCTCGTGTTTACAGATCAATTTACGTTAATCGGAAACTGGATATAACTAAGATTAATTGCATTTTCAACTATAATTGTATTATTTTTCTAATACTCATTTTACTTGAGTAATTCGACAATAGATCACTATTTTTATATTCTATGTAATTTTCAATGTAATGACTGCTGCGAATTCATTTGATGCAACTTATATGTGGTTTAGTTGTTGGAGTATGTGAAGTTGATCGTTTGTTGCAGGCGTTGTGTTCAATCAGTTCCCTCGCGGTGGTTTCCAGCTCCAAGCCCTGGCTGAGAGAGTCAGTCGGGATCAGGAACACTTGCCCGTACTGCCGCCGCTTTACAATGTTGTACGAGACGTTAGTATTGTTGTATATTTGTGGGTAGTTTTAAATTATTCATATGGTTATGTATTTCATATCTCTGTTCATTTATCTGATAGACGCCTAGAATTGTATGAAAATATGCGAACTGATTGAGGCTTTTCATTAAATATATAAGACTGTTTTTATTTCACTTTAGAAGGTTTTTATTTAGCCTTTGTTTAGTTATCGTGTTATAATTATCATGTTTGAATTCGTCTTACATCAGACCGCTAGTTGTTCCCGGAGTACATACTCTCCGCTGCAGGCGCTTAGTGAGAGCACATGCCGAGACCACGCCGCGCCCGCGCCGCCCCCACCACCGCCACGTGTACAGGTATACACACACACACTCACACACACACACACACGTACATATAAGACATACGAAGTTATATAAGAGCAAATCTTCGAGCGAGATCAAATCAGCGGTGACTAAGCTTTAGAACCGCTAAAGGATAGAATTTGACATACAAGTACATTCTCTGGGACGTATACCAGATATATACTCCCAGTAAGAACTCCATGGATTTGTTATTTCTTTAATTAAACCGAAGTTAAACGCAGACATGACAACCTTTATACTAAAACACACGAAGCGTAATACCTACATGGTTCATTCATTATGATATAGACGGTACAACTTAATGCACAACCTAACCTAACAAAATCGAACCTAACCTAACAAGTATACTTCTAGGAGTCGCACTCGCAGGTGCCCAATCAAAGCGTGACCCTCCATCCAGCTGTAGCTCGATGCAGCGCTTCCTTAGAGCTGTCAGCGTTATGGCGCAGCTTTCACGAGCTGGGAACTGAGATGATAGTAACGAAGGCCGGGAGAAGAATGTTCCCGGCGCTTCAAGCGAGGCTCTCCGGACTACTGCCGAACGCTGACTATCTACTGCTCGTGGACTTTGTACCGCTCGATGATAAGAGATACAGATACGCCTTCCATAGGTTGGTATTTGCAGGATATGACTTATATTGTGTTCTTTAAATACAGATAAATAATGATATTGGCATTGTGGTCGACGATCATAGCGTGGTTAGACTTGGAATTAAAAAAAGCCATTATTTTTTTTGTTTTAATTTTTGATATAATGGTCTAAAACGGATATACACGATAAGATATATTTGTTAGAATTTATTTTTAATTTGTGTTTTATTTACTTTTTAATTAGCTATGTTTGTATATATACTGCTGTTTGGATTCAATTTTAAATTTCCATTAAAACAAGAATCGTAATAATTCTGATCATATATGTACTCATTATTTTAAATAAATACCGTTTATGCAAATATTACTACTATTATTATGCACATTAAGGTTTGTGTATCGAAATTTATTCTATATAGTTCTCTAGGTATACCTTTATATACTTTATATATCAGGTAAGAAGGTTTAAGAAAACTGTATAAAATCCGTGTTCGGTTTAAATATGCTTTCTTTTGATTAGGATATTTAATACCTATTTTGTATTACTTTGACAATTATTTCTTTACCATTGAACATTATTTTTATCATCATTGCCATAGCTGAGCGTCCATTATATATAATTGAGCATTACTTTTGTAAAACATCCATACAGCTGAGCGACTATTTGACCAAACTCCTATAATATTATTACTTTTCCTTATCTCGAAAATTTATAAATTTTGGATGCCGAGCGACATGATTGTATCAACTTTTATCCTCTCAAACTTAACAGTACATCATGACAGCTGAGCGTAAATTTCTACAAATAATTGCTCAAATTTTGAGCATGTATTTTATCTGCATTGAGCGCTTATTTTATGATCATAAATCATATATATATGTTTAGTTCGAGCTGGGTAGTAGCTGGTAAGGCGGACCCAGTGTCTCCACCTCGAATCCACGTACATCCTGACTCACCAGCGGCGGGCGCTCATTGGATGAGGCAGCTAGTCTCCTTCGATAAACTCAAGTTGACGAACAATCAGTTGGATGACAATGGACACGTAAGTATAATATAAATTAAACACTAAATAATCACTCATTGTGAAAAAATATATAGAAAATATTTCAGCTTAAACTTTGTTCTGATAATCTGCTTTCTATCTAGATACGCAGATTTGCACTATCCCCGACGATGTATATATATATATATATATATATATATATATATATCTTTGGTAAAACATATAGATCCAGTCTTAGGGAAACTAATTGTGATTGTGAATTAATAAAAAATAATTATATAACATACAAATCGATTGTTTCAATTGAAAAAAAATCTATTGAGATCTAAGATTTTCTCGAGTTTTTTATTTATTTAAATGAAACTAATATTATTGAGATATACTACGCGTGCTTTATTTGTGCAGAAAACTACATACTTCCGACGTTTCGGCTACTTTTCAGCAACCGGATACCGAAACGTCGAAGTATGTAGTGTTTTTACGAAAAGAAACTCGCGTAATATATCGGAACGGAAAAAACATCATTTTATTGAACACATAAAAATTATACATATTAAAAACATATCTTCCTATAATATATTAATCATATAGATAATCCTGAACTCGATGCATCGCTACCAGCCTCGTCTGCACGTGGTCTTCCTGCCCGGAGACGGCCAGAGCGCGCCGGGGACCGTCCCCTACAGGACCTTCATCTTCCCGGAGACAGGGTTCACTGCTGTCACCGCCTATCAGAACCATCGCGTAAATAATTAATTAATTTTAATATGACATTGGCAGAATGTGCCACGATCACAGCCTGATTAAAGACGTGGAGATTAAAAAAAATAAATGTGTTTATTTTTTTTATATGATGAAATCCTCTTTTAGTAAACTATGTATTTTATTTATATGTATATTATGGGTATTTTGTATATTTTCAATAATAAACATCCACAGATAACACAATTGAAGATAGCCAGCAACCCGTTCGCTAAAGGCTTCAGAGACTGTGATCCCGACGATTGGTGAGTTTTTCATTATAGATACTTTATTAAAAATTATATATTCTATAATAACCTAGTGTATTTCGGACATTCCAATGTAATCTTAGAACAAAATACACAAAAAGAAATAAAATCAAATAGACGACGACTTACATAAATATACAAATTACTTCATAATATTTTTTTGACAAAACTATGAAAAAGTTTCGAATCATCTGTATTCGTATTACTTATTTAATAATAATTAAAACGTATAACATCCATACATAACTATCACTATCCTTGCTACTATATTCAGATATATACACGACTTAACCCGCACGTGATAAACATTTCAATACATATATATCCCAATAAAACTGTTCCGGTACACTAATTACGTCACAGCACAGGACAGCACAGTAGCCATAAAACGTTAAACTGAACCACATTTCTCTATTCTGTGTCACAACATGAATCATTACACATTACACACAGGCCGGCGACAATTTACTTTTACGAGCTCACAATAAAGAGTTGCGCGCGACGTTTATAGGTGACGCTTCCCGCCAACATTGACATACGAAACGCTTTATTGGTATACAAAGTATGTTCAGACTTGAATGACGATAGAAAAGTTATTTATTTATTTATTATTAACATTATTATAAAAAATAACAATTATTTTTTGTTAGAATAACCATAAATATAGATATTTTTTATTCTTGTTAATTATGCATACAGATTATATATTTTTTTTGTATTTTACACACAGATGATACAAAAAAATTACGTTTATTTTCTATGCAGTATTTTTTAAGTCTGAATAATTTTACATATAATAAATATCCGCCCATAGCGTAACTAAAAATAATATCTAGTTTCTGTAGCGTGCATTAAACGCTTGTTTACGCGAGCTATAGCATGTATTGGTTTGATACTCGGTAGTAAATCTCTGGCGATCGTAAATTGTGGATTGCACTCGGCTCAAATACCAAATCTAACCAATCGGGAGACGAGATTAATAATTTGGTAGCAAATGATCAATTTTTCACAATATTTAAACTTTTTCTTTAAAAAAAAAAACAATCGTAAAATTCATATGTCGATTTTTTTTTATAATATGTTTTTAAAATAAACAAATAAGTCATTAATTATTCCATTTTAACTTTCGCCATATGCACAAACAGAGATGGGATGGGATGGGTGTATTTTTTTATATTTCCCGGTACGATAGATTAATATATGACTGTCATTTGTCGCGTGTTGTCAAAATAGTTATTAAGTTGACCCGAACTATTATAGGTTTTTATTAGAAACATATCCCCTTAAAGTAATGTGTACGATATTCGACTATTGCTTGCTATTTTTAATAATTTTAAAAATTGAACATCGATTACTGTGTAATAATGAAAAGAGTATAAGTATTAGTAGTTTGTATATTAACAATAATACTCGAGATTCCGTAAAGAAGAGAAATTTTATTCTCTTTTTTTTTAACTATATAAAATCAAAGATTATAACGTCAATATAAATTTCCCTCCAAAATAATCTTCCTTTGCAAATAGACTCAAAAGTTTACTTCAATGCTTTCATTGTAAGGGGATTTTGTCGAAAATTAGTTTACAAACTCTAAATAAGTAAGTTGACTGACTTTTATAATGAAATAAATCGAACATTTAAAATGTTTAAGTAAATACAGATAGTTTATTAAACATGTAAAATATTTATCTATGATATCTATCGATATTTTACAGGTTTTAAAATATACACCAAGAATTTGTAGCGTATTTGGAAGAGGTAATAAAAATGTAAATACTGTTAAATAATGAGCTCATAATAATTTTTATTAACTAAATTACTATGTTTTCGATATTCACAATATTATTCCCCCTATGTATGTATTTGTTAACATACAAAAAAAATTGCGATATTAATTTTTTTAAATGTTAGTGTTAGTGATTAATTAACGGCACACTTATGATGAATTCATTGAATGCTAAGAGGTTTCGTCTCGTCTTTTATAACTCGACGTAATGTTTCCATACACTAGTCTGTATGTCTGTATGTCTGTATGTGTGTATGTCAGTCCACCAGAGCCGGGCGGACAGCGGGCCCCCCGGAGGCGCGAGGAGGGTCCGCTGGCGCAGCCCTACGCCGCCGAGCCGAGCGCGGGGGGACCTCTGTACGCGCCACACGCGCACACTGTCAGGTATGATACATACATATAATATAGCTATATAAATCTCTCTACACCCTACTAAAAGACTTGGGCTTGTCCAGAACTCACATTAATGCATTCTTGGAACGTACATCGAAGGCAGCCCTTGTAAGTTCTTTTCAAATTTGGTTAGGTAGGGAGAGGAGCTTGGACAGTGGAGGTGAGCGATTAACGCGCGTTACATAGGGCCCACTTAAACCTACACCTGGGTCACAAGTCCCAGTCACTGTTGAAGCTCCTCTCACTACAACGATGGACCCGACACACGCACCGTGAATACATGAAATGATGAGAGGATTCGTCTCTAACATTTTTATGTCACTATGTTATTTACCATACTCCTTCGAAACCTCTTTACCGATGTTTACCAAATTTCATATGCGTATTCAGTAGGTTTGAGAATCGGCTACTATCTATTTTGCACACCCCTATAAAGTGGTAACGGTTGTTCACCATTAAATTTGATTTTTAAATTTGTGGACGGAATTTATTGTTTTTTTTTTTTAATGTGGAATTAAAAAATACATACAACTAAAAATTTTTACTTTTTTTATAACTAATTCCTATTTTTTATATGGCAAAACAACGTTTGCCGGGTCAGCTAGTATATGTATATTGAGATGTAAGAGTTTCGCGAGTATTTATTTAAATGAAACTAATATGCGTTTCCTTGATCTGTTCGTGATCACGGTTGCTGCAAAGTAACCGAAACCTCGAGAGTATGTAGTTTAAAACAAATAATAACGCATAGTAATACGAAATATAGTAGTTTTTCTCATATATATATATATATATATTGTAATAATTACTATCAATTTTGACAGATACCAACCTCATTCAAGTCACAACAGCTCGTACACAGCGTACTACGCCCACAGATAATAAAAATAAATGATTTTATATGTAGATGTAAAACGAACGAAATAAAAAATATAACATTATATACTTTTCTGTTTTATAATTTTGTTAGCGTATAAAATTTGATTAATATATGTATGTAGTTCTAAATTATGAAATTTGTGTTCTCTTGTGCCTTATAGAATTAAGTAATAATAGGTCAGTATTTATTATTATAGATTTATATAATTCTTTTATATATTAAAACAATATATATTTTCTAATTATAATTTATTTTATAATATACTTAAGGTATAGAGATGTAGAAATTTCCAAAGATATTTTCTTGTGAATGAAAAGTGCTATTAAAACTTTTTATAAAAATTATCTTGTTTCGTGGTCTTCTAGATTTTAAGAATAATTATTTTTTTCACTAACATTATATATTTCTTTAGTTTCTACTAAGTTGTAGTGTATCTTTATATAACTTAAGTGTTAGGAGTGCAACCAGTCTGTAATTATTTGCCAAATGTAACCAAAGAATATTTAGTTATATATGTATATTTCTTGAAATATAATAAAAAAAAATTACAACAGTTTGTTTCATTTATCGTACCTAAAACATTTATATACATAAGTACATAGATATACGACTTAAAGCTTTGAATAATAAAAAAATATGATTTTATTACATTAGTAGGAAGTAATATTGCATCTGCTGTGGTAGTTCTTCGATTTTGGGTGTTTTGAAATGCGCTTTTTCGGACAACGTGTAAGTCATGACGTGGTTCACTGTAGATATACCTAGTTGATCTTCATCGATGACCACTTTAGATGAGACTGTCTCCTCATATTCTTCTCCTATCATTTCGGGTTCAGGCAATATTGGTTCATCTAGTAATACAACGGTCATAGGTTCTAATGAACAGTAGGGCAGGTATTCTTCGGTGGGGTACGGAATGTAATTATAGAAAGTGGGTCGTTGGCTGACTGGGGCATGAGAATGTTTTGGGGCTGGTATTTGGGTTTCAATCGGTGTGTAATAGTAGTTATAATTAGGAGACTCATTGTTATAATCCGGTTTGAAGTAACATACCTCTGGTTCAGATGATTCGCTTATATTTGGTTGAACTCGTTTTCTGTTAGTTTCGATTTGCGTGTCATTTGGACATGATATTTTTGGGGAAGAAATAGTTTTGGTAACATTCTTCAACTCCAAAGCGTTCTGTAATATGTCTGTCATTTCTCTAGCTTGTTCATTGGCTGCTACAGCTAGATCTGAGAGTATTTCAGTGTCAGGACTGAAGTTTATTCCGTATTTATCAGCTATTTCCTGGGCGGTCATCATTTTTTCGATGGCCACGTTCTGGTATTCGTTATTTGATTTAATATGTTTGAGGAGTCTCATGACCAAGTGTGTGCTATCCATTGGTGTTTCAATCGATCTCTTTTTCCTCAATTTATTGTCTGCTTCTTTGTCGTTGTAGTTGATAGCGTATGATAGAAGATTAGCCATTTCACTCTGGAGCACCATAGTTATCTGGTTTGCCATTTCTTTGATGGCTTCTAATTGTTCTTCGGGAGATTTGTCGTTGAATGTAGCTTGGGCCATGAGTGATGCTGATGAAGTCGGGTTGAAATGGTTTCCGAGGAAGATGTCCATCCAATCGTTGGGTGCTTTGAAGTCGTTCTGTATAGGTTCGTCATTATCCGGTTTCGTTTTAAGTATTTCCCGAGCTTCTATTTGATTTTCCTCCACGTCATTTTGTGTGTGCGTTAAAGTATTCTGCAAAAAATATTAAATAAAATTAATTTAACCGTTCTTAATATGCCATTTTATTTAATAATTATATGTTTCGTACCTGAATGAATAGCGCCAAAATCAGATAGACCACAGCCATGACGGACAGATAATGATCAGATTTTTCATTGTTACATATTTTTATACAAAATCCATCGTTGAATTAAGAAATAAATTGTAATAAGTGATGTTATTACACATACTGATAAAACATATCTTACAGACATTGGTGTTGCGTAATTTATGTTGTAAATATTTAAAAAATTAACGAAACCTCTTTCGTTGTTTTAGTTTATACGTTGCTTGAGTTTAAAAAATACATAATTTCAATTTGCAATATAAACTGTTGAGAATTAAATGAAATAAAAGCTTTTGTTTTAGTAAATTTGAAGTTAATAGTGAATTACTATTATATTTATTTGAATTCTGGAATATTTCTCAATAAAAAGATTTTTGGTAACTAAAGTTTTATTTTTTTATATTTATGTTTCATTCTGGGATAAATTACTTAAACTAAGACATTGATACATCGTGTTTAGATTAGCTTTAGTATATATAAGGGGTCGGCGGGGCGATCTCTGCGTATCTGTGGTATAATGGCGACGGGTAAGACGGTTGTGGAGGCGAGGGTAAGGTATATTGGGTAAATTGAGACGGCGGAGGTGGATACGTGGGGTAACTGTACGAATATTCGGGGGTAACGGAATATTCCCATGATGGATAAGATGGGATAGGCGGACTTGGGGTACAAGGGGGGGTATATGGTGCCGGAGAATAAGGCGGAGGAGGGGTGGGATACGTCATCGGTGGAGAAAACTGTGGACGTTCGAAATCAGGATACATAGGGTAATCGTAAAAGTTCCCCCAATTCATTGATGGGTATTCCTTTGGTTGTGCATTATAGTAGGGCTTCATAGCTGGTTTCGGAAACATTTGTGGACTGTAGAAAGCCGGTGAGCCGTATTGAATGCTGGGTTGTGCGTACTGATATGGATTCACGTCGAATGGGTTCGGATAATCCGTTGCAACGGGTATCGGAACTGGCATCGGTGGTGAATTAGGCATAGCTGGAAAACACAATTAAATTTAATACACAACAATACTAAGAAATTTTAAACAAAATAATCGATTTCTGACATCGTAAATATTGCAACATCAGCTATTATCATTATTTATATAATATTAAATGTTATTATTACAAAACAACTCAACGTCATGTATCACTTACGTGTGTAAAAAGAATTCAACATGTGCGCCATACGATCATTGAGAGAGGATATCTGAAATAATATTAATTAAACATTTTAATTATTTACTTAAATCATTAAAATCATTAATTGTTTTATAACTCACATGTGACTGTTGCAATTCATAGCAATTTGTTGCGTAACAAATTGCAATGGTCATGAAAAAAATACATTTGTAAAGCAGGAACGACATTATGACTTATCGAATCTTGCGCAATATTGCCTCGTATTATATCCAACTGATATTTAAATGGTAATGAGATCTATAATCTTATTCTAATCTGTATGAAAGCACGTTGTGACTGATAAGAGATGTCTATCTGATCATGCTTTATGTCTGAGCAGGCCTGATCAGTGTAGGAATTAGTGATAAGGTATTAAATAAAATAAAACCATTCCTAGTAATCTTATAATTTAAAATCCAGCACTTTATTCAATACAAGATATATACTTTATAAATCCTCACAGCTTAGATAAAATGCGTGCTAACAATTCTATCATAATATATTAAGTGCATTAATTTACTAAATAAAAATACTACAACAGATATATAAGATATTTTAAATCATTTATTCATTAAATTCAAATCAGTTAGAGCCGAATCGCGATTTAGCGACTATGATTTCGATCAACATGAAAATAATTGATGTTAGTACAGCCGTTATATAGAGTAGGATAATTGGTGTGACGTCATCCAGATTGACCCTTTCAGCTAGTAGAGCAGCTCGGCAGGGAGGAGGTTTTATGCGGAGGTGGTTGACTAATCGTTTGGCTAAGCCGACCTCGTGAAGCCAAGCACCAGCCTTTCTAAAAGCTGGTGTCCATTGTCCGCGTTTCATTGTTGTTACCCATGAATTAATCTTGAAATAAGAGATGTTAAAAACAACAAATCAATTGCTTTTAAAACTGGAATAACTGTGGAAGTTTCCAGAAAAAAATAATTAATTTTTTTTGCTATATGTAATTTCACCTCTGGGATCGTGTCAACACTTTGCAACTTGCACAATTCGTCGTCAGTAAAGGACTTCAAATGAGGGTAAAGCTGGTTGTATTCTGAATGGAATGCTGTACTGCCAGTTCTTATGAGCTGAACACCAACTTTGATATCCTGATAGAAGTTGCTGGTTAGCTTTTTCTTCTTTAAATATTCCAAATCATCCCAATTTGTCTCCACCTGTTTAAATATAGGCACAATAAATACATGTAAGAAAACTTGCATACGAAACTAGTAGCATAACTACATCAAACATGGTGTATTTCATATAATCGTATTCTTCAGAGGCGATAGAGTATTTTGAATCTCCAAGTGCCCTAAGTGAGTTCGGTCCGCCTCTGCCGGCGTTCATTAGAGCTGAGACTATCGCTGATGTATAATATCCGTGGATTAGAATAGAGAATACTGAAAGGACTAAGAAGGTCCAACGTCCTGATATACCCGCTGGTACGGCACTCGCATCTGACGAAAAAAACATATGTTACTGATTTGATGAACTAAATTGTTTTCTCGAAAGAACTTTGCTATATATAGAAAAAGTAGGGCAAAATATCCAGGGGTCTAATCTCTTAATAGTTCAATACATTGTCAGATCTCACACCTTGTTGCAAAGTAGTAGCTAACACAGCGATATACGCGCCATCTTTTTCATGTTTCGTCTTAGCAGTGGCGCGTTGTGCCAAAGCTAGAATGACGAACAGTCCAAGGCAGCAGAACCACACTTTGGGTGTGAAAGGCTCTAAGAACATGTTGTTGTTGCTTTCTCTCTCAGCGAGGTAAGTAAAACCGACGCTAGATAAAAAAACGTATTATTTATTCAGATTTCTTAAGTATAAGAAGCAAATCATTATTTTTTAATACCCAAATACTTGTCGCTTGTTATCGTAATTTATTAATCTATGTATGTATATTTAAAAGAAATTTGTGTTAGTTACACTAGGTATTTATAAGTCAAGAACGGCTATAGGGATTATGATGAAAATTAGTGGTCTGATAGCTTAGAACAAGGACACGGACATACGATTATTATTAATTCTGACCGATTAAAACAGAAAAAACTTAATAAACTCCAATATCTGATTGTTTACGGCATCCAGGGTGGCACAGAGTTCGTCCGCTCAGCTATACATGTATATGTTACTAATATATTATTAGTAATATATTACTAATTCCGAAATTACCGCAGACGAAGTGTCGAGCAAATACTAGTAAGGAATAAAATAAAAAGCATCTTCTGATTGTGATATATCACATATAAACTATTTATAGCAATCCTGAAATCAATGTTACCTGAACGGCCAAATACACATGACATAATCAAGTTTGACAATTCTCTCATTTGTCATACGAAGTACGCCACCAGAGAGTTCTGATGCACCAAGTCTCAGTTCCAACATCATACTGCTATTATTAATTTCTGTACTCCACAACATAGTTGGAACCAATACATCACTGCACAAAGGAAGTTTCAATAATGTATACACATAAAATAATAAATTGTGTATTGTACTTTTTTTGACTTATTTTGAGTTTGCTATTATTTAAGTACTAGTTCTTATAGATAACTTTAAAGTAAACGAACGTTGCGTTAAGTATTTCGCTAATCAACAAGCAAGAGTTGTAACTGCTTCGTATCCCGGAATCCCGCTCAGGAATCTTTATATCCGTGATATATTTGTGGAAGGTGCCATTATAGGTGTCTTCAGAATAGGATCCTATCTACAAAAATATACATATATTTTTACTCTAAGAGCTCACGATTTGTTTTACTGTAAAAATGAATATGAGTGACTATGAAATGATGATTATTTTTGAAATATTTTCCTTACTTTTAAAAATGATATAAAAGTATATATAACTAAATTCGACCTTACAAATACCAAAAATTTAATAATATCTTTTACAACGAGTGTAATAAAGACGTACAGGAGTTGCAATTCTCAGTGGATATCTTTTCAAGTTTCGTCGTCTTTGTATTCTTTCTTTTTCATACAATATCTGTAGTCCTTCAACCGTCCAGGATCCCCAGGGATGTGAGGACACTCCTTCTCCCGGATGAAAATATACATCATATATGGACACGTCTTTTACGAATTCCTTTCCATCAGCCCCTGTCCAGTTCAAATAGTAAATGTTAACAAAACTAAGTTACTATAGACATTGATTGGTGCCTTGTATAAAAGTGCAAATATTCTTTACATGTAAGTGACTTAAAGAGCGGTTATAGCTAAATGAATCTAGAAAACTGTAATCGACTTAATTTAATAGGAATTTTTGTCAAGATTATATATGGAGCCCTATAATTTAAAATACACGTGATATTTAAGTTTTATTAACTTTATGAGTTTATTTCTAATATTGGTACTACTGCTACGTACTGAAAGTACTTACATTTAATAACATGCATAAGAAATAAATCGATATAAAAGATTTTATACAAATCACACAAGTATAATGAAAGCCGTAACTAATTAATGACTTCCTTACACTTCTAATATCATTTAACGTAGAAAAAATTGTTCCCATTAAAAGTCCAGTATTAAAAATGAAAATCAAGTAATTATGAAAATTTAAGAACTAACCAATCCATGTTGAATTATTCGGAGTCCTAATAAGAAATACATCCGCGTCGTATCTTATGTTATTGACATAATCTGGCAACTCTTGGCCAACTATGATCCATTTGTACCAGTTCCCAAAATACTCAGGCTTCATCTTCAAAAGAGATGTTTCTTTTAGTGAAATTATTATGACTTTGAAATTCAAACAAATCATTATAACCTTTTGTAAGTAGTGATTATCTGAAGGTATTAAAAGAACTCCTTGTAGATAAGGATGGGACGAAAATTCTAATATGGATGGATCACAAGAAAATGTTACGTGCAAACCATATTTCCTGAACTCTTTGTTCAAATTCACCCGATCTGCAATAGATAGGTACCAAACATTTTCTCATATTCTAGATATTTCCTAGAAAATAATTAGATAGCTTATCTAGAACTATCTATATATCTTTTATCTCACCAGAAGAACTCCAGCATGCAAGAATAATGATGTTAGCAACAACTTTATATTTAAATAAAGCAGCTATAGCTTGAACCAACATGTTTAATGGCATGCAGGAAAATGGTAAATGGAATCAGATGATACGTTATATAAGTATACAAAATAAGGTCACTAAAATATGCTATTTTGCTAATAGGGTTGGTACCTAAATATTAGTTTTAGCCCTTTTCATCGTCACTGCATACGACGAGTTTTCAGTATTACATTCAATATGCTACGTTAGTACTAAAATATGTGCAAATTTATGAATGAACCACTATTGTAACTTCGTATTTGGTATGACGGTGCAAATTAAATGATTTTTTCGAATTTTATTTAACACTAAAGTATTGCTGTCGAAGTGTTTTAATTTCAATTTTGTTTTAATAGATTTCATATGCTTTTCCTTAGGTATTTATCAGAAAATAGAAAATTAAATTACATATCCCTCAACTAGAACTAACTAAAGTTGCAATGTAACTATCAATTGGTAGCTAATGCATAATACATTAATTGGTTGTGGTATGTTAAAACATACTCTGCTGTTTGAAATGCACGAGGGAAATATAGCAAATTATGGTACACTCAAATAATCACAGGGTTGTATGAAATTACACGACAAACCATAATAAAATATTCAAAAAATAAATTTAGAGAGCAAAAAATTAATAATATTTATTTTCATACAAAAACTTGTACTTACAAGAAAAAAATAAACTTATAAAATTATTGACATAAATAATTGTATTGATGATATCCTATGATATGAAGGTTAATAGTGACATTTACACGGAGGCAGCTCCAATGGCTTGGGTTCCAGGGTGATGGGAACCGGTGGTGGGACCATGTAGGCTGTCATGGGCAGGCCGGGAGGAGGGGGTGGTAGATGGCAGGGAGGGGGCGCTGGCGGAACCAGGGAAATAACTATTGGCGACGGAGCTGGCGGAGGAGGGTAGCACGAACAAGGAGATAGAGGCAACGGAGGAGGTGCTGGCATGAATATTGGTGGAGGAGCCGGAGCTGGCAGAACTAGCGGAGAAGGTGGTAACATTAAAGGAGGAGCTGGTGCTGGGAAGATATAGGGAGAGGGAGGAGGTGCTGGGACGCACATGGCAGGCGGTGGAGGAGATAGAATCATAGGGGGCGGCGGTGCGAGACAGGTAGGGGCTGGCATCGGTGCTGGCAAGAACATGGGCGGTGGTAGACAGGGTGGTGGTGACAGCATCATCGGCGGAGCTGGTGGTAGGCACGGAGGCGGAGAAGCCGGCATCAACATGATGGTAGCCGGAGGAGGTGGTGGTTCAGCCAAAGAGCACTTACTGCATTTCTCTTTTTTTTCTATAACATTAAAATCTAATAAGTATCACACAATTAAAAGAAAAAGGATATATTATGTAAAAACTCACCTAATTTAGAAGCGAGTAGAGGTTTCAACAATCTGAAATTAGAAATGTTATTTCAAAACTAAATACTCTCTGTACAATACTTATAATAATCTAGTTTAGTACTCACGAAGCCAGAACTGCTTTTTTGCATTCCTTCATTTCTTTCAACGCCTCCAGCTAGGAAGAAAAATAACAAAGGTAAGATTAAGAGATAAAAAAATATCAAATATATCTTTTGTTTTAAATCTTCAACTCACCAAGCATCCTTTATCATCACAGGCCATCACATAATTCATCGTCACCACCATTGTTGAGAGGGAGGCCCAAAACATTAGCCCCCCCATTTTTTCCACTTAACAAAATAAAACCTTAATCGTTTATGTTAATATAAATAAAATGTAACGTATTTAAGTAGACAGTTTTAATTTAAACTCGTGATTGCGTTAAGATAACGGCCAATATTACAACTTTCTGATAAGATAGTACGTGCTGATAGAAATTTATGTTTTATCACGCATAAGCTCTAAGTACAATCTAGTGTATGAGCCCATATGCTTGTTAGAAATTTCTATTAGATATTTTGTAATTTTTTTTTCGTCATATTATCTTATTTTTTAACTATTCATTACAAATAGGCTTGTAATCTATGATATTAGTCCTTTTTTATAAGTCCCTCTATAAGTTAATATATTAGGTTTATTTGTTTGTTTAGTAAGTATCTACTATTTTCTTTTGATTCCAAAATGATTTAAATTATTTTTCTTTTTGGAAACACATTTTTCAATCCCGGCCGTTATGTTCATCTTCATTAATATTTAGTTATTATCAAATTGACATTGATATATAAGTCCTCTTTTCTTTAAATTATCGAATGTCATTCTACAACTAATTGTTTAAATTGAATTTGATCTGTAATAAAAACTTTTTGCTGATTAAACGAATTCATTGTTTGGTCGTAAAGAAAGAAAATTTTATTTTCCGACACATATACGAGCTCATCCTCTATTATATTACAATTTTTGAATTGTAAAGTTGTTTCAAGTATTGCAGCTATTTCTATTAAAAATTATGTCAATAACTTAAATAAAAACTTCTGGAGCTTTAATAAACAAAAAAATAATTTGCAAGACCTTTTAATCTTACTTTAACTGCCTTAATTTAAATAATTTCATACTTTCTTTTATCAATTCGAACCAAGGTTCTTTCCGTTTCAAGAAGATTAGACATGTTTATTTTTTGTAGATAACAAAATATGCATCGTGAAGAGATCATTTTAAAATCATTGCTCTGATTTACTGGAGTTTTTTTTATAATGAATTTATTTTTAAGTATTTTTTGTTTAGCAGTGTCAGTGAGTATTTATTATTTGTATTAATAATACTGTAGATTAATCTCGCAGAATAAGAAATGTAGGCATTAAATTGGTATGAAATTTTGTGTCTCATCATTTATTTATATTGCTATAAGTTCGGAGATCTAGTAATGCGGTTTATGCTTAGTAATATTTGAAAATTAAATGAGAGCTTGTGAACTTACTGTTAAACGATTAAATTGTCAGACTATAGTGTGTCTTGGCAAATAATTAAAAGTGCTAAAAATATTTAAAGGTATATTAGTGAACGAAAGAAAGTGGATTTCAAAATAAAAAGTGATTTTAGACTATTTTTTTCGCTAGAAATAATTCGACGATCGTCCAGACAAATTGAGAGATAAGTTAATTGGTTTCTATAATATTTATATGACTTTCGTTCCCCAGGTACCAGCTACCTACTGCCTCAACCTTGGTCTTATATCAGGAGACTTGAGCCGTAAGAGTAACCCGCTTATCATAAAAAAGACATCACACTTATCACCAGTGACAATCAATATAAAGTCTGGTTTACCCAGAGTACCATATTTGCCGACACCTCTACTCCCTCGGAAGCTGTCAAGAAAACCATCTACATCACAAAGGAAAATCAAACGTCTTCTAAAAGAGACAGCGCTAAAACGAAAACTGTTAAAGATACCAAAATTAAGAAAGATTCCCAAGCTACCAAAATTCCCACGCTTACCTCTAATACCGATTTTACCTAAATTACCTCTGTTACCGTTACCATTATTACCCATCATACCACCGTTGCCTCTTTTACCACCGATTCTACCGAGTGTTACAAAACTACTGAAACCTCTGCGCGTTCCAATAATAGGTAAAAGTAAATTGCAAAAAGCATTAGGCTCAGAACTAAAACCAGTTCAAATACCTTGGACAGGGAAAGATACGAGAAATAGAAAAGGTATTTTAGAAAAACTCTTAAAATTAAGAAGAAATGGCGCACTATCGGCCGCTGAATTTCACAGGTTTAAAAAACTTTTGTTGTGATTAAAAAGAATTATTATATTGTTATTTAAGTGTTCCTAAAGAAATATTTTGATGCATTACGAGTTTGTTGCTTAGACTAATGTAAGCTACTTTTACATTTGAAACCGTAACATGACTTGTATTACTTTACCGTCGTATAAGCATTATTAATAATCTTTTAGTTTATTATCGTTATTCTTATAACAAATTTTTGGACATAGATGCCACTTTATTTTATAAATGTTTAAAAAAAGTTAAATAATAATTAATGATGAAAATTGATTTCAAGAAGCAATATATAGTCCAGATTTAGCCTTTACGATTTTTTCTTTATAGTTATAGGAAAAAGAATATTCCTTTAACATGCATGAAAATCTTTGAACAAAATACTCGAATAAGTGACGTAACAAGTCATTTTATTTCTAACTTTTTATTCCTAATTTTCTTTTTTATCTAAATTACTATTTTTAGAGACACAAATGTAAAGTCACTTTGTGTTTGTAATAATCTTTGATGAAATTGAGGTTTATCTTAGTTTTGAAATAATTATAATATAAATCATATAAATGACGTGCCAAATATCAAATAATAGCTAATAATATAGCTTGAATTGTTTCGTTTTATCTCTTTAATAAACTGTTTTTTTTTATTGTACAAGATATTTTCAATATTTATGTCTCATTCGACCAGTGCTCTATTCATTTATAACAAACTAGTTTTTGCCCGCGACTTCGTCCGCGTTAATAGTTAGTTGTCAAATCTAATGTCAAAGAAAACGTTTGTATGGGAAATAGAAAAGGGCTGTTTCTAGGGTTTTCCCGAAAATGAAACAATTATTTTCAGCTTTTAAACCCTTCCTGAACCTCCACAAACATTTCAAGACTAAGATAAGATAAATCCGTTCAGCCGTTCTCGAGTTTTAGTGAGACTAACGAACAGCAATTAATTTTTATATATATAGATTTAAATTGTGATATATTTTTATATTTCCATATAAAATGATATATATGTAAATATTGGCAATATTACAGTCGACTAGAAGCATTTAAATGTTCTAGAAAGATTTAGAACAACGGTAGCTGTAATTAGCTTGAACGTTTAATTACGCTGAAGTTGAAAACTTTCAGTTTTAGATTTTAATATACCTAAAAGTCTTAAAATATATAATAACTACGGGTTAGTTTTTGACACTTTGAAATAACATTATATGTATTTATTGGAAAATTTAATTCTTATAACATGGTTCATAACCAAAATTTTATTGTAAAATACTGTAAATTAAATTAATATTATTATATTATGTACAAAATATTTTATATAAATAAATATTTTAAATTAGTTTTTTCACTTTGACTTTATCCGATAGTGCGTTGAATCCGCGTAGGACGGTATCTTTCAGCTTGTTCATGTACGATATGATTGGCCAAACGAGAGGTTTGTCTTCCATCTTGCATGTGTAACAGCGATCTTGTGATATTGGACTTATCAGAGATTTCTTCTTTAATATACTGGCCTGAAAACAATGAGACAATTAACAAACGAATAAAAAAACTATGGATATATATAACACTTGATACGTATGCAATTTATTACTGATTAAACGACAATAATTTTCTCACCTCTGCGAAAACAAACGTCAAAATCACGATCGATATTAGCGTTTTTGAATTCATTCTCGTAATAGTACCTCGTCGCTAGATAAAGTATCAATCCACAGCCGTACAGACCGCAAGCAGCCCAATGCATTTTACAAACTAAGTAATAACATCAAAATACGTGCAAATAATACAATATACGCGATCACGTAGAGTTACTAACATTGCATCACATTGCAACTCGAGCGCGCTGCTAAGTCGAGATTGACATGAACTGCTGACATATATTTTTGTGGACGTGATGATTTTTTGTTTGAATAATAAAAATGTCGTGTTCTCAAAACAGTTAGCATGTGTCGGTGCGCGTTTCTCGCTTTAATGTTGGTTAGTATCTAGAGTCCTGTTGACCTTGCTTGAGGCCAGTTAATATAACCTAGTGGACGTATGCTATGATGATTGTTTCCTTGGATTATGTAGGGAATGATGAAGTGAAGTGATTGGTTCCAGGTGAAGCTGATAACGAGCGCTCCACCCCCTTTAAGGATGACCATCGACTGCGGGTCAGATGAGGTGATTCATTGTACTACATATCTTTTATACCGGGGAAGTTATTATACTTGACTCCATCAATCATTGATTAATGTACTCAAAACAAACTACTTCCCGTAGTATCAGTCGCATAGGAATATATAAACTCATTCTTTAATTAAGTTAAAGTATATAGTAATTGTCTGTTTAATATTCTTATACGGGGAGACAAATTAATACAAAAATAAGCGTAATTTAGCTATCTAGATATATGTATTACTAAGTCGATTTTTAAAGCAAATGTCTTTTAACACAACAGGACCCAGCACTAATGTCAAATCCGAGGTCTGCGGAGTTTACAAAAGTTAACTCACGTTTAGACTTCAACACCATCTGCGGTGTGATCCATCGTGCTATACCCGAGACTGTGAAGGATGGTAGGTTTATCATAGAATCAGATCTATCTAGTTCTAGTGATACAATTGCTCCAATTTCTTCTGCTCCACCCAGCGGCTTCATACCCAAAATGGATTTACCAAGAATAAAACCACCCAGATTGAGCTTACCGTCTCTGAATGTACCGAAACTGAAACATCTCCATGGGCACCTGAAAACTCCAAGAGTCGGAACGCCGATGCTATTGATTCCGTGGAAACACGACGAGGAATCCAGTGCAGAAAAAATGGAAAGATTCAAGAAGGGAGTACAGAAGATGCTAAATTTCGTGAAAGTTATCGGTAAAATTGATAAATATATATCGGAAAGGACTAGAATAGTGATTGACAAATTATCAAAGACATTTGCCGAGTGATTTTTGTTATAATCTGTATTGAATATATGATGTAAGACTTAAAAACGTTGTTTTTTTTCAATTCTTCTACTATTCACTACACAACATAAAATGCCATTAAGTATACATCTAATTAATTCATTGCCAAATTTTAACATTACTACTACATACAATGTTCTATTTTTATTTATTTATATAAACTTATTTATCATTTCAAACTTGGTAAACTAATAATTAAATGGATTTTTCATAAATAGATTCGTCATTCCTTTCTATAAAATAATTTATTTCATTTTCATGGCACTGTCAGAAAATGTTGTTTATATAAAGTAATCTAAATTTTGGAGCTTTACAATATTAATTCAGAGAAAATAGATAACATTATCTTAAAAGACGGTATCAACTAAATAAAGAAGCATCCCTAATAGAACAGCGGTCACAAACAGCAAAAAATGTTGCTACGCTGAAAAATTCTTATGAGAACAAATTGTTTTTGAAGATAAAAAAACATATATGAACCTATTTTTATTCTCTGATTAAGGTCTAGAATAGCACTTACTATAAAAAAAATAAAAAATTAAATTGTCTACATTATTTTAATAAATTTTTGGGAAGAGAGATTTGGGATCTGGTTTTTTTACAATATCATCTGACAAGGATAAATAAATCAAAGAAAAATTTCAGACAAGCTTAATAATTGTATATTCTAGTAAAGTTCTAATTCCATCAAGTTTATCGCCACTAGTGCAAGAGTAAGTAAGAACTTCAGGTTCTTTAGTTTGATTGATTTGTTGAAATATCCATCTCCCACAGATTAACTCCCATTATCTCCCACAAATTAAAATGTATGGGCCGTACCATAAAGATTTTTATAAATATTTAAAAACATATATTTTATATTTTCATTGCACTTAGTTTAATATTTTTTTAAATTTTTGTTCTATTTTTTATGTGTGCAATAATGAATCAAATGAAATTAACATTTTTTATGAGAAATACTTTTGCCTATCTTTTAGCAAATTTAAATAAAGATAGCTCTGAAAAAAAAAGAAATATCATTTGTAATCTTCTGTAACAATCTTTATTGAAATTATTCCCTTCGCTCTAAATACATATTTAAAATTGTTAACTTATGCTAAAAGTATTAAAAATCAAAAAAAAAATTTTGAACAAATTTGAATATTTTCAAAAAAACCCGAAAAAAGAGTGTTTAAGGAGAAATCATTAAAATCGAAGAGTACGCAGCATTGCTTTTTTTAAATTATATTACACAGATAAATCAATTTATAAATTTTTATTAACATGGTAACACTAACTGTTTTCGCGAGAACCTTGTGAGCATCATGAAACTTATTTTGATAGCGAAATTGTCATTTAATTAGATAAGTAACGTTTTAGCAGTTATTGTTACTGCATATTTTATGTGTTCTAAGTTTTAGCAATCCAAGTGGAGCTCATAAAGAGATTGCTCGCCATGGCTGGCCCGTCCGACGGGGAGCCCGACGGATGGGTCGAGATGTGCGAGCGTCAGGCCAAAAACTCCGCTCAGGACTTCGCCAAGGCCTGTCTGCACTACATACAGACCAACAGCAACGAGGCCGCAGCCCGACCGCTCTCGCAAAAAGAACTGCTGAAGAAATTCGTGGAATGTTTTACCGAACAATTCGATTTCGAGTTCGGTAAATTGAAAGCTCAGCACAAGTTACCGAACGGCATGCACACCGGTCACGACGAGAGCGACTATTCAGAGGACACGGACTCGCCTAAAACACAACACAAACCGTTCTTTAGAAGGTTATCTTTCAAAGGTCTGCGCCGCGGCAAGGGATTGTTTCACAAACAGCATTCAGACGAAGTCGAGTTACAATCTAATTTAAACAAACACAAAACGAAATTAGCTAAAATTGTTGTTGAATGCCGTAAGGAGGGGCTCGTGAATTATTTGACTCCGGAGAGCTTAGAGCAACCCGGAGGTCCACAGAAATGGGAGAAATGTAGACTGGCGTTAGTTAAGACTGTTGGCGGTTACATGTTAGAGTTCTATTCACCACCTAAATCACAGAAGCCGAGGAGCGGGGTCTTCTGTTTCCTTATATCGGAGGCTCGGGAGACAACGGCTCTTGAGATGCCTGATCATGAGAACACTTTTGTTCTAAAGGTATACACCATTCAAAATGTTTGATTTAAGTATAACTTGTGTGCAAATAGGTCAAGAACGGAATCGTCTCAAGATGATTTTATCCTATATATAAAATAGTTATTGTTACTTGATTGGCTGTACCTTAAGTCTCTGGGATAGTAGATGGTTATAATTCCACCAAAGTGGAATGCAATAATTTTGTGTTTGCTACCACATTAGTCCTGGAAATGGACCAAAAGTCTGCAATCTTTATAGTCCTTTGACTAAGAGTGACTTGAATGAACTCATTCTTATATCAGTTTTTTAAGAACTTAAAATTTTTCGAACTTTATTCATTTTATAAGACAAACCATAATTTGTTGTAATGAATAAATGAAAACAAAATCTTTAAGAGTAATCATTTTCAGGTATCACTAATGAATATGCTTCATATAAGTCCAAATAGTTTTGTAACCCTTTTAGGCTTTATATCTTTATTTAAATAATCTGTATGAGACTATATTGAAACTTAAAAACCAAGAAATGTCATTAAAATCAGCGCAAAATATGCAAATGAACCATTTTTCTTGTATGTTTTTCCCAAGTCCACCTTTACTGAAAGGTCGAGATCTCATATATATTTCATTGTTAGTCTTTCCTGTATTATATTATATATTTTTTTTTGTTCCTCCAGGCCGACAACAACATGGAATATGTGATAGAAGCAGCCGATGTAGACGACATGAAGTCTTGGCTGGCGACCATCAAGTACTGCATGCGTTCAGCGCCGACGTCCCAGCCGCCACCGGAGGCTCTGGCCGGCCTGCCCGAGCCTGCGCCCCCCGACCTGCCGCCGAGAAGAGACCTGCCGGCAAGCACCAGTAACGTTGACCTAGCTAATGATACACCGGACGCTGAATTAGGTATATACATATATGAGAGCTATATGCGAAAGTTTTAAGTATTATGCTGAGCGTAGATATACATTCTGCTTACAGTAAATTATTTCTATAGTGTTATAATATCAGCGTTTTTAAATATAGTTAAGTATCAAGTCATCAATGATCGTTTGATGTTTGCAGGTTCAATAGCGGAGGAGGCTTGTGAGTCTCGGGTCTCCCTGGGTGAGTGGCCGTGGTTCCACGGTACCCTGGCTCGGTCTGCGGCGGCGGCCTGCGTCCTGGCGGGCGGAGCACCCGCTCACGGCTGCTACCTGGTCAGGCAGAGCGAGACAAGGAGAGGGGAATATGTACTCACTTTCAACTTTCAGGTAATGTTGCTTCCATATAAATATATACAAGAAACTCATAGATATAAATTAGAGATTCTTTGCCTGGCACTATGTTAGGATATATTTACATGTTTACACTTTGTTTTTGTATACAGATAGGAAAACCATTTTTTTGACAGTCAGTTTTTATATAACCAAATGTTTAGGCTCATACAGTCTACATTATAGTCACGTCAAATTTATGTTTGCTATTCATAATAATATATCATCTCGTCTGTCCGTGATCACGATCGCTGCAGAAGTAGCCGAAACAGAGAGTATGTAGTTAAAAATATTAATTTTGAAAATATGTATATATTCAGGGTCGTGCTAAACATCTCCGCATGACGCTGAGCGACGCCGGCCAGTGCCGCGTGCAGCATCTCTGGTTCCCTAACGTTCACGACATGCTGGAACACTTCCGAGCGCACCCCATACCTCTCGAGTCGGGCGGCGCGGCTGACGTCACGCTCACCGAGTACGTCGTCTGCCAGGACAACCACGTGAGCTACTGATTTAAATATGGAACACGCTGTCCAATATATAGGCTATCAGGTTTTTGAATTTAGAACGCGTCTTAGATGAATTACAAATGAGGTTTGAGGTTTCATATATATACATATATATTTTTTTTACTAAATCAAGGTAGCTGAATATGGAATTTAATTTCCAAAAATCTTTACTATAAGGATAATAAGATATTAATAGTACCGAGTTGCAGTTAACATGATATTGCTCAATTTGTATGAAAACTAATTGAGACTGTAAATAGAGCTATTTTGTTAATTTAGTTTTTCAATGTCCTTACAATTATGTATGTGACATAAAATTATCTAATACATGTTCTATAATAAATAATAATTTATTTCTAATGCAATATGGATGTTGCATATCTTGTTAAAAATCTGGTATTTTTAATAGTATGTGATGGCACAGATTAAACAGAAAATGTTTGATAATTGGTGAAAACGGAAAAGATTTTATATGACAATTGTTAAGGCAAATTTAATTAATATAATGTTTATATGCATTCTGACTGCTTTTTGGTTTTCTAAACTTTTGTGATTGTTTTCAATATCACCGATATATGCTGTATCAAATTATCCAGAGACACATTTTGTTTTTGTTGCACTAAACCCTTTGTAGTCTACATGAGACGAGACAAAAAATATTTTTATGTATAGCATTATATTATGCTAATAAAATTTATAGAGGCTATGTCCCACCGAATAGCTTACCATAGAAAAATTTAACCTGTAAGAAGAAAAAATCTTTCAGACGAGAAAAAACTATTTTTACCTTAAAATAAATAAGGTATGATAATTAAAATTAAGTTGGAAAATTAGTTATAATGTAAAAAATATATATTATGAAGATTATTTGTGAAGAGATATTATATATATATATATATATATATTTTTTAATTATATTTTTGTCTCTCTCATTTAAGTAGTTGGTTGTTGCTTGTACATAGTATGGCTACATATAGGTTAAGGATTATTATTGTCTATTTATAATTTGCATTTCTTGTTGGTAAATAACATTGTAATGTGTTTTATTTAATATTTTTTTATATATATATGCTAAGTTTATTTTTGTGTTCAGTTCTGTTTTTTTTTCTATCTATAGTAAATGACGCTTGCACTAAAATATCTTAATGAAAATACTTTATTTGCTATGAAAATGTTTAGGTAAATATTTATGAGATGTAAAAGATGATTTTGTTACGATTAGAAGTCTTTTTTTGTTTGAGTTCATAATCATGTTGCATATCTGATAATTGAATTGGTTCATTTCTATGTTTGTTTTAAATATCTCTCTATCAATTGACATATGATAATTTCATTTTATATACAAACTTTGTTCCATTGTGAATCTTGTGCATGCATTATATGTACAGTTGTAAACTCCAAATTGTACATTATCCATGCTTCTAGATAGGTGTTCCCAGTTTTTTATTATTTGATTATTATTTTTTTGATTACGGCGACATTGCCAACACTTTTTTGACAGTACATTTTTTTTTTGTATCTCTATGTATAGTTTGACTCGATCAAACATCAAGTCTGAATTTGGTTTTTCCTCACAGACTTACTAACCTGTTAGACGTACAATTGTACATTGTTATTATGTATAAAATGTCCTTAAGCTTTAATCATATTTGATTGTACATTTTTTTATTATTAAAACATATTTAGCTGGATGGCTTGTTTTTTATTTTGCTTTTTTTCACATTTTAGTTGCGTGTGTGTTTAGTGAGACTGGATCATATTTATATGATGTTAAAGCTTTTTATTCATTGCTGTATATACCTCTTACTAGTTATGTAACAGGTAAGCTTGCGATAGTCTGAAAGCATAATTTAACAATAATCACAATTAACATATGAGTTTATTAAGTATTCTAGTACATTGCTTGAATGGTTTTTAGCTGGGTGTGTCCCACGGCAGCGATGTCCGTATACGTCGTGCTGAACTTGAAGCGTTGTTGGTGGCGAGTGGGGCTCAACATGATGTCCGAGCCGTTGACAACCAGTATGTGTTGTGCAACTTGAGGTCCTCGCAGGGGCATGCTTGAGACATGTTGTGTTGTCTGCACGACTTCACGTGCATATAGTACTCCTGAATTGATTGACAACGAAAAGCAGTGCATTGTATACATATATATTCGAGACAGAATTTAACTGCACTAGGCATACGCATAATTCGGAATGTTATATTTATATCTGAATTTCTTTTTAGTAATAATTTATAATGTAAGCGCAATTTTTACAATCGAAAACGGGAATTGTTCCACTGAGCCACTCTCTCGTGCCAATACAGGAGTACTAAAGTAGTTTATCAATAGACAATTAATTTATAGGATGTGCAATCTTGTTTTGCGATTATTATTATGTTTATTATTAATGCAATTTTTATTCAGTATATTTAACTGAAGATATAAAAGTAGGTAATTTTTTGTGTCACAAATTTCTATAATTTGCGACGGCTTAGCCTTTAATATTTATTGAATAGTTATTAGACAATATCACAATAGTATTGATATGTACTTTTTAATACATACACCTTATGAAACGATGAACTGCCTTTAAAAAATTTTGTGCGAAATATTTTATAAAATTTGTAAGTTGTAGTCGGGGAATTGACAGTTGATTGGAGTTTAAGTGTTGGGTAATTATAAAATTCAAATACCTAAATATTAGTGTTGAAATGTGAAATATAGTAATGTATGTAATATAGAGTAAGGAAAATTAAATAAATTAATTATCCCTTATATATATACAATTACAATATTTTTTTAGTTTAATTATTTAGCGAAATGTATCTAGTCATTTTGAAATAATTTTAGTTGTATGACGTTGTTTATTGATGTTTCATAAAAAAAATATTTTTATTCGTTAGTTTTCGGAATAAAAAAATTTTCAAAAAAAGTATATACAAAAAACATATAATTCAAAAAGCCAAAAATATTATAAGTATTAATTATCCGACTGACGTACATAACATCCGAAATGAATATTTTGTGTGATTTTTTCTTAGATTGAATACCTATGTTGATTAAAAAAAAGTGGCTAACTAGTATAAATTAGAATTAAATGTTGTTGGAATTGATTAATTAATAAATTAGTACAAACCAATTAAATTGTTTGTTAGATACCGGCACCGAATTACGTCTATATATTGCGAAATGTGTAATAAAATTAGACAAGAAAAAAAAGTATTCATATACGAATGGTATATAAACTAGCCACAGTAGTACCAAATCGTATAATCACATTGGCTGCCTTCTACCACTTGATGGCTGTACATACTACATTTCTATTAAGTATTCATAAGTTCTCATTAAACGCCTTTTTTCTCATAAATAAAAACGCATAATTAAATTTCTTTGCTAAATATTTATAGTAATTCTTGCTATCGTCTTAAACATTATTAGTCATCACTTATCACAGCTTTGGGTATATTAAAATGTATAGAAAATTATTTGCTCTTGATCTATAGCTTTTTCTATGTTAATGTATGCATTTAAATGTCAAGTGACAAGGCTCAATGTATTGTAATAACATTCCGTGTAAACTCATGAACATTGAAATATAGACATATATTTTGCACATTTTATTTGTTTCATTTTTATATAAAACAATATTACAAACATTTTATAAATAAGATAAAAAAGTTAACATTACAACTCACTAAATAATTAATTCTTATTTTATTTATAATTAATATCTTACCTATTCAATATATTTTGCTGAATCTATAATTTTTTTTATATATGTGTTAAATATATAAGTAACTAGTCATCTAATAAGGGCAATATGAAGAATTCTGTGAACATTTGTCTTTGATCTTCCTTCTCGAGCTTCAGTTGTATCAAGAGGAGACCATTTGAACTGGATCGTAACACAACCTGCACAAAATATTACAAAAAATCATGGAATTTCATTTGATCTATAATAAATATATATATACAGGGTGACTGGTGAATTACTATCGATACTTGAGGACGTGATATTTGACGATCATATATGACAAAATAAAAATTAATATAACATAAATATTAATAAACTTCTAAGTAAAGTTAACCAAAAGTTATGTAATTAATTACATATCGTGTGAACACCCTACAGATTAGGTATACACACACACTCACACATACGCGTTTTGCGGCGTGGTGTTGTATCAGCACGCCGCCGCACGCGTCCACACTTGGAACACTTGGAACGTGTCAACACTTTATTTATTTATACGGGAATTTTGTCAAAAATTAAGTGCCTATTTTTTTTACATAATTCGAATGAGAATCATGTACCGAGTATTCGCCTTAAATATCGATAGTAATTCACCAGTCACCCTGTATATATATAAGAAAGTTGTGTTAGTTACACTATTTAAATATCAAGCTGTTGGGATATAGTTGAAAATTGGTGAGGAGACAGCTTTAATTCTGTTCCATCGAAATTAAATTCAAATATTTGGTTATTTACAGCGTCTATGGCGGAATAGAGTTGGCCCAGTCAGATATACATATATTAATAATTCCGAAATTAACGCGGACGAAGTCACGGGCAAAAACTAGTAATAGATATGTATATAAGATAATGAACCTTTGAAGATATAGCCAATGCCTTCATAATCAGTCTGAGATGATACAATTGATACTTCAGCCTGATTGCTTGTTTGCAGCTAAAACTCTGCACCATATCCGAAGACTTGGGAACATCTATACAAGATCTATCCTGAAAGATGAATACACAAGAAAAGTAAAAAGATAGTAATATTTAAAACGAAATATTAACAAAGTTTATTTCCATTATATATAGTTTAGTTATGTTTATAAAATCAATGTTAAATTGTACAAAAAGTTTATCATACTATAATAAATTTAACAGAAAAATAGTGTGAAAAAGAAGTGAAACTCTGTAGTGTGGAAATGAAAATAGGATGTGGTACAAATGAAATTTTAGTGTACTCATATTGTTTCTTTAAAACAATCTCTATATACATTGCTTATAATTCCCAAATGAACCACCATTTAATCTAGCTCTGTCTCTTTCTATTCCCACTCCCGAAGCGTTGAATGTTTAATGCAACCTCATTCAAAGTTGCGTTAAAAGTTTAACTTCAAAATCTCTACTAACCTGCATTCCGTATGTAATAATGCTAACGTTAGGATGTTCCGGGGAGAGGTTTATCTCTATAGTATCACAGGAACGTTCCAAGTCCCCCAACAGCCCCATAAATGCCGAAGCCTTCAACACTAGCTTGGCTACTTCGGGCACATCTTCATCTCTTAACTCAAGTATTGAGTCAGCTATCTGTGTGGCTATCTCACAATCTGTCATCACATTTATCATCGATTGCGGTTGTAGACTGAAATTCAATATATAAAAATTAATTACAAAATTCTTATGTAAATTTGTAGAAGGAAATAAGGTTATATGCAATTACACTAGCAGTAATGGAGAGCCCTCGCATCTGTAGTACATCTTCAAACTTGAATCTTCGTTCGCTCCGAATATATTTAGACACTCGGTCAAAACAGATATGTTTATCTACAAGTATGAGTCAATTGTTAGGTAAAAAATTAAGATTGTATACATATACTTGATTTCCTTACTTTAAACAGAACATCAACGTCATCTCTAACATGGTACTCTGTGAAATTGTCTGCCGGGATGTATGCTGAGGCTTGGACACATTTACCTTCCTCCACTGTTAGTTTCAGACCTTCATTCATAGCACAAAATACAGCACACTGAAAAATTTACAAATATTGTTTAGAACGCTTTGTTAAAACATAATATTCTGTATTCCAACATAGTTAAATTTATCTAACCTCTTGGAATTGTATGGATTTCAGTAAGTTGTATAATGTTTTACCCGAATCCATAGATGCAGTGAAATAATACTGAGAAGTTCCATCATCCATTGTGATCAAAATCAAACATAGATTTAACCAGCATCAAATATTGTTCGTCTGTGATCAACTTATCCACGGTTTTATTTAAAATACACGCGATTCTTCCCGCCAAAACATGTTTGCAAGTAACTTGGCTTTGTTGCTCTAGAACTTGATGTTTATAAGCTTTGCAGGGACAGAAATTGAGTTTCGGGAATATTCTATAGCAACGATCGCTATCTCCTTTGATTTCTATCAAAATTCTTGTTTTATTCGCCGTCGAATAAGTTTCAAGTGTGGGGTGTTTCTCAAATATATCGAAAGCCCGTTGAAGAACTGGACCGTACACTGAATGTAGCGCCAGAAGATCTTCGTCTGTAACTACATCAACTCTTACAAACATTGAACTAATCATTTACAAATAATAAGTACATATTTAGTGACAAGTTACATTGTTTATCTTCAGATTCTTCAACTCTTTTTGCAATGCTTTCTATAACTTTTTCGGACAAAGCTTGTATGTTGTCGTAGTATCCAGAATTCATTACAAAAATAAGAATACACTAAGGATTATAACAATATTTTAGACAAACATTGTATGAATCTGAGTAACTACTCCCACAAACCGCTCATGAAATTAGACATAAACAAATAACAATGAGACGTCAATGTGAAAGCCGACAGCGAATATTAGACAAAGACTACAGATTATACTCTAGGAGATAAAGTTAATAAACTATAAAAAACGAATAATGGCTCCTCTAAAAATAATAATTAAATATAAGCTACTATATTTCAAATTGTTCATTCATTTGTTCTGTAATATTAATAGGGATTAATAATGTTACGATGTTCTCAATAGGACAACCAATATGTCATCTTATGAAAATGTCAGTGTATGTTTCTGAGTCACTGATTTCTTCACACTCTTACATTTTATAAATACATTGATTTAGCTTTCATTGAACAATAAGAGTTTAGGGCGATATCAAATATGACGACGATGGTTGGATCTTCGTGGGAAGGTGAGTTTAAGTAGACCGGCATGAATTAATTGTTTTTATTGTGACGTTGCATGTTATTGCATGAAAGAACACTGAAAACTTCATAAATCCCTCGAAATATTGCAAAAGGCCATATTTAAATTGTTTTCTTTACAATATTCCCTTTTCAATCTTTTAACTGCTGTATTAATTCAATAGTACACGTCTTTATGCATAAAATTTTTACTAAGATTATAAAAATATCAGAATATTGTCATATAAATAAAATTATTATATTATTGAAGCAAAAATACGATTTTAGATGTTAGAAAACAAGCTCGCATACTAGAAAACGACATAGATGTGAAACTAGTAGCGTTCAGTAAGCTGGGAGTTAGCTCGGGAACTTCTGGTTTGAACTCGGAGACCATGCCACTGATCAATAGTGAGGATATGTTCGACACCATGTCTATGGAACTACAGCAACTGTTAAGTAAGGTAAATATCCCACTGTTATAATAATCTGATTAAACATATTTTCTTTCTTCCGAAGCTTATACACAATAATTTATTAATATTTTGTATACCAGCAAACAAAATGTGGAGAAATAATCTTGATTTGTGCGATTTTTGTATCAACTATGCCTTTACTATTCTGTGCCTGTACAAGAATTATTGAATTTTTGATTAATTTTGATTGGATGGTGCGGGATTGATATTTCAGCGATGGGAAGGTGGAAACGAAGTCATGGTACACTGTCTGTATGCAATGCGAAAGTTTTTAATAGATAAATTGTGTTGGATATTTTATTATTAAAAAGCTACCATGAATCCTTATTAAGTAAGAGAAAAAAACACAGTATTTGATAAAACATTTTAAAAGCTTAATTATAATAAAAGATGCATATTGAGATATGCTATTTCTATACTAAATACTTTTTTACATACTAGGCATTAATGGTACCCAAATTCCTGAGGGATGCAATTATGTAAAATTTGTTCAACAATATGTAATAATAAGACTATTTTAAGTAGTGCTGTAGGAGTTAAAGCTTGAAAATAAAAATAAAATATTAACACCTACTCCCACAGTAATTTAAAAGGGGCTGAGTTATTATAAAATTTGCTCATAAATAACTTCAACATCACATATAAGAGATTGGTACTAAATTTAGAGCATGTAAAAGCTATAGTTTGAAAACGGGAATTTTTCACTGTTGTCGCCCCTGCAACACCCCTTGTGGGTGGAATTTCGTAAAATTAATTCTTAGCTTGATATCTACTTTGCGAAAGAAATATTCCTATCAAATTTCAAGTCTACGCCTTAAGGTTCCATAGATATCGTGACGTGTTAATAATATCGGTGGGAATCTCTTATATTTATAGAAGATTGGGGTCGGGTTAGTTGTAACGAACGTCGTGTTATGAAGAATTTTTCATTATTGACGGCCCCGCAACACCCCTTGTGGGTCGAATGTCATAAAATCTGTTCTTAGTTGATTTCTGCCTAGCGAAAGAAATATTCTTACCAAATTACAAACTTTTATGTTTGATATTTCCTGAGATATTGTGATAAGTCAATTTATTAGCGAAAATCTCTTTATATATTATAATGTATAAGATTTGATTAATCATATTCTTGAATTATACAGCTGTCACAAATAAACGACAAAATGGCTGATATTGCACCCAGCGGGACAGCTACAATGCACACCATTAAGAGGCACAGGGAAATTCTTATGGTGAGAATATTTATTAATATTTTCCTTTATTACATATATCATGTATATCAGAGTTTCCCAAAGTGGTTGACAATATCCGTTAAGGTGCCCTGCTAGCCTAAAAGGTGAGCCGAAAGAGATTCTGAAAAAAATATTGCGTTTGGTGTTTTGTAATTTCATTTGCTACAGTATAGGTTAAGTTATAGTGGTTTTTCAGTAGCTGACAAAAGGTATCCTAAAAAAAATTATTTATTCTCAAAGTAGGCAGAAGAAAAAATAAGTTTGGGAACCACTGTATTCCAACATATTCTCTCCTAACAGGATTATCAGCAGGAGTTTGATCGCACCTCAGCACGTGTGTCTGCTCGTCGTGAGAGAGAGGAACTACTGGGAGGAGGGATGGGGGGAGGCGCGCCCTCAGTGGGGCTCAGTAGGAGAGATCAGTATGGAAAAGAGGCGGCTCATTTGCACAGGTAATAATATATATATATACTAGTGCCATTAACAATAGGCCCTTTTTGAGGTAGTAAAACCTAGCCGTGGTTGAGTTACTACAGCTCGAACTAGGCTGGTTCGACCGGGGAAATATTATTCTCTCACAGAAGATCGGCGTGAAGTAGTCTTTAATGGCTGCGTTTCGTCCGATAAGTGAGAGAGCCGGTTGCATTTTCCCTTTTCCCTCCCTTTCCTCTCTTCCCCAATCAGGGATGACGACAAATCCGCAAGATTTACTTTACGCATCTCTATGGGCAACGGTACTACCTCCATCACAGGCAGTCGGCTCGGTTGCTCCTTTTAGTATTAAAAAACGTCACATATGATGTTAATAATAAGGGGATCTGGTGTTGAACATTCAATAAAACTAATAAACATTGTCGGAGTGCAGTTATATTTCAATTCTATTTGATATTACAGAAAAAATTCAACACAGAATTTTCCACTAATTATATAACAAGTTTGTCTGCTTCTAGAAGCTTCCAGGCAATCTAAAAAGAAGTTATGTTTGCTTAAAACGATCCCTTTCCATTTTCTGTCATAAAGGGTAATTTAAGGTGTTTTTTTTTTTAATAACTAGGTTCACGCCACGTATTGTGCGTGCCATTTTATATTTAAATTAGTTCTCTATCATACCAGTTCCCGCATGTATTCCTCTCGCACTTTTATTCCTCATACTTTATCTTTCTTTCATCCATCATCATGCATTCTATGGGTGGGATTCCCATTACAAGAATATACTAACTATTACTTAAATTCTAATAAGTAAATAAATTTTTTCAGAAGACAAGTTTTTCTTTGTACGAAAAGTTCTTACATCTAATTATCCTAACATTTCAAAATTCTTATACCTCATTCTTATAGTCTAACATTCTAATTTCTTATATCTACTTCTTACAATCTAACATTTCCAAGATCCTTATATCTAGTTATACAAAAATATTATAAACTAATAAAAAAACAATAGATAAAGTAATATGATATAAAACACAGTTTGTAAAAATAAGAAACATAAAACAATTCTAAGATCTTAAGATTTTAAAAAATAAAAAGTGCGAGAGTAAAATAAAACTTAACAAATAATAACATAATAAAAACATGAAACGTACTTAAAATAAGTAAAATGTAAAATATAATCAATTTAAATTCTATTCGCATTCCTCTTATTAACTATTTCAATTATTTCTTTACAATATTTAATAAAAGTTTCTCTTTTTTCACTCTTTATCATGTGCTGGAAGTTGGGAGGGCTGATGGCCTCTCCCAATTCAAGTTCTGTCTCGTATCGGCGTCTGGCGTAAATTGGGCATTCTGTTATTACATGTGTGACGGTCTCCTCGGTTCCCGGCTCACAGGTACACGAAGGGTCCTCTTTGCACTTGAAATGAGCCAAGTACGCGGAGAACCCTCCGTGCCCCGTCATCAGCTGGGTTACGAGGGCCGTGGGTGCGGTTTTTCTCACCATCTTGTACGCATCTACGACATTCTGGAAAAACAGTTTGGTGACCGCAGCGGTTGTGCCTGACCTGTATCTTTCGTCCCACTCGCCAATCGTGCGGTCTCTGATCGCTCGCTTGACGAATGAGACGGGACACAGGTCGTAGTCCGGCCTCTTCTTGACCCAATAGCAGCCTCTTTGGCTATCATGTCAGCTCGTTCGTTACTGAATAGGTTAATTACTTTGCCTTGAATTATACTGTCATTTATATCGTTTCTGAACTGTAAGCCTAGTGGATGCGTGGATGTAGGGTTCGTAGCTGTCATGAGTGCCGCCTTCGAGTCGGAGAAGATGCCGAACTTTACCGCCTTGCTTTTCTTGACCTCGCTTGCCGCTCGCCTCAGAGCTAGAAGTTCGGCCTGGTAGACGGTTGCATAATTTGGTAACTTTAATTTAATGATTCTACTTTGTGTTTCCGGTCCATATAATTATGGCCGCTCCTACTTTTGATTCTTGAAGGTGTTTAGGCAGCATTGGTTTTTTAAAACATCCCACTATTAATATATATACCTTGAAAAAATGTTGTATGTAATTACTATAATGGTTCAATCATTCCAGTTCCCATATCCTGGTTGACGAACAAATAAACATAGCGATGGAGGCCCGGGAACATCTCACATCACAGAGACAGGCTTTCAAGAGAATGCAGACAAGATTCAATGATATTGCTAACAGGTAACCATTGAATAACATATAAATATATATTTAATAGTTTATGATTTTAAAAGGAGTTGTAATAAAGAACTTAAATCAAGGAACTTTAAATGAAATTATATAGAAGATCATCAGTCTATCAGAGCCCACTGCTGAGCAAAAACCTCTCACATGGAGAAGATTTGAGTATTAATCACCAAACTTGCTCGAGACTTGATGATTTCAAACTTATAATTGTGTAATTACAAGTCCAGGTTTCCTCACGATTTTTTCCTTCATCTGTCAGTGGTGTCTAAATATAATGTATATTATAACTAAATTCCAGGTTTCCGATGCTGAATAGCTTGATCTACAGGATAAATGCTCGCAAACGACGTGATTCTCTCATAATTGGTGTGGTTGTAGCTGTATGCACCTTCCTCTTGCTACTATATGCATTCCATTAAACAAAATTAGAACATTTACCGACTAACAATTTCCTTCAGTTGAAATAATCACAATGTAGCCTCTACAATACAGTAGTTTTGGATGTATCGATGTTAGTTTTTGAATCATTATTAATATTCAAAGAGGTTTCTATCCAACTATGCTGTGTGTTAAATATAAATATATAATCTATATTACATAAATGTCAAACTGGCTGATATGAAAGCCATATGTGTGATTTAAAAAAAATATATTAGAACATTCTTATTGTAATATTTGAATTACTAGAAAAAACTATTTTATAATTTAAAGTTGACTTGTAAAACTGATTGTTCTTTCATGCTTTTTAAGTATATTGTTTTAACTTTGAGTTATAATTATGGACTGTTGTTTTTTTTAATGCAGTGATTTATCATATAATAAAAGAAAAACTGGGACTTTGAAATGATCCAATTAAAATGAATTAATACTTTTCTTAATAGAATTTATATTAGCAAAATTTTATTAATTACTATATATATGTATTCACAAGGTTTTTTTTCTAGAGATTCTTATATATTTCGACACTCCTATAGTTATAAGATTTGAACTAAATGTTTTAAGATATTTAATACAAAAGTAAGGCATTTTCATTGTCTTAATATATTGCATTTTTAGGCGATGTACTGTTATTTTTAATAGTAATATAGTTATGTAAATATGTTAAAAGTTTATTTGGAAAATAATGTAAATAGGCTATGTATGATTAATAAAAATATTTCGTCGTTTCAAAATAATGGTATTACTAAATATGATCCTCTAAAAAGAATACATGGAAACGCTAATAAATTTATTAAAAAAAAAAAAACACATTTTGTGACTGAGTTTTACTATGAATATAACAAGAAACAGTTTGAAATAACAAAAGAAGAAATTTATATTTCTTTATAGATTAAAACACTTCAATCAAAGACTTCTACAATCAGCTAAAATCATCCATATATGCTGTGTATTAAAACTACAAATAAGATGCAAGTCGTAATATTAAAAGGAGGTTTTCTAAAAGTAAAACGCCATGCGAGATCACGACCCTCAAGTATTGAGGTCGGAAACCGACGCAAGGAGGAGGAATTTAATAAGGATCTATAATCTTATATTCAGTAAATAAAATATCAAACAAAAGTTAATAAAAAAGGTTTAGAAATCAATATAAAAACAAACTGAAAAATCACAAAAAAAAATACATGTCATGTCATTCAATCGTTTTAAATGACATAGCAAAATGCGGTAGGTATGTAAAATTTTTAAGATCTTTTCATGAATATGACGTTTGAAAATGTCATAAGCGTAAATCACTACATTCGAGTAAAAAAATCAAATTAATTTTCGGTAACATGATCAACATTTATATGAAATCCTCTTAAAACAAAAGCGAATAATTCGGTAACCGGTTTTTAAAAAGTATTACGAGCTCACTAACGAACTAACTCGAAATAGGTTCGTCGTTTATTTGTACGCGGTAGAAGAGGCAGCGAGAGGTAGAACAGCTAAATCTCTTTACAACCTACTAAAAGACTTGGGCTAAGAACTCACATTAATGCATTCTTGGAACGCACGTTGAAGGCAGCCCTAGTAGGTTCTCTTCAAATTTGATTAGGTAGAGAGAGGAGCTAGGACTTGGAGAGGAGTGGTGGAGGGGAGCGTTTAACGCCCGTTAGTTAAGGGGCCCCTTAAACCTACACCTGGGTCGCAAGTCCCAGACACTGTTGAAGCTCCTCTCACTACAACGATGGACCTGACACCCGCACGGTAAATGCGTGGAATGCCGAAGAGGTTTCGTCTCTTGTTAATTTTTAATCATAGAATTTTGAAGGTACTTTAATGAATGCCTTGTTGGGATTTAGAAGAGCTTGTTGAAACTGGGTCTTAGACTAACACGATAATAAACGCGGTTCCAATTCTATCACTTCTCTTCAACAGCTGCTGTACTTCAACATTCTTTAACATCATGTTATTGGCATCAGGCCGCAGTGTGCACGGTTTCCTTGTGAGCCTTCAGTGTTCCTCGCTGAGCAAAACTCTTATCACATTCATTACACACAAACGGCTTTTCTCCTGTGTGTGTTCGTATATGTTTCTCAAGATCTCCCTTTGTAGCGAACTTCTTTCCACATATATCAATCGGACACTTGTAGCATTTGTTGTGCAAGCGATGGTGTATGTACAATTTTCTCCATTTTGTAAATTTCTTCGAGCAGACCTAGTAATGAAATATAATCATTACATGAAAACTATTACAGATAAAGTCTGAGTATTTTTTTTAACAAGTTTTTTTTTTGGATGGCAATAAAAGTTACTTTATAAAGTTGCCACAACTGAACTTTGCCTACATTACATAGTAATGATTCTGTAAAATTACATAATAATAAGGTGATTCTATTTCAAACAAGACACTCACCGGACATTTATATTCACTTTCAGTATTTTTATTTGTGGGCTTCATTGAGTGGATGAGATCCAGAGAATTTCGAGCTTTGCTACTTTCTTCAGTCTTAAAAACAAATAAAAATCTTATTTAAGATGATGTTATAAGATTTAAATTAATTGAAATATAAACTAGAATACATTCATGATACAATTCTTATTTTAATTATTTTTAAATATCTTGAATGATATTGTCATACCTTTTTATAGCATTTTTTAAATAGATCTTTGCTAACGGCTAAGGAGAAATATTTTCTTGTCTTTTCTGAAACAATTTCTCTGTTCTCACTTGATGTTCCTGCTTCCAATTCCTGTAATGATAAAAAAAGACTATTTTTATATAGGATAATTTTAACAGTTTTTTTTTATAGTCAGCAAGTTTTAAGAGGTAAGGAGTGGTTGGTTTATCCCAAAAAGGAGTTAATGGTTTATGGAAAATTAATAATTGTAATTCAGGCCAAATTTTGACAACTGCTTATGGTACATATATTTTTTCCAACAACAATTAGTATAGACAAAGTATTCTTTTATTTTGTACTTTTCTTTTACATAAACTAATTATGTTTGAATAATTAATAAATAAATAATTTCACTAAAATCTATCTTCTAGAGCTGTAGTACTGAGGAAGAGAAATACACAATTTCCTTATTAGCTTAAAAGTTATTTTAGTAACAATACAATAATTAAAGTGATGTAAATATTTAAGTTCACAGTTTTTGTACCTATCCCTGAGCTAGGCTTTCTATATATAATTGTTCTTCTATAATGTGTTAAGGCGAGGTTGAAACAAACTATTCAAAGAAAATCTTACAGTTATAAACAGAATGACTATTAAAATGAGGTATTGTGTTACTTTATTTTGCTCAATATCAATCTAATCAATATTAGATTTTTTAATTACCGGTTCAGGATCTTCCTCGGGGCAATCAAATAATAATCTTAAATGTTTATCATTCTTCCTACCAATATTTCTTAATTCTGAAGCTTTTTCTACAATGTCTAAACAATATTTGCAAATTTTCTGAGGCAATTTGTCTGTTGGGGATATCTGAAATTATGAAATGCATGTTTAAAATATGAATTTTAAATTTAAATAACATTTTCTAGGAATATATAGTGACTTTTCAAAATATACCTTGAGACCAATACATTTGTAAATATCATCGCACAATCCATTTCTATCAGAAATATTAGAAACTCCACGTTTCACTAAACACAATCTACAAATGTTGAATAATGTACTTTCCGTATTTTCCTCCATCTTAAAGATTTATTATAAAGCAACTGTATTTAATAAATTTATCGTCTTCTTCGTCGTCTTAACTAGATACTAATTACTTTTATTATGAAAATCACAGGATAAAACTTAAAATTAATGTTGGTACATAGTTTACAACGCACATGTAAAATATTTAATAATAAGTAAGGTATTTAAAGTAAACTTTTAGATTATCTGAAATGTCAATGCAGTTAAATGACAATTTATATTTGTGTTTAAGAAAAACTCGCAACAACACTGTCATAGACTAGTTTTTGCTCAAGGTATTGTCTTACTCTTGTAAATATTATTATGTATTTTTATCCTTTAATTATGTATTAAATATTATTATGTATTTTTATCCTATAAATTGTAAAACTAAAAAATTGTTAAACATATATATTAATATAATATTGTTAGAAATGAAAAACATGTTATGATTTTTAAAAAGAACGGTCGCCGGCCAAGGGTCAATTAATTAATATTCGAGACTAATTAGAGCAGAGGTACTTCTCTTAACAATAGTTGAGAACAAAAAGTGTCCGATTGTCAGTAATGGCGCTCCTTATATAGGTGGCTTTAGGGTTGCCAGTATAATAATTATTTATTATTTAACACGGCCTCTCCTGACGCGGCTGCGTCCTCGAAGCCAGTAGAAGACGTGCTAGCAACACTCTCTACCCACGGCACTTCCAGTTCTTGGTCCTCAGTGCTCTCTGTAACCATAGATGCACATTTATGCATTAACTGGTATAAGGGATTATGATAACTATCGATGATACTCTAAGTTCAGGAAGCTCACTAAAAGTGATAGATTAAGCACATAGTTCAATTCAGACGATGTCAACATAACAAGCTGATAGATATAGGATTTACACAGGTCTGTTCCCACGCAACCGAATACCTTTTATCATCGTGTCACAGGTTTTACATCAGTCTCTTGTAGGTCACCCCAGAAACCTTAACATAGGGTAGGATTTACATAGGCCTGTTGTCGGTGGCGCACCCGACTCATCCCAAATACCTTCCCAAGTATGTGAGGGTCAACCCTATACCATGCGCACTCAGGATTTACAAGGGTCTCTTCCGCAACACATACACACACACAGTACATCGCAACATAAGCTCAACAAGTGCTTAATCTAATACAACTATAGATGAGAAATATCATAATCGTAAACACTCAGGAACACATAATACCAATATTGAATGAGTTACATACCATTTACAAAGGTTTTACAAATTTCAGGCGTTCACTCGCCCTTCCACTTAACCAAAGAAGTAGCGGCTATATGAGCAGTCTTAATTGCTTAATTTGGCTTATAATGTCGAAATTATCCTGCGAAACCTAGACATTATTGAAATTGTTTGACGTTATTCGGTCACGACGTTTTGACTAACGCCTCAATTTTATAGCTGCTCGGTCAAACCTGACCATTTTTAATTATTGTACCTAAATATTCCACTGCTTATGATATTTATGACTATTTATAATTTTACGAACAAATTAAGCAATGCCCAAAGCGAGCAAAGCATTCTCTGTCGATCCATTATTCAAAATACAAGCTCTTTCTACTTCGTCGCACCACGTTTCAAAGTCATAGACACTCCGATCAAAATCCGACACAAAATAACGGTTGGATCTGACCTGAGCTCGCCTTATCACAGTCAATAGACGCTTCGCAGCATTAGTCACCACATGTCCTGTGAGATATTTGATTCCAGCGTTGCGAGATTTTACGCGTATTACATTTTCCAAAAATAGACATTAAAATTTTCACTCGTTACATTCAAAATGGCGTCAAGAAAAATATGGCGCGTAATAAATCAGACTACGTTTATGGCGGCTTTTTCAGCCTTCGAATCCCACTTCTGATGTTAGAAATGAAAAACATGTTATGATTTTTAAAAAGAAACGGTCGCCGGCCAGGGGTCAATTAATTAATATTCGAGACTAATTAGAGCAGAGGTACTTCTCTTAACAATAGTTGAGAACAAAAAGTGTCCGATTGTCAGTAATGGCGCTCCTTATATAGGTGGCTTTAGGGTTGCCAGTATAATAATTATTTATTATTTAACAATATATATTCGTAAGTGGTATATATGTACATAACTAAAATACCACTTCACTTTATATTTTAAGTTATTTTTTCTAAAATAATATCTGAAGCTCATTTTCATTTCAAATCATGTGTTTTTATTGGGAGACATTGATAGGTCTATATGAGAATAACGTTAATTATTATTAACATTCTATGTAGCGAAACATAAAAAAAGTTTGTTTTTAATTTGATTCGGATATCGTTTAGGGCTCATTGAAATTGTTGATGATTGTATATTTAGCCTAAAATATATAAAATTTAGGGTCTTTAGGGCACCGGACACTAACAGCTACTGTCATTTCAAATATACACACATATCCAAATAAGTTGGCGAAAATTAAGTATATTCAATAATGTAATAAATATTAGAGGGAATGCAAAAAAAATATAATAATTTTTCCAATAAAATTATGTAGACGTATTAAAATTATTATAAAAAACGCTACTCAGTAGTCGTGCTCATTAGCGGATCCAAACATAACAACTTATCACGCATATCATTCCAGCCGCCGTCATCTTTCTGAGGACATTTGTGTACCCTTCCAACAACACCTTCGGGTCCGAAAAGAAAAACAGCTTTAACATTCTTACAAAATACATTTAATGTATTAAAACCGTCGACATATTCATTAAATTTCCGTTCGGAGTAAACGATTTCTTTCGAATTTAGTACTCTTGGTGTCATAAACCTCACCATAGTGACGTAACCTTTCGGAAAGTTACCAAAAAGGTTCCACATGGAGTAACTCCAGCTACTGTCATCGAACATACAGTAATGAGATGAATATGAAAATATTTTTCTCCACGTAGTTCTATTAAAAGCTAAGCCCAAATCAAACGGCGGCCGCCATTGTTCCACAGATAATAAATTCATATCAACAATATTCAATGGCCCTCCAAATGACAATACTTCTATGTGAGAGAAGTATTTAAATGTTTCTAGTGAACAATGGAACATATATAATAAATCTGGAGCAATATAATTATTTTCTTCTAGGAATATAAATGGTCCTGTATGTTTCCGAATCAAGCGAACGTTTTGAAAAACAAAATTTGCCTTCCACCACCAATGTTGCTTATGTTCTGTTATGCTGGCGTCTCTTTTGGCGCAATAGGATAGTTTTTGAGCATCTTTACTTCGTCGCTGATATGAATTGCAGTCGTTAGGATCTACTCCGGGAAATTCGTTTGGATGAAGTTGAAGAGAATAGGGATAGAAGATTTGCAACACTTTACAAAAGTCTATGCTTTGTATCAAACGATTTATCTTATTACAGTAGAAGCTGTGAGAGAAAATTATCAGGCTATTTTTAATATCATTTACTCGTGATAGCGACAAAATCAAGTACTTTAGTTTTTCTAAGTCTCTATGCACTTGAATGATCAGTATGGGAGAATCATTGTTTATAGAGGAAAATTTGTTTCTATTTATTACATTCTGCTTAAAGTTTAACGTCTTCAGCAAAACTTTAAGCTTTTTTACATCAACGTTCTTAATCTCCGTGTTACCTTTTGTTCGATATTTTTGACGATGTATCGGTAACTTGTGTTTAGGTTCCTCAATTTTCGATCTGTTTTTGGAGTTGGTAAAAAATAATGCCAACAGTATAAATGAGAACAGTAAAAGACAATTACTGTTCTTTAGAAATCTCATATCCTAAAACATTAAAATGTTTAAATAATCACATAATAAAATGCATGAATAATACTTTAAATGACATATACCATTTTTTTATTGCTAAGGCTGCATTTGTACCGGAGTCGTGTAATATTCTGCCAAAGTCAACGTTTTTATTTGTTGGATGAATTATAATCTTGAGTACTGTGAGGAAAAAAACGAAAGAGCGTGTCGAAAGTTATACGGGCGTTTATTTATTTATTATTGTTATTTTTTAAGTTACCATAATAACTGTTGATGATAAATTCAAAATTGTTAATTCATTAATCAAAATAATTTCAATGTATGCAATACAAATAAAATTCACTTATTTATATTTTGTATACTAACTAGATTATACTTAATTATTATAGATATATACTAACTAGATATATACTAACTAGATATACTAACTAGATTATACTTAATTATTATAGTACATAATAAAGTATAGATGACATCTTTTTTGGCACACAACTTTTTAACAGGTTGTTTTATCAGCAGATCTTATTATTTTTCGTAAGATAGCGTGATTTGTCATTTAAAATATATATAGTCCTTTTTAGGTGCGAAATATTAACAGAAAACCTGTGTCACTTTTTGTAAAGAGTCCGAGACAAGCACTTTAAAATAAAAAATAAAAGTTCAATGAAGTATAACTACACAGATAATTATTAGTTATGTAGAATGACTTTGATTTATATAGGTTATAAATTAATTAATTAGTAATGGCTTTGTGCTAATTATACTTGAAATATACATTTTTCTTAATGAATAAATGTATATTTTTTATGAAATATGTGGCAAACGAGCAGATGGCCTACGTGATTGGCAGTAGGCACCAGCCAGCCAGCCAGAGCCAGTGCATGTTCGAGCTGTAGTTACTTGACCAAAGCTAGGCTTTACCACCTTTATACTTGGCCTTTTTGTCACTTTTTAGTAATTAGTTGATAGTAATGTAAGATAAAGTCGTTTTTATTATTAATTACAGCTTCGTTTGCAATTCTTTTTAATTCGGAAGCTTTAAATTAAATCATTAAAAGATAGAAATTTTTGGATGAAATTACAGTAAGAAAGCACGTCTATATTTTTGCTAAATTACACAAACACACAGTTGAATGCGAATAAATAAATCAATCGTAAATTAACCAGAATGATCAAAAACAGAAATTACGTCTATCTTACGGAATATGTCCTACCATTTAATTTAAATATATTAAAATGAAAATAATTTATGATTATGTTTAGGTATCGAATAATTTTATATTAATGAAATTTGTGATGAATTATAGTTACGAAGTTACTGCTAGACAGATTTATATAAAACCTTTTTACTTACTCTAACCTTTTTGGTAGCTATTACGTGTTAAATGTCATTTGTAGTAAAAGGTTCGCGTCCAATACATAACATTTTATTTGGAAATAAGAATCCGGCTTAATATAATTAAGATTATATTGAATGATAAGAATCCCTAATAATATTTAATTATGAACCTCCGCAACTCATAGAAGGTAAATTATGAAATAGCATTTACAAAGAGCTTTAAATTTCGTGTAAGGTTGACCTTTAAAAATACTAGCAATATATCAGAATTATAATAATTTACATATTTATTCCAAAATATTCGTTACAAATTAAAACTTTGATTCATATATATCATTATATTTATTTACATTAAATTACGAAAAACATGTATGAAAAAATTCAATTGATAAGTCGAGAACATTTTTTTTAATGGCATAATGTTTATGGCTGTTTGACAGAAATCTGAGTCATTATAGCTTTTAGGTTAGACAAAAATGATAATAATTAGTTTTATAATATATATAATAAATGTGTAATCAATCTAGTATCTTGACTTAAAGTTTGAGTGGCCGTTTTTGTTTTGACGTGAGTATCCCTAGCAACGTGTACCGATCGATGTTACGATAAAGGAATGCAAATGCAATGACACATTATCAACAACTGATTTACACGTCCACACTTTGTATCAAATTAAAACTATTAAATGAATACTCTTACAATATTATGTATTGTTTTCATTATTATTATAAAACTTTAAACACAATTATTGTATATTTTGTTTAAAAGAGAAATAGTTTGATATGGTAGGCGTAAAACGTGAGGTGGATTCGCGGTATAAAGTTGTTTTCTTGGAAGTTATCGCCCTTTATGTACTACGACAATATTTCTATACGGTACTTCAGTCGGGCTAGCCGCGTATAGGGCGCCGCGCGTCTTTTGAAACGGGTATGAATAGAGCAATGTTAGATTTATATATAATATAAAATTTAATTAAAAAAATAGGGCAATATTTTATTTGCAAAATTTCTATTTTTTTCCTATATATGATGGGGCGAATTTTTCAATTAATTTTCGTTAAGCCAAAATTTTTCAGCTGACGTTTACATCAACTTATTTTCTTTTACTTTGTTTTTTTTTTTTAAGATACATGTGCATGTGCTATGACATATGCATATAAGGAAAAATTTTAAAATTACCCAAGATTATATTACTATTTTTTTAAACTAGGTCGTTTGTATTATATTAATGTTTTTAGGTCAATACATCGAAGTATTAACGATTAATTACAGGCTTGACTTTATAAATGACAATTTAGACCTACTTTTTCCGTGTAAGCTTAGTTTAGTAATTTATTTCATATCTAATGACGTTCGTTATTGACGTTTTTCAATAAAGAATACAGATTATATTTAAAGTAAATGTTTTTTTTTTTATTTAAATCAGCAAGGGTAGTATAGGTTCCGATTTTATTTTTAATATATTATATATTTTCAGTTAATGATGGGCGAGCGTATCAGACGCGTCGGTGCACCGTTCTACGCCCCTCCAAGGAAGACGTCGGCTGAAATCATTAGCGAAGCCCGAGCTGCTATATCTGCAGGCAAGTTAATCAGACAGACTATTCCCGAGACTATAAGGTAGACTGTAAATTTGACCAAAAGGCAGATTTTAATATGGACTCTAAGGCAGACTATAGTCATCTTAAATCTCGGTTATAATCCTTGCTTATATCGTAAGCGAATTAATTATTTTCTATCGTATAACTAATCTGGGAGCCAGCGCATTAAACATAATCTAATATTCAATGATCGCGTCACAGATTATATAAAATTAATTTATTAATTGATACACATTCCTGAACGCTCATGTCAAGTAACTACAATGAACAAACATGTCAATACTTCAATATGACTGATGTTATTCCAGATTCTTAAACATTAAACACGCCACTAACAGTATATATTGTATAGAAGTATGTTAGAACAGTGTTTTTCAATCTGTGGGTCGCGACCCCTAAATTAAAGTTCTACACTATAATGAAAACCAAATTTTAATGAAAAGGCTGGTCTTGTTAATTCAAAAACATGTCAAGTCATAAAGGGGTCACGATATCAAAAAGATTTAAAAACCACTGGTTAAAAGTGACATAGGAGAGTAATCTGTGACTTGTGACGAGTATATACAACTTTTCGATGAAAAAGTAGTACATGGATGACTGTTAATACACTCATTAACATATTGTATGGAGAAATGAGTTTTGTTTGATTTTATATTTGGAAGATTTTAAATGTTTTAATAGGTATTCTTTTATATAGAGCGAGATAAAAACAATAAATGAAACCTATCAGAATCGGTTCAGCCTTTGATACTTGATAACACGACGTTAGTTACAACTTACGACTAACGTAACACTAATATCACGATATTTAAGAAACCATAAGACATTATAGAGACTTTGAATTGGGTAGTTATATCCCTTTCGACAAGTAGAGATCAACTGAGAACGGATTTGCATGAAATTCCGCCCACAGAAACTCTCGCTCGGGTGGCAACATTGAAATATTCCTGTTTTTAAAATATAGCTCCTAACTGCTCCAGTTACGTAGCAATCTCCTGTATGTGATGTAGAAATTATCGGTGAGCGAATTTTAACAAATAATCCCTCATAATTTTCGCGGTGGTGGCTGTTATAAATGTAAATTTAAAATTTCTATATCTTATCAGCTATGTCATGCGAAGTGGGCGAGTTGCAGCTAGTACCTACGTATCCCAACTAATATTATAAATGCGAAAGTAACTCTGTCTGTCTGTCTGTCTGTTACGCTTTCACGCCTAAACCACTGTACTGATTTTAATGAATTTTGGTACAGACATAGAGTTGACCTTGAGAAAGAACATGGGATAGTTTTTATCCCAGACTTTTGAAAGGTTCTCTTGGAAACGCGATATAACCGAACTCCACGCGGGCGAAGCTGCGGGCGGAAAGCTAGTATATAATATATACATATAATGTTTTCGTGTTTATTCAATAATAGTCAATAAAATGTCCCAAAACGAAGTCAACGTTATTCGTCACTTGTAAGAAGAATTATAAGTATTTAAAGTTTAAACAAGATTCCATAAGTGTTATAAAACCAAGCACGAATTTGAAATATTTCTTTGAACATAGCTGCTGCCTGCTTATAAAAGAAAATATATGATATGATTATTGTGTTTTACGAATAATATTGTATCAAATCGTAATAAACGGTAAAATTCACATAACCAACGCGACATCAGATTGAACAGGCTGAAAACACGCGATGTTCACCAACTCTATTGGCGCCTAAAACGACATTTTCGTACAATTTTAGCTTGGTCGACCTTCAGTGAAATTTGAAAGGTTTTTTTAATATCATGCTCATGCTTATACAAAAACTATACCTACATAGGTATGAAAGATAGTGTTATTATTAATGATGTAGTATGCAATTTTGTTTTTGTTACCATATTATTATGCTTAAAGATTTATTCAGAAATTTCATGGGTTTAAATTTTTAAACACATGTTTTCATTATTTCACGACATCTCACAATAAAACTATTATTACGCATAAAATTCTGAAATTGGTTATATTATATATGTATTTAAATTAAAATCTTTATAATACTTTTGAACTATAATGAAGTAAGCTAATTATTTTATATATCTAAAATTATAAATCAAAACGGAACGTAAATAAATTTTCCTTTGAATAAATTTCTGTATAATGAACACGTATATATTATATTATATATTAAATGCAATGTTAAGTAAATAATCTTAATACCGAGTATAAGTATATAGGCTGACTAAAATCTCGTAAGTATAAATAATAAAGGGTCTATGTATGCGATTTGACTGTATTTTTTTTAATTTATTTATTCGCACTGGAATCGTGTGATATTCTGCCAATGTCAATGTTTTTATTTGTTGGATGAATTATAATCTTGAGTCCTGTGTGGAAACACGAAGGAGTTTGACGAATGTAATAAAGGAGTTTATTTAATTACTAGTTATTGCCCGCGACTTCGTCCGCGTTAATTTCAGAATTAGTAATATATGTATAGCTGACCGGGCGCAGTCTATTAAGACCTAGAGGTGGCAAATACCCAGATATTTAGATTTTCGATGTAACAGAATTAAATATCATATATCCATCTTCTGGTTCTAGTCTATCTCTCCGCCAATTTTCAACCATATCTCTACAGCCGTTCTTGTGTTATAAATAGTGTTGCTAACACAAATTTCTTTTATATATATGGATTATTATTATGTATGAATACTCTACTTAATTTCTGAAACTTTTCTCTTATTAGAAGTCATTCAACTCGAGTTCAGCGTTTTTGGTTGTTGTTGGTTGTGTTAAGGAAACGGTTGCCATGGAAACGCGAAACATTATACGTGTAACCTCTAAATATTTGCATATCAAGTAATAGGATAGTTTTATAAAATTTAGCCTATGTCTACAGTTTTGGTAGCTAATTTCTGTGGTTATAATTTTTATGGTTATATTGAATGAAATACACTCTATAATCACAGTTTTTTATATCACAGTATTATCTTATTAGTATTAGTGTTATAATATACCTATATTTTCTTAAACTTACTAATTAAATAAAAAAGAAATACAAATTGTAACGAGTGAAATTCTAAATGAAAATGAAAATGTTTATACATATTTTGAAATTGTTAAGCATTTTGATTATTTAAAACGTCTTTAAGAACGACGATGACACCAACACTTTTAATAATATTAAGCAAACAAGGATACAACGTAGGTATAAAGAGATAAACTTGCGAAGAAACTTAAAAAAAACAACAATAATAGTGGGTGGAATCCCTCCGCGCGAAGGAAGTGAAACTTCGTACTGTGGAAATGATAATAGTAAACGGTTAAAATGAAATTTTAGTGGACTCATATTGTTTCTTTAAGACAAACTTTATAAACATTGCTTACAAGTCTCAACTGACCCATTATTTACTATCGCTCCGTTTGTTTCTATTCTCCCTCCCGAAGCGTTGAACGTTTAACGCAATCTTGGAAATTGCGTTAGATGTTTGACTTTAACAAAACTTGTTTTACTTTTCATATACTTAATATTACATATATATTAGTTATTACGGATGGTTTTATAGATTAGTAAGTATTTTTCTTCTCACAGCAGACATGAGTGGTGCGAGCGGGATAGGCCTTCGCCCCTTACGCACTCGCCGGCCGTTTACACCTCGGGAGCCCCAGAGGACGCTACTATCTGACACGAGACGATCTGACACACGTCCTACCAGCGGCTTTGAGTATGGCGCCATTATACACAAGATTAAATAAAAATATACTATTAATATAATTAGCTATATAAACAAGAAATTTTCGTTATGGTTGTAATCCAATTCAATCATTTCTTCCTTAATAATATTAAATGCATTCCAAATAATAAAACAATACTACATTATTTAAATATTACATGACCGTTTAATAATCATTTAATCGAATATTTACAGTCTCAAGTATCAAACAGTTCAGGAGAGTAGCGAGGATGCGTTTATTAATTACCAGATATCAGAACAGGAGCACGTTTCAAATGGTGTGTCGTTTGTAGAAAATCAGCAGCAAAGAAAGAAAATAGTAAGTACCATGGTATGACTATAGAATATAAGGTATAGGAAGGTCATTTAACGCTGGTAGGAGAGGAAAATGTACCCCAAAAAGTATATGAGTTAAGCGTGGGTTAAAAAACCTATAAAATTTGGCAAAATCTTTGCTTCCAAGCTGTTGTATATATTATGATATATGCATAGAAGACGTATACCAAATTCTGTCATAAAATGTAGGCATTTTTCAGCTGAAATTTGACATTAAAATCTGATCATTTTATGTGAAAACATGTATGCTATGTTTTTGTTAGGAACTTTGTTTCTTCCTCAAAAAAACTAAATACGCTTGTATTGTGTAATTTTATTTTTTCTAGTTGAAGTCTACGAAATCTATTAAAAACGCCGATGCCTGGAGCGGTTTCCCCAAATTGCCTCACCTCAGCGGAAAAAGTAAGCCGTTACATAGAAGGAATACAATCGGACAAAATGATGGTGAGTAACGAAAACTTAAAATTGGTCTCAAAATATTTTTTTGACAAAAAATGCAACATATTCTTGTAGCAAAGAAATATATGATTGTAATTATGAAGTATTTATAATATGTGAGATAAGGATACTTTTATTTTAAAGATTGTCGTAATTTCCATCAGCATCTTGTTTTCTAGCCACCCTGTATAATTCTTACAGCCTCAGATTCAAGTACAGAGCTGGCCCAATCTATATCAGTAACACGTCCCTTATCTAATAGCGGCCCACTCTCGAATAACAGATCCATTCATGAAAAAAGTCAATGTAAGATTTCTTACAAAAACATATTATAGTCCACATAAATTTTTTTTTGGCGCGTAGATAATCACACCTTTATTATATATTAGTTTCCAGTACAGATAACGTTAGCAGAAGTAAAAGTTTGGGTGAAAAGTCAGTTTCTTACGACGAGGGAACTTTAAGTGAGGTGTCAGTGAGACATCTTGCTGTACAGCTACCAATCACCAGTGATGATTGTCACAAGTCAGTAATTTTAACCAATAGAAACATCTAAATTAATTCCTTTAGAAAAAAATTTGAGATATATCCAACGTATATCTGAAGAAAATGATTTTTACTTCCAAGACATGGAATTACACGAAAGAAGACTTAATATTGAATTTGCGTCTTGCATTCAATTAGAGAAAGTTTAACCGATTTTGTATCCTTAATTCAAATGAACACTCGATAGTCAGATTAAGAATACAATATATTCTATTTTGAAATCTTATTCCAAATTTAAAATTTAAGTTTCAAGTTGGTGGGGATGAGTACATGAGTGACGTCATCATTTCCAGTATGACAGCCCTAGAGTTATCAGAGGCGTTGTCTCAGAAGAATCAGGGCGTTGATCGCGTGCTCGGTCTACTGGACTCTCTCCAGAAGACCGTGGAGCAGACCAGCCCTGGAGACAGTCTCCGTGAGCTGGTGCTGCGAGCATTAATATCTAGAGCTCGTGATAATGATGAGAGGGTCCTCGTTAAAGTCGCAAGGCTTCTGCTTACGGTGAGTGTTTGGTGATGCTAGGTTTGAAGATCCCTGATTCAGATCCTGATTAGGGTAAATGAAACTAATATTTTCGGATTACAACGCTTTATTTTAATGTTTTTAGTACTACATACTCCTGACATACTGCAAAATAACCAGAATCACGGAGTATGTAGTTTCAATAATGAAATACTCGTAGTAATCCGAAAATTATTAGTTTCATTTTAATGAATACTCGCGAAAGTCTAAATTGTCCTAATAAGTGGATGGAGATTTACAATTATGGTAAAGCAACTGTTTTATTTTAATATATTGGTGAAAAATGTCTTTAAAAACTTAACCTAGAACATAATTCATTTCGGACAGCGAAATTAAATACATACATAAATTGTTTGCTATTAAGTCCTTGCTATGATTAAGGATTCCGTGTTTAATTTCAAGATGCGTGTCACCGGAACGTATTTGACCGCTGCTTGCAAATTGGTCTTCAAAATTGCCAGCAACGATAAGAATGATGGCGTCTTCAAGAATTCAAACCTTCTAGGTACGTACTTGACAAACTAGTAAAATATTTAGATTTTTCATTAATATGAAATTTTATAGAATCATAAGAATAAGATGTGTTTTGAACACCCTATATATAACGTGAATTATAGTAAAACAAAAAACGCAAAGCTAATTAGCAATCTGTTTTTTACTAATTCTTATTTGATAGCCTACAAGTATAAGTGAAACTACCTTCCATATAATAGGAAGCTACAAAACAAAGTTTTCGTAGTATAACTATGATTTGTCATCAGAACTAATCGTGGAGTCATGTGCCCGCGCGTGTCCTTTATCTGAGAGCTCGAGTGTGTTACACGCGATGGGAGCCCTACGTGTGTTAGCCCTGGAGCCTTCCCTCGCAGCCCGCAGTCGCACCGCCGGTGCTCTACACCTGGCTGTGTTACACCTCAAAATCATCAACAACGCCGTACGTTACATACAATTTCGACCAGTATAACTTGAACTATCATATTTTATGATTTTATTATGGCTAATTATATCAATAGAAAGCTGAACGTCCGCGTCAAGTGACCGAAGAGACGACACACGCGTTGTACCAGCTGACTGGAGCTTTAAGGAATCTAGCTGGCAGTGGGTGGCAGGAGAGGGAGGGGGAGGAACTTGAAGGAGATACGGGGAGGGAGTTCGCAAGCAGTGGAGCGATAGCAGAACTCATCAACGCATTGACATTACATACAGATCGAGATGTACTGACTAATGTAGCAAGGTGTCTAAGGTACGTACAGTTATACCAAGTTATATCATTATGACCTGTGTTAGAAAATCCTCCATCTTAATGATGCTAAAATTTTTGCGAGTTTTAATCATTTAAATGAAACTATTTATTTTCGGTTTATACTAACAACTGATCACGGGCAGACGAGTTGTCAATGCCCGTGATCACGGTTACTGAAAAGTAACCGAAACGTCGTTATTATGTAGTTTTTGACAAAAATAAACCGCGTAGTATGATTCGAAGATTAATAGTTTCATTTATATCTTTCCATCTTGTTTCTAGCGTATTGTCATCATGGCCTTCATGTTTGAACGCCTTGTGTTCATGTCCGGGAGCGTCTCGAGCTTTGCTAACAGCGCTTGGAGCTTGTGCCGCGAGGGCAGCGCTGGCTGTAAGACTAGCTTACACCTTGGGCAACATGGCCGCTCATTGTGATCAAGCTAGAATAGAGGTAAGTCTTATAAAGAAAACAGCAAAAAAATTTCATTACTATAGCATTCATATTCCCTTTCTTGCCAAAAATTATTGTAAATTTAACTACTGATTTGGATTCTATTAACAACAGAAAAATATCACTGTTATAGCATTGATAGTCCATACTTGGCAAAAAATTGTAAATTTTAGCTATACCTTTCGATTCCATTGCAATTACTTCGTAAAACTTGTATTTTTTGCAATATCTATCAGCAATATCTTTAATAACAGATATACAACGAGAAGGGCAGCATCGACGTTCTATTGACCATACTGGAGTCATACACGCAACGTAACGATAACGACACGAGGGAACACGACAACGATCCGGACTTACATTTAATAGGTGCATTTATTATATTAAGTTAAATGTAATAAAAATTTCAAAGGAAATCTTTTTTGTCGTTATCCCAAACTTGATTGCTAGTAAACTGTATTTCGATGGGTCCTATGTATAAGGGCCAAAGTATCAATTTAGCAATTTTTTTTCTTTAAATATTCATAATACTGTATTCTATGTAAAAGATCCATTTCAAAATGTGTATTTATTGGTAGAAAAACTCAGTTTTTATTGCATTAAAAATCATAAGTAACACATTTTTTTAACGTATAAGAGCTTATAATGTATATTATTAAAATATATTAAGGAAATATTTGCAGTAGAAGATATATAATATCATTATATGATCTTTTGTATGACAGGTTCTGATCTTGGTGGATCAGACGGCTCAAACGAAGATGTCCTCATAAAGGTAATAATCCTTAATTAATAGCCTAATTGTCATTAATTCAGGTTATTAATTGCATTTTTTTGGACTTCCCACTGATTAGACAGTACGAGTGGTGGCGAATCTATGTTTGACAGAGGAGACAGGTCGCGGGCTTGTGGAACACGCTGATAGGATTGTGAGGGCGATGATGAGTTGTTTGGAGGTAGCAGCCAGGGTCGGGGGGAAGGAAGTAAGTTTATATTATATATTACGAAGAAAATTAAAATCATATTTATCATTTTGGTAAAGGAATTGATGGACCATACATATAGATTTGGTAGTATTCTATAAGTGACATTGAGAAAAAGTGCTAAAATGATTGGAATTTTCTGTTTTATGTTCCCAAGATTACTATTACGTTTATCGATGTTAAATAGTCGAATTTTCTAAGGATCTTGTTAAAGTTGATGGACTATACAAGTTACATTTGGTAGAATCGTATAAGTTTCATTGAGAAAAAGTCCTAAAATGTTTAGTATTTTCCGTCTAATAGAAATGAGTGAATATCCAAGTGTCAAATCGTTAAGTTTTCTATATCTTGGTATTTAGTTAACAGATATAGAGCGCAAGTCCAGTGAGGAACGTCGTGAGGAATTAGCGACGGCTGCACTGGCCACTATAAACAACATCACCTTCTACTTCGAACCAACGGACTCCACACACTTTGATACCTTGGACCATCTGGTTGAAGGTAATTTCATTATTTTAGATAAAAATTTAGATCTTTATTTTCAAATACACGTTAAAAGTGTGATTACTTTTTAAGACTAGTGGTTGAACGTCGGTTCGCTCTTTCTTGATGTGAATATGAGAATAAAATAAGCATAATACGGTCGAATTGATAAACCTCCTTTTTGAAGTGGATTAAAAATATAGGTATAGGTTTTCAAAAAGATTTTGAGTGTGATTTTTTTTAAGACAGGATGAAGGAAAGGATTTCGAAATAAGTTTTTATAATAAGAATAATATACGATTTAATATTTTCGATGTCTATGTTCGTAGTAACATGTGGCTGGTTGTCTCACGGCGGGCTCCCCACACACGAGGCGGTCCGAGCGCTCGGTAACCTCACGCGCTGTGACCGCGCCGCGCGCGCCGCCGTGCTGTACGGGGCCTTAGACGCTCTACCGCCCTTACACACTCATGGTGACTTGTAAACCCTACTTTTGAACCCTTATACATAACTATTTCAATCGTTGTTTATTAAATCTAGCTAGAGTTTATCAGTCGTTATGATGGTAAGAGCGCAATCCAAGTAAAAGCTACTTTAAATTTTCCTTTAATAAGAATTTATTAATAAAAGAGAATAAGGATGTAGAAAAAATCTTCCAATACTTTGCTATGATCATATAACTCATAAGATTTTTTTTTATATCATCGTGGCAAAAATCAAATCATTATTCTGCCAGACGACGAGGAGGTTCGTAGCGCGTCCGCTGGTGTGTTAGTGAATGTGTGCGGTGCGGGTGGCGGGGTGCAGGAGGCCGGGGGCGCTGCCGCTAGGGCTCTGGCCGCGGCCGCGAGGATGAGAGACGTCCGCTCGGGGGCTCTGCTGGCCCGAGCTGTGTGGAACGCTCTAGAACAACGACCATTGGACGTACACAACGCTAGAATGGCGGCCGCCGCGTTAGCGACCTTCATAGGCAAGTATTTTAAACTATATTGACAGTGACAGTAACGGTTGTTGTGTACACAGATAATCACAGTGATTCATTATAAACAGACAATAAATTAAAATATATATATATATATATATATATATATATATATATATATATATATATATATATATATATATATATATATATATATATATATATATATATATATATATATATATATATATATACTAGATATATTTCAGATATATACTATAGTTTCACAATAATGGAAGACGATAAAATTATCAGAAATGTGGTTGAGATGTGACAAGAACTTTAATTTATATTTAGTTATACATCAATCTTAGCAGAAACTTATTTTTGGAAACATATATAGTATAATGAGCGTTAAATGATATGATAATATAAATTTATATAAGTCTAAAATGGTGTACTGGTAAAGATTTTTAGCAATAGAGAAATAAGATGATTGATTATAACAAGGCTAATTCAGTAGTATCCACGTGTTTGAGCTAATTGACTATATGACTCCGTGGCGCAACGGTAGCGCGTCTGACTCCAGATCAGAAGGTTGCGTGTTCAAATCACGTCGGGGTCAATATTATTATTTTATTGTTAATTAAGTAATATATTTATTTTGATTAACTCATTTACAGTGCATATATTGATATGAAATTTATTTGGTAAAATATTCCTTTTGTACGTTATATAATTTTTTGTGAATGTATTTATAAATTTTATATCGATTTCATTCATTTAGGTACCAATACATAGTTTGAAATATAAAAATAATATTATTTTTATTATCTCTATTTTAGTCTACGTATTACTGACAAGTCAATCGCCATTTTGACATTACTTTTAAAAATTCTTTTGTTTACATACAAAATGATTATTATGCAACATAACTTATTTATATGCGAAGCAATATAGTTATGTTATATCATAAAATGTTTATTATGATTTGTTCTAGAAGACGAGTCATTGTTGGCTGTGTGTGAAGCCGCGAAGTGCGAGGAACGACGCGCCAGCGACCCAGATATTATGAAAAACCACAGTGTAATAATAATAAATACTTTATACACTGCTTTTTAATATTTGCAGTAAAATTTTTACTCTGTGTCCATTTAAAAAAACAACAATAACATTTTCATTTCATATTATTGATTACTAAAAGAGAGTATTTAGGTTTGATTTTTAAAATGTTTCGTAGGTAAAATTGGGTTTGGAAGGTCGAGGTTACAATCGGGAGCATGTTGAATCGAAATTGTCGTTGAGCGTTGAAGAAGATCTGCATTTGGAAGAGTTTGAAGAAGAAGGGGAAAGGTGATGGAGAATGATTTAATAACCAATAAGAATAATATGAAGTGTTAACAAATCTTAACGGTTTTTACGATGTCTATATGAATGTGTTTGAGAACAGTCTTTATAAATTACTAGCTGCGCCCCGCAGTGTTACCCGCGGATTTCCGGTATGTAAAGTAGCCTATATGTTATTCCTGGACGTAAGCTTCCAGTATACAAAATTTTATCAAAATCAGTTCAGCCGTTTGAGCGTGAAGAAGTAACAAACATACACACACACACACTCACAAACATTCGCAATTATAATATTAAGTAGGATGTATATTATATCAGATGGTCAGGCTCGGACTTGGGTTTTGAAGAAGGCAGTCCGGAGCCCTGTTCGTGTGGTCGCTGTTCCCGCGGCAGTTCGTGGAGGGCCCTCACTGATGTCGCACTGCCGCTGCTGCAGAGACTGCTGCCGGCACGACGAGATGCAGCAGTCGGCACAGATTAATAATAATCATAATAAATGTGTATACGATGTTCGTTGTTATCTATTATATGTACGGAAACGTTCGTTTCTAAATTTAAACAATAAAAAAAATTGGTCTCAAATTTGTTTTGTCATTTTATCCGTATGTTCTAAATTCAAATCGAATTACCAAAAAAAACGCAGATAAAAAAAAAGTTAAATTTTGAGATTGTTGTGAAGATTATAAGTTACCTGTTTTCCTAGTAATTATAAATTTATAGTTATAAATACGGTCGAAATTAATTCATTGAAAAATATATCTTTAGAAAGGTAGATCCTTTGCAGTATCGAAATGTCACAAGTAACATATGTTTTTTTATATATCTCAGTGTCCATAATTCAATCACAATTCACCTTAACACCAGGACCTTGAGCTGTTTCGAACGTTTTCCCAAAGTACAGGTTCAGTTAGTGATTCTTGTTCCGTCGTGTTACACTTACATAATGAGTTTTAAGGATTTTTGTCACTAATAAAGTTATGTAAGTAAATTATTTCGTTACAATAAGACGCTGGTTATTCAATCTTTACCTTATTCAAATATTATCTTTGAAAATAAATGCAATAGAATTCAATTTTAAATATACACATTACCTTATTAGTCAATAAGTAATAACAAAATTGCGGACATTTTAAAAGTTACCGATAGACGCTTACAGAGGAAACGGAAGTCAATAAGGATGACGCTGGACGGTCGATAATTTGTAAACGTCAAATTGACGACAAGTTGGCAATAGTGGTGCAATACACATATTATACAACACGAAATTACTTAAAGTTCGGATATCCAGGAGCTAAGATGGTCCGCCCCCTTATATAGCGTGATGGGATTTAGTAATAATATACATTTTATATGTAGGGAAAATTTATCAATTAGAAAATGTTACACATTGCTTTGTGTCTTGAGTCCTTTTTAATCTTCTTCCTCTTGGCAATTTAGCAGCTTTAGCCAGGGTCTGCCTTACATGTTGTAAATAGTTTTGGCTAATTGTTTTTACGACTTCTTTGGGAGTCCTTTTTGATATTCACTTAATTAAGTACTTCCAGTTATTGAACGTGCATATTTAATTGTATTTATTAATATATTGAACAGAATAGTTATTTAATTAGTATTTCTGGTCGAAGTTCTATACCTAAAGGTGTGTCGAAATTTGTCGACTGTTCTAGGTGTTATCGACCTTTTTAACTACTTCCCGAATACCTACCTTTTCTTTATTCAAAACATAATTCCCACGACCAAATTTTCCTTTTAACAATAAAAAAAAATGCGAACAAATTTTAATTGCATTAATATTTGTAAATTACTTCTTGTTAAGTAATAAATAAGTAATTAAAATAACTGCGTAATTATATTACAATGAAGTGAAGAATTTTGATGACTTTCTGAATATCCCTCCTAAATGTAGAAAATATTAATGGAGATTTTCATACAAATTTAGTAGTGTTTTATTTGCGAACAGCCTCTATATAAGTATAATGGGTGTGTAGAATTTAATAGGGACGTTTGTGTATAAGATATCCCTGGCAGCGAACTCTAGAACAATCTGTGAGCTACCACCGACGCTTAAACATCTGCTCATTAAAGGAAGACGCCATTACAATTATTACCACTAATTATGAATGACAAGTGTCAAAATTTATGAAACACGTCATTAGGGCGGTTATAAATTTAAAAGAGCTTCAAATTAAACAAGTATTTGTTTGACAGTCGCCGAAGAAATGGGTCGGAAGAGCTATTATGGAGTTTTCCTAGTGATTACACTGGTCGCTAACGCGGTCTGCCTGCCGACGTACGCGGTGCGACCGAGGCGGCAATCTGACGTGAGTATATTTGTTATATAAAAAGATATTAAATAAAGAAAAAAATGACGTAAATTGCTTAAAACAAAACTGTTTACTACGAAAACAATTTGAGAAGTATAAAAATATTTAATTGCCAATAATGCACGTCATTTATAGATTCAATTTTAACATAATAATTGAATCCAATCTATAGATGACAGCCTTCAATATTAATATTCTCGTTGCAAGTGGTATGTGGTTTACGTTTTGTCAAAAGTAATTATGAAATTAGATCCGGTTTTTGCAACACTAAATACTTCATTACGGTTTTAATAGGTATATTTATATCTATACACATATATTTCTCTGCTATAACCTTTGGATTCGACGACTTTTGTACTAATTTTATATATATGTTAACCATGTCCTTTATATTATTTATTTTTAACAAGTAAGTATTTTTCCATATTTTTTGTCTGACTTGGCTTTGCGAAAACAGCTTTTGAAATGTACTTGAATTATCCATTTAAATTGGAGTATATACTCAAAATGATAAAAAAAAAGTTTTTTTGAACAATCACGATATGGACTTTCCCATTATATAAAATTCCTTTGCATTGAATACAGCTTGAATATAAAAAAAAACAGGTACTGGTACATGAAAATAATACTTGTTTATTTTATTATTGTACTTCTGCGAACTATATGTTTTATTACGTGTTTCCAAACGGACAATTTCTCTTTTAAAATCTCCGTTTAATATTTTCAGTTGTTTTTTTTAATTGGTGTAACATTAAATTGCATGTTCAAATGTCATTATACCGCCGATGAACTGACAATTAACATTTTTAATACTTTGGCGGTAAATGGTTTGTGACTAAAATTCCTAGCGATATTTTAATTGACATGAGGTTTTATATGTGCTTACACACAAAATATTACCCTTTTTTATATGTTTTTGTACTTAAATATTGCGAAATAATTCTTCAATATACGATGTAGCTAGGTAATATTTAAAACGTCGTGACCTTTTTATATTGTTTTGTTTATTACTAAATAACCATACTAGTGCAATATGCTTACCAAGAGTTTCTATCGTCACTCACATTCGGAGAGTCAACAGTATTTCATTCATAAATCTACACTCATAGTATTAAAGTAGGTTATTGAATGAGAAACGGTAAACTATACGTATGTAGTATGACGTGACAATTCACGGTGAGCATATTTTCATTTAAAGCGAAGTCCTTAGTGAATTTCCTAAATAAAGTCGCTCAAGGTTTGAGTATGATTAAAAGTAAGACGAAAAAAACAAGTCACTCCACTTCCCGATTACATATAACCAAAGTCACTTCCCGGAGTATTTTATATGTATGTATTTATATATAAAATTAATTAATTAAAAAAAGTAACGAAAAAAATGTATGAAATGTTTTAAACTTCTGATTGACGAATCAATTACAATGTTTGTGAGAGATTGACTATGACGTATTTTTTAAATTAATAAATTAAAAGATTTTAGTATGTATAAAATTATTACAAGTAAATATATATATATATATATATATATATATATATATACATATATATATATATATATATATATATATATATATATATATATATATACTTGTAATACCTACTGGATTTGTAGAGTAATACCTACGTAAACGTTTGCAATCTCTTTAAAATTTAAATATGTCATTGTCAGTGTTCAGACCTTGAGTACTAACCTCAATTATATAAGTCTTGCGGCCAGTTTATGATTTATGGTCAAATAATATGGAACCTTTTTAGTCTCAAATATTTTCAATATCACTATCAGGGGGTGATTAGTGATAAATACTGATGCCAAAAATGCAATAAGAATTATTTTTGTCCGACTGTCTGTCTGTAAATTCCTTATAGAAACAAAAACTACTTTTTTTGATTTTAACAAAACTTGGTACAATTATCCTTCTACTACTACTTTTACTTCTGTGCAGGTTATAGTATAAATGAAACTAATATTTTCGGATTTACTACGCGTTTTTATTTTTGATTATAAACTACATACTCCCGACGTTTCGGCTACTTTACAGCAACCGTGATCACTCACATCTCGTCTGCCCGTGATTTATTCAAAAATAAAAAACGTTTAGTAAATCCGAATATATTAGTTTCAATTAAATGAGTATTTAAAATCTTAATCATTAGGTTATAGTATACTTTTCATCACGCTACAATCAATAGGAGCAGAGTATATAATTATAATTACTATTCGCAGAATTCTATTACTAATAGACTTGATTTTTTTTGATTTATAGACAAATGCAACTACATCGGAGGTGTCTATAAGTAAAAACAATGATATAACGTATCCACCGTCTGCCACCAATGATGATGACGACGCGGGCTTTGACACGTCGTCACAGCCATCGTCGGGAGGCGGCAGTAGTATATCAAGTCTACTAAACCTGCTAGGTGCCTTCTTCCCAGGATCTAGCAGTTCCGCGGTAAGTAGACTTGGATTTTAAGAGCTTATATCTTCTTAAGCATTAATCGTCATTTGATTGGTTGTTGAGAAAGTGGTTTACGAGAGCGAAATTATTTGCACGTTTTAGACGCTTGGTTTGGAAATAAAGTTTATCTTTCTGAATGACAAAGCACTATATAAGAAAAATCGTTGTATGGATGGATTAAATTTTTTCACGCATTTACATCAAACACTATATTTCCTCTGATATTATTTTGGTTTTGGATGATATATTTTTATTTCTTCTTATTCCTTTTTGCACACTTTTCAACATATCGTCACTTTTTTAATCCACACGTGTGTTTTTATGCAAAATCGTAACGATTTTTCACAATGTTTTTTTAATCTTTTTGCAACGAGTGACTGCACCGCACCTATTTTTGCACAGAAAAGGTAAGAGTTTATTATAATTATTACAATTACATATAATTTAATAATAATATGATTATATTAGTAATATTCATTGGAAGATAATGACAAAGTTTTTGCAGATCAATAAACTTCAAGAGATCATGCATAAAATGATAAAAGATTTGGGGAATATGAAGGGTATGAAGAAAATAATAAAACGAGATGTAACAAATAATGAAATAGATGTAGATTATAAAGTCAAAGAGAGACTCGAGGAAGATGATGTAAGTGACTCTGAGAATAACGAAACGAGCGAAGAAGATAATAGGAATGATAGTATGGAGGATTCTGATTCTAATATTGATTCTGACGAGGATTATGATGACTTCCCGGGGGGTGACGGCCAGGGTGGGGGGCTGTTGGGGCTGCTGGCTGGTCTCAGTGGCGGAGTAAGTGTCCGTCACAAAGAATATAACTCATATGTCCTTTGAATCGACCTTACATTCACTTGACTGTTGTAAATAAATTTTTTTTTTGTGTTTTTTTTAGGAGGATGGTCAATCTGATTTGGGATCACTTCTAGGAACTATAAGTGGGATCGTCGCGAATCTCAGTGTAATAAAATAATTATATTTTAATATATATATAAATATTTTCATAAAATGATAGCAGATTCTGTTTTAGGGCGATGGAATCGATTTGAACAGCCTCATCGCTTCTGGATTGGGACTTTTTGTTGGTTTACTGGTAAGAGAGTTATAGAATGAGAATATTGAAAGTAAATAGTATTGTAGGCTAAATATATTACATTTTTAATAGTCTGAAGGCGAAGAAAATCCAGGGGCGGTGATAGCGAGCTATTTACTGACCTCCTTGGACACTATCACAGGAGGGGGATCCGTACGTAAAATATAATATATGAAAATAGTACAAATGGAACTGATAATATTATAAGAATGTTATTTTCAGAAAAATAATGGAAAATTCTTTGGTATATTCCTATCGAAGCTGGTGAAAGGTATTAGCGCTGTGAGTACGCCTTTAAGTTTTTTATAGCAATTTCTTATCTATTTTTCTTTGGAATAAAATCGAATAATTGTCTATATTTAATAATGCTATGTAATCAAGAACTAATATTACAGGCTGTTGACCCTGACGCGGATTCTGATGAAGACGGACATCCCCCTATGAAGGATTCCGCGGGATTTTTCATTAGTCTCCTGATGGGTCTGCTAGGAGACATGTCAAAAGGAAGCTCTTCTTCACACTGACACAATAAATTAACATTTCATTCTCACAAATACCAAATTTTATGCTTATTTTTAGGATATTTTTGTAAGAAAAAGAAAATATAATAGCAATGTTATTTTATTTACGTCCCAATTCCATCAAAATATTAACAAAAAGTAGCACATTCACCACGACTTATCGGTAAGACTTGACTTAATTCTCGCCTCAAGATACAAAATTTATTTTACGATCAGGCGAAAAATCTTCATGCCTTAACAACAGTAACGAGATATGACCAGATAAGATTTGATTGGTTTGAATTTATTTAGAACATATGTTATGTCATACATGTCATTGATTTTGTTTGTGTCATGACATATTCCAGAGTCCCCGCGAAGCCCCCAACAGTCCCGGGGCTCCGACGCAGTCTTCGCCCCTCTGGACCCTCAAGATGGACATTCTCCGCGCCTTACTTCAGTTCGGTTCTTCAGTAATAGGCCTGGCTTCGTCCGCTGTCTTCTCATCTTCTTCGTCGTTCGGTTAATGTGCCATAATAAATATATTTACTTAATAATAACGTTTTTATTTTAGTTAATTAAAGTCTCTTCTCGCCCGTCGTTGTCAAACCCAATTCGAATATCTGTGGAAGGATCAGTTGTAATCTATATATATATAAAAGAAAGTCGTGTTAGTGACTTCACTTATAACCCAAGAACGGCTGAACCAATTTAGCTGAAAATTGGCAGGGAGGTAGTTTAGAACCAGGAAATTGCAATAGGATACTTTTTATCCCGTTCGACAGCATTCCCGTGGGACTTGACATGAAACGTCAGTCGTTATAAAACGTGGAATAATACAATTAACAGCTATGCAATTGACGTATAATGACAGATATGTAATGACGTATGGATGACAATTAGATATTTGTAAGAAATCTACTATATAAAAATAAAAATATTTAGGTAATGTGTTTGTAGCTTGAACTCTTAAAACCATTAAGTATTTGCGGGATAAATTTAGAAAATCATTGTTTTTCACATGGGCAGTTATATTTTGCGTGTTCACGAGTTTGGAAACCATCCGCTTTATTTGTGTTAAAGTTAGACCAGAAAACAAAAAATGTGGTTTACAAAGGAGCACTTCAATGAAACAGATAATTAGCGGACACGTATAACGCTTCGATTCGGTATCTACTTTGGATTCACTTTCAAATAAAAATTTTCCTTTTCAAATATAAAACAAAAAATTCTTCCTCTTTTAATCACCAAACGAAATGTTATATAAAAGCTCTGGTGGCGAAACGGAGTTCGCCAGGTTTACTAGTTATTAATAAAATTAATTCTTGCCCAAATAAAGCACGTATTTATTTACGTGCTTCACGTGAATGTCTTTACTCACGTTAACGTTCGGTGGTGTAGACAGAACGTAAACGATGACATCGGCTACCTCTTTGGGGTCCAACATCTGCTCGTCTTTGGGCCGTCCTACTGTCAGCTCAGTGCGGACGAGGCCGGGGGATAAGTTCTGTTAATATTATATATATAAAGTTATTTTGTAACTTCTCACTATATAGACAATAATACCTACTCTACTGGGGTCCCTGTACAATTTTATTGGTGGAAGGTATGTAGATCTGACGAAAATATTCCATGAAATTAAACTAACGATATTCAGTGAATACTTCTATAAAAAGAACCATCAGATATGGTTTTTTTTAGTTTGTATAACAGGTGTCTACCCTCTCTAGTTGAGACAGTCACTGACGCAGTAATTCAAACTCTATAAACTATAGACCAAATCAAGTTAAAGCTATCTATTTAGGCCAAGAGCCAGGGCCAGCCAGGCATTCGTTAATTTATAAAAGCTGAAAGTTTTTCTATAGATGCACCCAATATAGGTAGTCACGATCCCCAAGTATGAAATTTGGGTCGAGGTGGCTTTGGCAGGTAACACGTTCTAAAGGTGTATAAAATTTTCTTTCACTTTCCTCTTAGTACAAAATTCAGTTTTGATATATTTTCATCGTAATAATATTAGAAATCAGGCTGTAAATTGCCGGGCACTTAGTAAGGTGGGAAACCCAGCCAGGCACCCCTAAATTATAAGTAATTTTATTTGTACTATCGTTATAGTACATATATAAGCTGATTTTTATGTATGTTACGGAGGAAAGTATTAAATTATATTTACTCAGTAGCCAGGCAGTTTCGATGGTGCTTTTACCTGGCCAGGCACACTGAAAGTCTTCCGTAAGTGCGACAGCAAGGAACATATATCTGAGCGAGTGTGAGTGAGTTAGTGCTCTCGGTCTATTGCGACCTTCTACTGCGCATCAGCTGTCATTTAGCAATGTATTTTGTGTGAACTATTTTATAATTTAACAAATTTTCAATAAGTTATTACATCAAAAATCTAACAGTTTAATTAAAACTGTTTTGAAAAATTCTACATTTCAATGTTTATTCAAATTAGAATCACAATATTAAAAAATAAATTATGTATTATGGGAGGGCATAAGTAATTTGTCAATAAGAAATTTAACGAAAAAGATATTTTTATTATGCCTACTATTACTTTTACTTTTTCTAATATCTAGTATATAATATCAGCAACAAATTATATTTAGAATCATCTTTTCACTCAATGACTGATCTATATAACACATAAAAAAGTATTGTTCAGAAACAGAAGAGCCTACCGTCTGTACGTTTACTTTTGAAAAAGCATTTAACGAGAAAAATTTGTCCCAAGTAACTAAGTTTGTCTTCTCAGTAACTAAATATCTATAAAATGTAAACTTGAACATATCTATTCGTAACTTCATCGAGGATATGTTCCTTCCTCTCGCACTTACGGAAGACTTTCAGTGTGCCTGGCCAGGTAAAAGCACCATCGAAACTGCCTGGCTACTGAGTAAATATAATTTAATACTTTCCTCAGTAACATACATAAAAATCAGCTTATATATGTACTATAACGAAAGTACAAATAAAATTACTTATAATTTAGGGGTGCCTGGCTCTGTTTCCCACCTTACTAAGTGCCGGGCAATTTACAGCCTGATTTCTAATATTATTACGATGAAAATATATCAAAACTGAATTTTGTACTAAGAGGAAAGTGAAAGAAAATTTTATACACCTTTAGAACGTGTTACCTGCCAAAGCCACCTCGACCCAAATTTCATACTTGGGGATCGTGACTACCTATATTGGGTGCATCTATAGAAAAACTTTCAGCTTTTATAAATTAACGAATGCCTGGCTGGCCCTGGCTCTTGCTCTATGTAGCGATACTAAAACGAATTAGAAGCATTCAAAATATCCTTAGTCCAAGTTTGCTTCTTCATAGCTAACGTTTCACTTTTCAATAACCAACCTTGATTTTATTTATGCAAAGATATGAAAGGATAACTATATACGTAAATTCAATATTCTCTTACGTACCGTCAGTTTAATCTGACTGCCACAGTCTGCTAGCTCATTATTGAGTGCTGATGAGAAGGCTGTGGCCGCGTACTTGGTGCTCGAGTATATGTTGAAGTAGGAACTGAACGGTATGTAGTGACCAGCCAGGCTGAACGAGGGAATACACCCAATAATAATAGAAGTATATTATATAAAGAATTTTTAGGTAGTATATTTATAAGCCATAGTAAAAATCCAGCATTACTAGGCGTGTTTTTCGTCAAAATATCAGTTAAAACAATTTTGTAGTGCCAAATCTTAATAACTTCGCTTTGCATATAAAAATATTCCATACATAACTTAGAATGTTTCGTATAAATGAGAATGATAGATCGATTGCTAAGATTATAAATAGGAAGTATTTACGTGACATTCATTAAGTCGCTAATCGAAATATAATAGTTTGAATATTAAAATGTTTTTATTATAATCCATACTATAGATAAAGCTTTGTATTTTATACTTAACATATATCTATAGTAATATTTACCTGGATACATTAATAATATGTCCATGGAAGTTTCTCTTCATCATAGATGAGACGGCTTTCTTGGCGCACAACACCACACCCTTAAAATTAACGTCCATGACCGAAAGCAGTTCTTCATCAGACAAGGTCATATCACCAGCATCTTGAACATTTAAATCAAACTGGTAATTGTCTTTAGTTTGATTGGGATATTTTATTAATTATAAGTGATTAAGTGAATTTAGATGCTAAAGAAAAATTTGTCCTAACATAGACGATTTGAAAACTGTATCGTTATTTTGTTAAATAATATTAATAAGGTCCAACAATAGTTTCCATAATAAAGCCAAATAAATGTTATTAAAAAAGCTGAACTCTTAATATACAACGTGATTTTTGTGTTGTGCAAACCTCACAGTAGTTTGCTCAGAATGAGTAACATAATTCATTAGATTCGTTTTCGAATGATGTTTAATTTTATCCCCAAATTAAATTAAAAATTAAACTAATAGGAAATTTTACTGTGCAGTAAAATAATAGATATTAGGGTAATATTTACGCGTAGTAATCGGGCCAACTGTAAATTCTGGTAATTTTGTCAGTTTTAATACACTTTTTTACACTATATTTTTAAGTGAAGTTCTTTTTGGGGTGTCTTAGCTTTGCACTATGAGAAAAAACACGTAAAAACAATACAAAATTACTATGTGTATACACTTTATTTCTATGTATGCAGAGTATACCTGTTATTCTACCCGGTTTAAAGATTCCAGCGTTATTTATAAGTATATCTGTACCGCCGTGATTTTCTTCCACCCATTCAAAAGCTGATGATACATCTTCGAGGTTTCCAATGTCGCATCTTCTTGAATAAATTTTTCCATTACCTGACACGTTTGCGTTTAATTCCTGCGAAGGGTAAATTATTCTTATGATCACATGAACTTATGAATTTAATGATAATAATAAATTAAAAACAATAATAATATAATGAAAGCAATAATAATATGAAAACAGTTTCCGAGAAGTCGTCTATTTTTACTACAAACGCGACACTAAAACACACACTTAATAATTCGGTCATAACTTTCTAACAAAATTTTCCATTGATACCAGAGAAAATATTGACACTCTAATCTATATTTTTCTATCTGAAGATTTAAGTTTAGAGGTCATTTTTTAGATATAATTATATTTTAAACTGAAATAAATTAAAAAATTATGAAACAGTTATGATTATGACGTCATCATGCCTAATTTATCATAAGACAACATACTAGATATTTTCGTTGGTTCACTCACTTGTACCAGGTGATCTCTCCTGGCGAGTCCAATAACCGTCAACCCTCTATCAGCTAAGGCTACAGCCACAGCAGCCCCAATCCCTGAGCTGGCTCCCGTCACCACCGCCGTTTTTCCCACCCAACGCTCCATAATTACTAATAATAATAACTTACAATTTAACTACACTTATTTTCCTCCCCTATAAGTCTAATAACTTAGTATTGACGTTCTAATCAACATCTGGTTATAGAGTTTAGGTTTACGTGTTTTATAGTTTCAAACGACCTGGAAATTTCCACGATTTATGTAAATGAAAGTTTATATTTTTCAATTGTAGTTAATCGATGAGTTCTCAATTGAATGTAAATGCAGTTGAGGATGAAAAAAAGTCATGCAATCTAATATGTACCTATTGTGGATTAATCTTTGTAAGTATTTACAAGGGGCAATGCAAAAGTAATAATAATCAGATATTTAAAAAAACTGTTTTTTCTAGTTCTACGCGAAAAATCGTATAAATAGACCATGTGTCCAGGGAGATGATTCATTTGAATACTGACAACAGGAATGTTCACAACAAAATGAAGAAAAACAAAATGAGACTTGTCATCAAGGATATCTGTTAGAAAAAATCTGTCAAAAACAAACACAATAACTTAGTGCAATCATAGAGGTACTTTGCCTCTCTATATTTCAAGGTTGCATGCTGGGCCTAAGAGTTTTATCTGCGTAGAACTGGCATGGAATAAGAAAATCGCAAGAGACACCCGTCCACGTCCACGTCTATAGAAAAAAATGTCGAAAAGATAAAGAATATTATTATGAGAGCTCGAAGATTGACCATCAGGCACTTTGTTAAGGTAACAGGGATATCTCACGGTAAAGTTTAAAGAATTTTGAACAGCGAATTTCACATGAAGGAGGTCTCTGCGTGTTGTTTAACAAGCATGTGAAGAGACGAGCAAAAGAAAAAACGAGTTGATATTTTCAAGCCAACAAACAATTTTTTTGTCACGTTTCGTGATCATATCCACAACCTAAGTGCAACATTTTGACACGGAAACCAGAAAATCCTCCCCCATATAAAAACAAGGCTTCTCATCGATACCGAAAAATTTTAATCTCGTTTTCGGCGGGAAAAGCAATGGCGTCAGTTTTTTTTATTCTAAAGAAATTAGTATGGTCGAATACTACGAAAAGGGATTTTTTATTACAGACTTATACCAGGCAGACTTATAATTTTAAAATTATTATTAATTTTAAAACAAAGAAAAATTTCAGATCCTATATTCCTAAGTCAAGGTTCATATGTAAATATATTTATTTATATAAAAAATATATATATACATATGTCCAAATGTCCACTCACCTCGATTATTTCTTTAGTTATATTAAACGGTTAGCGCTCCAAACGACCGGTCTATTCACTTTCACGGCAACGACTGATTTCACTTTCACTTAACAAGTTAGAAAACTGAAAGGCCTAGCATAAATCCCTAACAATTATTATATTTCTATATCTGACCAACGTCTCTTCCGCACTTCACTCCGAATAGTACTATTCCATAGATCGATTATTAAAATTGTTCCATAATTATTCAACAAGTCACAAAGCAATTCATTCAATATTATGATTGGTTTTATAAAGGCATACAAAAAATCCAATATATCGCTGTTCTACTTATATTTAGGTTTGTATCTAAATATAATTCCTATATATAAAATATGACGAGAAACACATTAAAAGAAATGAAGTTAATTAGTAAGTAATTGCATAAGATTTCAAATGCTTATTTTGACAAGTCTAGTAATATACGCCGTGGTATATTTTAATAACAATCTTATTACTTCTTATACTAGTTCAGTAAATAAAGTAATATCGTTTTTCTTTATTAAAAATATATTATAAGCAACCCTCCTCTTAGATTTATTAAAGTACCCTCTAATTAATTGGATTTATAAAAATCTTAAGTCAGTGGTGGCCTAGTGGTTAAAAGGCCCGCCTCTTATGTATGAAGGCGAGGGTTCTATCCTGGCCCGGGCAAGTACCAATGTGATTTTTCCGAGTCATATGTACTTTCTAAGAGTATTTAGACATCACTGATTAATGCTGATTCCTAAAAGAGGGTTGATGTCAGGCAGGCGGCCGGTCGTAAAAACAAATAGCCAAAGCTATTCACAATATGTGAGGCAGACCCTGGCTATAGCTGGGAAATTGCCAGGTAGAAGAAGAAAAAGATACAAAGATCTGTAGTCTTGTATCGAGTCCGTCGGAACAGTCGGAGCTCTGTACATTCGGTAGCGTGAGTCATATTGTAAATCACATTGTTAGATTCTGTGAAGTAGCAATCATCAGTGTCATTAATAAACCTATTACTTGAGTTATTTTATGAATCTGTAAGAATTATTAATAATTAAATTGTTATTTTGTAATTAGTATTTTTTTTTGTTACTTACTCCTTGGAATCTAAAAATATATATTGTCGTGATCTATTAAATTAAATGTAAGAAAATTTTTTGCTTCTAGTTTATAGTTGATATATCATAAATTTTCAGTAATGAATTTCATCCCACACCATTTACGACCTAACTCTCAACCACTTTATATTTTTAAATAAAGGATTAGGGTTCAAATTTATTAAAAGACAAACACAAAAAAAGACTTATAAATATAATTAAAATTGTATATTTTAAGATAAATGTATGTTAATAGAAAAATCTGCGCCGCATGTCTTAACAAGGCTAGAATTGAAAATCTACATCTATACACTGACACTCATAGGAACGTTTGCACCTTACAATATACATTATATGAAACTTGTGTTACAATATGTGCGGACAAAATATGCATTCACAGCCAATAAACAAAAAAAATATGTAAAAAAAACACGAAAAATATATATAAGGCAAAATTAAATGAAGTAAAAGTAAGTTTCATTCATTATACCGCGTTTTTTGACGTATTGACACATAGATAGTGTTGCAAGTAAAAAAATAAATTTTGCACAAAAAAAAAAAAAAAAAATCTACGCATCAATACTTCAATATTAATTAATAACATATACGTACATTTCTTACAATTAATTACTTAATATACTTAAAATGAGTTACAAATGAAAAATACCACTCAAAGTGACGTTACTCAATGATAGATCTTTTAAAATAAAATAAAAGAAACGCTTTTAAAGCGTCGCAATATAAAAACTTTTTCGTGACATGATTGCCGATAGTTATTTTTCCGGTAAAAAAGAAAAAAAATAAAAAATATATAATAATAGAGTAATTAATTCTAATTAATACAGGATCCCGGCCTTAATAGCCGCTTATCACAATAACTATAATACCAACTTATTTATTATTTAAAAGCATATTATTACTAAAACGACTATTTTATTAAGTAATTGTTATACTTATACTCCGATGGCCAAGTACTAGTTAGATCGTAACGTTAACTATCAAACCGACAGTTTAACGTATGTTATAACTACACCACACCCGTACTAAGACCACGGAAATAAAATTATTATGATTCCTACGTAAAAAGGCCGTAAGATTTAAAATTTTTTCGATAATATAGGGCTTAAAAATATATTAAAAACTATGGCAGTTAAATTTCTATCCAATCATAGATACCGGAAAAAAAAACAAACATAGATAATATATCCATAGACATATAAAACATCACATTTAAACAATGAAACCGGTTATTGCTGCTATGATAAATTGCACTTAAAAACATTTTTAAAAACTATTATATACATATGTAGATCTTATGAACATTTCACAAACGACCAAAGATATATAATATTTAATAATAATTAATATGTATCTGTCTATATAGTTATTGTCTTTATCTATCACTGAAACAAACTCTGTAATTTCAACTTGGGCAAGAACTGCGGCTCCTCTTTTATCATTTTAACCTGGAAATATTATAAAAGATATAAAAATATATTCAAAAAAAAATATTATTAAATATTTGTAATTCTATATCACCTCTTCAAATTGTCTATGTTCGGGTATGTCGAGAGGCTCTTTTAGAATCTGTAACAAAATGGAATTATTGTAAAACACGACCCTTTTATTTAAAGTTGGTACTCCGAAGCAATATGTCCTTATTGATTCAATTTATTATTTCTTTGTATACTTTATGATAATAATCAAAAGTATCTTATGTGTTTCCCTTGTTTTAATCTATCTTTATATCAATACTAGCTGAGCCCCGTGGTGTTACCCGCGGATTTTCGAGATTTCCGGGATGTAAAGTAGCCTATGTGTTATTCCTGGACGTCAGCTTCCTGTATACGAAATTTTATCAAAATCTTTTCAGCCGTTTGAGCGTGAAGAAGTAACAAACATACACACACACTCACAAACTTTCTCAATTATAATATTAGTAGGATATATGTATTCTTACATAGTTACTAGTAGTAGTAGTATATATTACCTTGGGCGGTCTCCCTCGTCGTGGCGGGTGATGCTCCCTGCCTCGAGCCAGCACCCTCAGCTGGTGGGCTCTCAGTAAGTGGTCTGTGTGATCACGAGCAGAGGACAGCCGAGCTCCACAAGATGAGAACACACATGATACACCCCACTCACCGCCTACTAACGGCTCTGGAAACATATATGTATGGATTATTTAATATAGTATTGTGCTATTATATGTGACTTGTATATAGTATATACACTATATAAAAATTTTATGAACTTTTTCGTATGTGATGTTTTTTGGTATTGATAAATATTTAATATAAAAGAAATATACTGTATGTGTGACAAATATATTAACATTTTTAATATACAGGGTGACTGGTGAATTACTATCAATATTTAAGGAGCATACTCGGTACATGATTCTCATTCGAATTATGTAAAAAAATAGGTACTTAATTTTTGACCAAATTTCCGTATAAATAAATAAAGTGTGTACACGTTCCAAGTTTCCTAGTGTGGACGCGTGCGGCGGCGTGCTGATACAACAACACGCCGCCGCGCGCGTATGTGTGAGTGTGTAGTGTAGAGTAATCTGTAGGGTGTTCATACGATGCGTAATTAATTACACAACTTTTGGTTAACTTTACTTAGAAGTTTATTAATATTTATGTTATATTAATTTTTATTTCGTCATATATGATCGTCAAATATCACGTCCTCAAATATCGATAGTAATTCACCAGTCACCCTGTATATGTATATATTTCTTCTAACGAGTATCTCTATGACTTGTATAATGTATATAGTACAATCGACTCTCGTTAATTCGAACCTCTCTATAATTCAAAGTCACCACGAGTTCTCTACAAAATCTCTTCATATATATCGAACTTAATCAATACATTTTCTTGCACTTGGTAATTTGAACGAAAAAAATCAGTGGTATATAATAAAACTAGCTTTCCACCTCGTGAAGTTCGGTTATATCACGTTTCCAAGAGAAGCTTTCAAAAGTCTGGGATAAAAACTATCCTATGTTCTTTCTCAAGGTCAACTCTACCTCTGTACCAAATTTCATTAAAATCAGTTCAGCGGTTTAGGCGCGAAAGCGTAACAGACAGACAGAGTTACTTTCGCATTTATAATATTAGTAGGGATGACGCGATAACACGACATTTCAAAGTTGCTGAGAGAAAGAGGTCGAATGATTGTAATGTAAAGGCGACAAATTCAAACTTGAACAAACCTTCAACAGAGGTGTTAGTTAAGGAAGCACGATCCTCATTCGATACCGTCGAAAAAACACTTCAAGCACTTTTTCTTTTGAAAAAAAGCTATAAAAAAAGCTGTCTGAGCAGTAGCAATGTTTTTAAGCAAACCAATATAACAGTTCCTTCGAAACATTGATTCATTCGAATTAGGAATAGATTTATTTATGTACACTCTAAACTTTTTTCATTGCTATAGATAAGCATTTAATAAATAATTATTGATCCATACTTATTAATTTGAAGTTTATTTTTTTCTCTAACAAATTTCTAACCATTTGATAATTCGACATATTTTAAGAGTCCCTCAAGTTTCAAATTAACGAGAGTGGACTGTATATAATATCTTCTTCTTCCTGGCAATTTCCCAGCTTTAGCCAGGATCTACCTTACATGTTGTGAATAGATTTGGCTATTTGTTTTTAGGACCGGCCACCTGCCTGATATCAACCCTCTTTGGGAATGCATTAATCAGTGATGTCTAAATACTCTTATAAAGTACATATGACTCGGAAAAATCACATTGGTACTTGCCAGGACCAGGATCGAACCCGCGCCCTCGTGCATGAGAGGCGGACTTTTTAACCACTAGGCCACCACTGAGTTAACATGTACTATGTTAGTATGTAATATACTCACTATGTTCATTATCCTCTCCAATATGTCTTGTCATATGTATCTGTAAGTGACTCTCGCTCGGTAACGACACGCCACACACGGTGCAGCTGTGTCTCTGACTTCTGACTGGAGACTTTATGTCGTGGGCCTCACGTCTGTAACAAAGATATGGATAATTAAATATTGAAATTGATATGTAGATTATAGTATATATTATTAGACCATACCATCAAGGTCAATAAATATTACGAACTCAATCGAAATAGGTTCGACGTGGATTTGTACGCGGTAGAGGTGGGAGCGAGAGGTATAACAGCTAAATCTCTCTATAACCTACTACAAGACTTGGGTCTATCCAGAACTAACATTAATAAATTCTTGGAACGTACTTCGAAGCCAGCCCTAGTAGTTTCTTTTCATATTAGGTAGAGAGAGGAGCTTTGACAGTGAAGGTGAGCGTTTAACGTGTTAGATAGGGCTCCCTTAAACCTACACCTGGGTCACAAGTCCCAGTCACTGTTGAAGCTCCTCTCACTACAACGATGGACCCGACACCCGCACGGTGAATACATTGAATGCTGAGAGGTTTCGTCTGTGTTTAATTCTGTATAATGTATTGTTGTATCTATAGAACTATTTTAAAGACTTAATGAAAGAAAATAATGTGATGAAGTGATCGTTATACTTGACATCATATTATTAATTAACAACACTCACCAAGTATAACCAATATTGAATATACCCCATATATTTGGTTTTAAATATAAGTTATATTGGACATATATGATTTTAATATAAATATATTAGGTGTACCTGTGCGTGTACATATGATTCCTCTGCGTGAACCTCTCTCCACACACACTACAGTCGTAGGAGTCAGCGCGACCGGATAAATGACGCTTGCGATGTTGGTTCAGGTTCGTCACCTGGAACAAATGTATATTTATTAATAATTAAGTTAATACAAAGAAAACGATGTATGGATAATTATAAATAATATATTTCATACAAATCGTAATGATGGTTGTAGAGCCCTACTAACATTATAAATGCGAAAGTAACTCTGTCTGTCTATTACGCTTTCACGCCTAAACCACTGAACTGATTTTAATGAAATTTGGTACAGACATAGAGTTGACCTGGAGAAAGAACATAGGATAGTTTTTATCCCAGACTTTTGAAAGGTTCCCTTGAAAACGCGATATAACCGAACTCCACGCGGGCGAAGCTGCGGACGGAAAGCTAGTCCTCAATAAAAGAAGAATAGGCATCTATAAATCTCTGGGTCTGTGGTAAATATTATATTTTTTAACATCTAATTCGTCAACAAATAGATTTTTTGATATCCTGTAGGTATTCTTTCTTATTTATAAAAAAATATAATTAAAATATATTATAATAGAACAAATTAATCGTTTCAAGGGTTTATTTCTTTGATAACATTTCTTTTAATGTATTTTCAAATACATTCCTAATGTAAGTATAAGAGAAGCACAGCCATAAATGAAATAACACAAAAACGAAATTCATTCTACACACAATATTTAAGAGGCTCAATGTACAAATTATTTATAAATTACTTTTGACACAAAAGATGTAAATCCAACTACATTCTAATAAGAACAGAATCTAACATTTCACAAACTATGTTATAAGTAACATAAGTTTAATTTAAAGAAATTTAAAGTTATTTCACCTTAAAGAAAATTCTGTATTTTTTTATCTACGAGTTAATTTGAATTAATTTAATATGAAAACTTTTTAATTTAAATGAAACTAATATTTTAACACCTTCCACCATCGATTTCTTAATTTTCTTAGAAAAATTAATTTTCTGTTAAAATAACAAGACCGACTGACAGACACTCATTCTTAAGATCTTAATTGCCCGTGGTCACGGTTTCTATAAAGTAGCCGAAACGTCGGGAGTATGTAGTTTATAATAAAAAAAATCGAGTAGTTAATCCGAAAATATTACTTTCATTTAAATTAATACTCGCGAAAATTTTAGATCTTAGAACTTTTTAATTTATTTTTATGCGAATCGAAACAAAGACAATACAAAATGTTTGACAGATGAGTGGCGCGAAAAATTTTAATACAGATGACTAAAAACTTAAAGTTTACTGTCATTAACATATACTATAGTTTTTGGCAATAATGGCGCTAAAAATTGATAGCGATTTATAATCAAATGATTGGGAATCAAATTCAATATTAAAAACCTTAATTATCAATCTTCGAAGAACCACCACGCGGAGAACCAACTATAATACGAATGAATTCATATAATTATTATTCAAGAATTATATATATAATATTTTTATATTTATAAAACGGCTATACATAGATCAATTGGCATACAAAATGCCTTTAAAACTATTAAGGAATTTTAATAATATATACCAAGTCTTCAAGAACAGACGAAAAATGCATAGATTGTGTATTGAAAAAAAATTTTACGTAATATTATATATTTGAATGATTTAAGCATTTTAGTATTTGTAATAATATGCTTGACTATTGACGATAAAAATTGCATTTTACCAAAAAGTTTCATATAATCTTATCCGCTTAGTATATAAAAGTTTTATTAAGAACATTTCTTATATATAAAAATTGAGCATAATCAATCTCCCAACAGAATTTGACTGAGAGGTTTCACGAGTATTGGAACACATAATCTTTTTATGATTCCCAATATTCATAAATGAATTATTTCTTTTTGGTATTACGAATTATGTAATATGATTATAGATTAATAAATAAAGTAATTTAGTATTACGATCGGAAATAAAAAAGATGGTCTATTGATAATTTTCAAAGACGCCATTTTGCTAATTGAAGTAGCCATATTTGATTAGCATATTTTAATTGAATCTTTAAAATAAACTCAGAGTATAATATATAATTTATTTAAGAATTCTTCGCTGAAAACATAACTAATAATAAAGATTATAGTTGTACAAAAATATAACATGTATTTTTTAAAAATGCTTACTCTCAATGACAACAAATAAAAATAGTAGATTGCTTTGGGCTAGTGACGAAGTATCCGTGTTTTATGATTTGAAGTAAAAACTATAGATTTCATATTATAATAAAATGGTAATGAGGTTTGATAATACCTGTTATATACATATAACACTGGCTGATAATTTCAACAAACTAGAAAAATTCTTTCTGTTATATATAAATTGTAGTGTATCTTTATAATATAATATCAAGAATAAAATTAAAATGAAAATAGGAAGGGGTAAAAATTGATTTTTAAGGGTTTTTTGTGTTTCTTTAAGATAAACTTTAGTTATTATACATACATTACTTACAAGTATCAATTGACTGTACGCATGCGTTTTAGCACCACGCATTCACTCTCCCACTGACTATATAATTTAACTTTTTATTTACTTATATATATATGCTGCTATCATATATATTTAAAACCTAAATCAGATCAAGGCAATAAACAGTGTCCTTTAATTCTCAAACTTGTCTTATTATTATTTTCTTATAACTCAATACAAGCTAAAATCTTGTGTCTCCTCAATAGTATTAACAGTTAAAATAAAAAAAAACTAAAATAGCGCCCATGACATTTGTAAAGTCATCAGCTCACAATTATACTATTTATATATTAAAAAAGGTTATACTACATCCTAGTATTAATTTTTTTTGTTCAAACAGATAAATCAATGTAATGTTATTATGATAACAAAGATAAGAAATATTGAATTGTTTTGTAGGTTTTATTAATATATAAAAGCCTATTTTCTATGTGTACTGAAAATATAATTAATGTATTGATAAATTTAATTATATGTGGTATGTAACAAAAATACTTTTTGACTACCAGAGATTTATATTTGATTACTTTGAAAATATAAAGTTTAAAAAGTTTTCTACCTCAATCTGAAAAATATTTGCTTCACTAAACAGTTGATCACTAATGTAATTAAAATTAATTGTCTTATTAACAAAGAATGGTACTGAAAAAATCAAATAGAAATCGAACCTACAACTTATACAATATTCCTTTTCTGACGTCTTAACCATTATTAAGCTATTAAGTGTCCTGACCAATTGATAGTAATTTAAGTACATATCACATATGTATTTTTATAATCAAATGAAACTAATATTTTTCGGATATACTACGCGTGCTTTATTTTTGTAAATAACTACATTCTCATAACTAACACACTAATACATATAGTTTTATTACAAAAACAAAGTATATCCGAAAAATATTAGTTTCATTTAAATGAATACTCGTAAATTTCATTTAAATGAAACTCGAAAGTACTAGATCTCATAGTTAAAATATATTTACCTGGGCATATGCTTTGTCGCATCCCGGTTCAGGGCATACGAAGGGTCTCTCTCCAGTGTGAAGACGAACATGATTATTCAGATTTGTTACCTGGAAAGATATTTACCTATTAATAAATAAATAAATAAACAAATACATATAAATATATACTATTGTTTACCTGAGTAAAAGCTTTGCCACACTCCTGGCACTTGTATGGCCGTTCGTTAGTGTGGATACGTAGATGTGCGCGCAAATTATTAGATTGAGAGAATGCTGAAACGAATTAATGAATCATCAATAATTTATGTACATATATGAAAGTTGTGTTAGTTACACTATTTATAACTAAGAACGACTGTACAGATATGGATGAACATTGGTGGAGATATAGATCAGAACGAGGAAAAGGTTATTTAATTCTGTTCGATTGAAAAAGAAAGGCAATGAATTCCAATAATGGCTATTTATGGCTTCTAGGGCGGAATAGAGTTCGCCCGGTCAGCTATACATATATTACTAATTCCAAAATTAACGCGGACGAAGTCGCGGGCAAAAACTAGTTGTATTATAAAGAATAAATAAACGAAATAATCTTTGAAATATATATGTTTTGTATATATACTAGTTTTTGCCAGCTACATCGTCTGCGTTAGTTTCAGAATTAGATTGTATAGCTGACCGGGCGAACTCTATTCCTCCATAAAGACAGTAGATAAGAAGATTTTAGTATTGATCAACTTAGTTTTCTTTTCCAATCGGATGAAAATTATCTATATCCTTTCTATGTTCTAAGCTATTTCTCCACCAATCTTACAGCCGTTCTTGAGTTATAAATACTGTAACTAACATGACTTTCTTTTATATATATATATATATATATTATATATAATTTTAAGCTAACAATATACCTTTATTACAGTAGGTGCATACAAAACGTCTTTCAGCTCGATGGTTCCTCATGTGATTCTGAAGCTGCATGCTCTTGCTGAATGACTTGTTGCAGATACCACAGTAGAGTGCTTCACTATCCTGGAGAAAATATCAATTATAACGACTATATACATTATACATATCTTTATATATATAATTCTTATGTGAGTGTGTATGTCACTGAACTTCTCTCTTTTTTGTTGAAATTTTTTGTGTGTTTAAAATTTTTAGGGGATCTGGGAATGGTTTCGATTCACAATTTTGTCCGGTGGACAATGTTTTTTTTAATTAATTTTTAATTTATTAGTAGTTGTTGATAATAACGTTTTTTTTTGACATTTGATTTGACAACTAACTAATATGTCAATCATTCTGTCGCACTTCATAACACGGAGATTTATGGCTTTAATAGGTAAACTCCAAAAATATAAATAAAAAAAAACGTAACAGATATTTCTTGATTATTGGGCGATACGAAGTTCGCCGGGTCTTCTAGTATATATAATATATATACTAGCTGACCCGGCAGACTTCGTACTGCCTCAATCAATAAATATACATTTTTTATTTATTTTTTTGGAGTTTACCTATAAAGCCATAAATATCCATGTTCTGAAGTGCGACAGAATGATTGACGTATTAGTTAGTTATCAAATCTAATGTCAAAAAAAAAGTTTGTATGGTAAACAGAAAAGGTCTGTTTTTAGGGTTTTCCCGTAAATGATTCAATTTTTTTTCAGCTTTTAAACCTTCCCTGAACCTCCACGAACATTTCAAAACTAAGATAAGATAAATCCATTCAGCCGTTCTCGAGTTTTTGTGAGACTAACTAACAGCAATTCATTTTTATATATATAAAAGATAGAAGATATATGACTAAATATTTCAGCATTATAAAATAGAATACAAAGTAACAGACGGCGAATGTGATAAGAAACAATATAGTCTAAACAAGGCAGTCATTATTGAATACCGCTGACTGGGGATTTTGGAGCCATTCCCAGGAACATATTCTAATTAATTAAATACCTTTATAGTGACCGTCTTTATAATAATTAGAATAAGCAAACACTGTTGTAATATAATGTATGATATTGTATTAGCATTGAACTCAGTCTGTAAGATTCGGTCTAAGTTATTGGTTCTCTAATAAATAAAATTGCATAGAACTGACTGACGCATCCGATAGGAAAGCGTGGAATAAGTAATTGAAATTATCCATGGTTTTTAAGCGTTATTACGGAATCCTAAACAATCAATAAATAAGCCACATCGGGTACGTGCGTGTGGCTTCTGAAAATACTGCTGTTTTCAGACTCAAGAGGGAGAATATGTGGTAAGTAGACCTGAAGCTATTCTTTTCCTATTCAACCATAGATATACGTGTCAATTTATTTGTAAAGTCCTTATTAAAACTCAACAGCTTCTTAGAAATTTTATTAACTTCATTTTAAGGAGTAATAAAAAGAGTAATAATATAATAATATTTTTTTGTTTACAAAATTTAAAATGCAAAATATAATTCAAATACTTTTAGAAATTAGACATGAGAAACAATATAAAATCCAAGAGGATATTCGTGCGTCGGCCTCCAGACCAGACATTTATTTATCCCCAAAGACCATGCCATCAAGGTCAATAAGTATTAAGAGCTCACTAACGAACTTACTCAAAATAGGTTCGTCGTGGATTTGTATGCCGTAGAATTGGGAGCGAGAGGTATAGCGGCTAAATCTCTCTACAACCTACAAAGACTTGTGCCTGTCCAGAACTGCTATCAACTCATTCTTGGAACGTGCTTCGATGGCAACTCTAGGTTTGTTTCAAAATTAAGTTGTTAGAGTGAGGAGCTTGCACGGTGGAGGTGAGCGTTTAACGCGCGCTAGATAGGGGTCCCTTAAACCTACTCCTGGGTCACAAGTCCCAGTCACTGTTGAAGCTCCTCTCACTACAACGATGGACTCGGCACCCGCACCGTGAATAAATTGAATGCTAAAAGGTTTCGTCTCCGTAAATTTGATAGTGATGAAACATTATTATCTCTATTCATCGGATAGTGCGAAAATGTTATAGAAACGTGTATAGTAGGATGCTATATCAAACAAGATTGTTATGTATTTCAAGTTATAACTGCTAAATTAATGGGAGAGGAGCTATTTTGGAATGAGACTATACTGTTATCATTATTCCTAAAAACACAACTTATAGCAAAAGGGTTGAAAATTAAATTAATAACTCACCTCCGCAAGAAGAATAATAAAGTAAGATTCCTATGTTACAAGAATTAAATACTACAATTCAGTAAAGATCTTTATATAACCGAATTAATGAGTTACGCTGTAAACACCTCATGTACACCGATTCCTATAATTACTGAAGACATTGTTCTAGAGCCATTGCAAACTAACAAATGGATATTCTTTACTAGGAAAGAAGAAATGTTCAAGAGGACATCCTCTGATAAATTATCCCCACACAAGGTTAGAGGAACTTACATACATACCCTAGATAATCTTTGTGAAGTGAAAATTGGAATTAAGACTCTGAAAATAAATAAGATAATTCAAAAGAATGAAAATCTCAGAAGAACCAATAGTAAACATGAATTTAATACATGTGCCTGAAACTCCTAGCATGAATCCTTCAAATATAAAAGAAAATGATTTAACAGATCTGAAACTTCTCACGTCATCTTTAAAGAAAGCTGAAAATAGTGAAAATCATGGAACAGTGAAAAATATCAGTGTTATCAATCATAGTTATAATAATAGTGTCTTAATTTGAGGAATCATAAATTTATATCAAAAGTGCGTATTTGAAGTTTCCCTTAATCGGAAAAGTTTGATCCTAAGTATGGAGGAGTTACATCCATCCAAACAATAGAGACATCAGACATCATCGCATATCACTGACTCGGCACTTAGAACATTTGAAGGAACATATTCTAAAGTATATGTGATACATTTATAATTACCGTCTTTACAATAATTAGAATAAGCAAGCATTGTTGTAATATAATGTACCTATCGGGTTGAACAAATGTTAACACCTTAAAATTGTATTAATATTGAACTCAGTCTATAAGAAGCAGTAGAGTAATTGGTTCTCTAATAAATAAATAATATATTTAAATAAAATCTATTTTTAAAGTCCTTCGCCTTGCATAGAACTTGACTGTATACTTTTTATTGGACATAAAAATAAAAATAGAAATAAAATGCAACAATTGTTTGGTTGTTTATTATATGAGTTATAAATTTTTTATTGCTTATTATATATTTATTTAAACTTACCTCCTCTCTGTTTAAAGTCGGTGACTGCTTTTCTGAAGTATCACCTATTGTGACTTCCGGCACCAAGGGCTGACATTTGAAACATGCATAGACACCGTCTTTGCCTGTCTCAAATAACTGCTATAAAGGAAAGGAGAGTTAAAAAAATTATGAGTATTTATTTATTGAGAGTACTATACTAAATATTTTTTATTTTTAAATAGAAATAATGTCAGTGAAATTTTTAATTAATCAACATTACGATTACATTTAGAATAATAATATAAAGAAACTAAAACATTATCGAAAACAGAAAGCTAGCATTCAGTATTATTAATCAGAAAAGAAAAAAAAACAGACAAATGTTTTTATACGACGCAGAGCCAGACGAAAAAAAACATAGTCGGTCGAGGGAAGAAAAAAAAATAAGGCGGGCAGGTTTCGAATGCAAGTTTTTTATTACCTACTGCTGCAATGCTACAATTTACAAAGCTAAAACTAAACAATGTATAATAGCAATGTATACTCAACCAATTCATAATTATATCGAGTCTAGGTGTGATATTTTTATAACGATCTAACTTAAGAAAACAAAAAATATTGACCGATTAGCTATATACGGCTGTTAGAAGTTTTAATATTCAATAATTTATACTCACAACAGCGGGTTTTAAGCAAATGCCACATTTATCCATCTTGAAACAGAGTTTTCTTTATTTCTTATTTGAAAATAACAAGATTTCCGTAAATATTAGTATTTTTCTCATTATACGACAGCTAGTCAGTGAAAAGACAGATACAAGCGGGGTGGGGCACAGTGGGGCAAGCACCTGACATAGATACCGTATAATATTTACATTCACATTTCATTTTATTGCTTAATCAATAGTTGTAGAAGGTATTACTATAAAAACAAATTTTTTTATACGCAGAACAATCACAATAATGGTTATAAAAATGGAATAAACGTTATTAAATAAACTCAGTTAGCAAACATCTGTAATTTTGAATTAAATAATACTATTAAAAAAATATTTTTTTAGCTAATGTCCAAATTGCAATGATTGAAGTTTGTAATAATAATTTAAATAGGGATTTAAACTGATTTTGGTCTTTAAATACAATATTAAAATAAATGATAAGTATAAAGAAAAAAATATTTAATCTGTTGTAGTATGTTTTGTTTTTCGAAATCGTGACTATAATGACAATGACACTTGCATAATATAAAAAATTCTGTAATTTTTCTCCCTCTTCAATTTTCGTCATTGTTTATTTTTAGTTTGTTATATAAACTTGTTTATTTTCATTTTCCTGTAAATACGGTGTAAATCGTGGTGTCCTGTTTATTTTCCAATCAAATGCAGATGCTTTGAACTCGATGTGGTACTGTTAGGTCTTGAAAATGTCTGATAAACCAGTCGTAGCTAGTGGCAATCAGCCGATAGTTAAAATCGGGCATTATACGTTGGGTACCACGCTAGGGGTGGGCACATTCGGTAAGGTGAAGATAGGAGAACACCAACTCACTAAACACAAGGTCGCCGTGAAAATCCTCAACAGACAGAAAATAAAGTCTCTAGATGTCGTTGGAAAAATCAGACGTGAGATACAGAACCTTAAACTGTTCAGACATCCACATATCATCAAATTGTACCAGGCGAGTTGTTTATACATTCTTAATTTCAATACATTATAATACAACCTTATAACAATAGATTTCATGTGATTTCTCACTCATTATAGAGCAATAGTAATGTTTGATTCCACCTCACAGGTCATATCAACACCGACGGACATATTTATGATAATGGAATATGTCTCCGGTGGTGAATTATTTGATTATATCGTCAAAAGAGGCAAACTTCAAGAGCATGAAGCGAGAAGGTTCTTCCAACAAATCATCTCGGGTGTTGACTACTGTCATCGACACATGATAGTTCATAGGGACTTGAAACCGGAGAATCTGCTGTTGGATCATAACATGCATGTCAAGATTGCCGACTTTGGTTTGTCAAACATGATGATGGATGGAGAGTTTCTACGGACTTCTTGCGGTTCACCCAACTACGCTGCTCCAGAAGTGAGTCATTATAATCTTGTTAAAGATAGTTGATTACCCACAACCAAAAAAATATCATTTCAAATAGCAATAATTGAACAATTTAGTACATACATTAGTATGTATAGTACCAACATCATAGCTCAATAATATGTATATAAATAATATCAACAAAAACTTATTAGAATGGTTTCAATCAGTTTCTACAAGTCATTGTATCTTGTGCCTTTTATATTTATTGACCTTCAATCATACAGTCAATAGTTCCAAGTTAAATATTTGATGAAAAATATATATTGGTGTATGGATGTTAAATCTAAATTTATTTTCGCGTTGTATACTTGTAATAAATATAATTTGTTCTGACTATTAACAGAGTATTTGTCGGTGATTTTATAGGATTAATTGTCACTCGGTTTTTGATACAAGTATTTGTATTACTCTAGGTGATATCGGGAAAGCTGTATGCAGGTCCAGAGGTAGATGTGTGGTCATGCGGTGTTATTCTATACGCGCTCCTGTGTGGGACACTGCCGTTTGACGATGAGCATGTCCCGACATTATTCAGGAAGATCAAATCCGGCATATTCCCTATCCCGGAATACTTGAACAAGACGGTAGTGAGCCTGCTGTGTAATATGCTGCAAGTGGATCCTATGAAGCGGGCTACGATCGAAGACGTCAAGAAGCACGAATGGTTCCAGAAAGATCTACCTGGTTATTTATTCCCCTCGCCCGTGGAGCAGGTGGTAATCACATTTTTTAGTCCGACTAACTTTGATGCATGAATAGTTTAACAATGGAACGCAACGATAGTGACCTACGTATGCCCCTTTTTTTTGGTGATCTCTGTAATGGGTTACTGTGTAACAGGTATTTGATATTTTCCATTTATTATTTTTTACCTATGTGATTGCAATGTAGTACTTATTTGTCTGATGTCTAACTAGATGTAGTATTTCAGTGAACTTTTGTATTAAAGGATCTTTTTGACTAAACGAGACCAGTATGTGTGTGATTTTCAAACTGTTTTAATGCTTGTAAACACTAAATCTTTAGCTTAGAAGAAAAATCTCTTCTAACTAGCATCCATCCTAGATGTTTTTCTTGATCTGTTTCTAGTGTGATTATTTCTGATATTAAAACTAAAGGATTTTTCTTGAAGTCTTCTGAATCTTCTGCCATTGAGCTATGGAGTAATATTTATTCTTCTGTAGCCGTAAATAAAAATAATATTCTATGCTATTCTATAGGATATCTACACTGACTAAAGGAGCAACTGCTTTGAGAAATATATACTAAATATTTTCGGTAATCTAATATATGTCTATTTCTTGTCAATCATAAACTATTTGCAATATTTTATAATGTTTCATATCTTTGAAATTAACAATCAAATTGACGATTTTGAAATATATGTAACTGGTTGATTTGTGCCCTCCCAGCGACGCTGTGAATCCTATTAGGGCTAACAGCATAGACAATAGACAAGTCGAAACTAAAAAAAATATGTTTGATTTTAAATCTGTAATCAGGATAGCAGCGTCATAGACACGGAGGCTATCTCGGAGGTGTGCGATAAGTTCGGTGTGAAGGAACACGAGGTGCACGCGGCCCTGCTATCAGGAGACCCTCACGATCAGCTAGCCATAGCCTACCACCTAGTCATAGACAACAAGAGGATCGCCGACGAGGCCGCCAAGGCTGAGATTAAGGACTTCTATGTGGCCAGTGAGTTGGCATAGCTAACATTCAGACCATAGACCATCATGTGTTACTTTTCATAAGTAGGTTCTAACAGCGTCTCGGTCGACGTTGACTCTGCCAACTTTGTAACTATAGACAACCTTCTGATTATATTTATGTGTGTATAAAATTTGCCTACGGATCTGTACGTAAAGATTATGTTTGCAAGATTTCAGTAAAATTGGTTGTTATATTTAGATTTATAACATTAATTTTTACTATCAAATGAATGATTTCTTCTACAGTTAATAATAGAAAACTCTTTGGTAATTGCTTCGTTTATTAACAACTAACATATCAAACAACACTAGTTCATCATCACATTTAAATAATTGATTATCAATTAACAATACTAAAACTTGGGTCCAAAACTGCTGAATCGCTTTCAAATCTATTAGATTGTTAATATCTAATAGATTTTTGTATGGGATGAGCACCATTATGGTGTTGCCCTTGAGGTGAGCTAGTGTGTTTAGATAGTTCTCCCCCGGCGGTAACAGAGAGCGGGCGGCCACATCCGGAGAGGATCGCGCCACTGAGGGACAAGCCTTCACCAGCCCCCGCCGCTGACAAGAGGGGAACTCCTGTCAAGAGGTATGAACACACACATACATACATACACACACAGACACACATACATAGATACATAACAATACACTATTTATTGAGTTGTACCAACATACATTTATTATATATTCTTCATTCCTAATTCATAACAGTTGTATTGTATATAATGATAATTTTCTTCCCAGGGCTAAATGGCATTTGGGCATCAGATCCCAGAGCAAACCAAATGACATAATGCTGGAAGTGTTCAGAGCTATGAAGGCATTGGATTATGAATGGAAGGTCATCAATCCATATCATGTTAGGTATGCATATCATGTAAAATATTTCTAAGTTAACTTACAGTTTAAAATGTTTCTTGGACCTAGAGGAGGTCCTATTATTCAATTACATAAACAAACTTTAAATCTCATGTGAACCTACAAATAATTTGATAATCCTAATGCACTTCCACAACTTACTTAATAATTATTAAATAACTTCTTCAGGGTGAGAACAATGAACAAAATGACACAGAAATATGTGAAGATGTCACTACAATTATACCAGGTTGACTACAAGTCATACTTGTTGGACTTCAAGTCTCTGTCAGGTGAGAGGGAGGAGTCTGAAGGGGATGTGTCCCCGCCCCCAGCATCCCCTGTACCAGTTCAAATACCTCATCAGCATCACGGACATCACACTATGGAGTTCTTTGAGATGTGTGCCGCACTCATCATACAGTTAGCACGATAGACTAAAGGTTATAAGGTCTATGTTCATAGTTACAGTTGTCAGTCTTATTTGATTATTGATCTTACAGTTAGCATGATAGAGGTTTTATGGTCTACGTTCATAGTTATGGTAGTCGGTTTTATTTGGTTATTGAATGTTGATACTTGTATAACATTATTATGGCAGTTAGAATGAATGGTCGGTTTATGATCCAGGTTTCTTAGAACATTTAGAGTGCTATGTTATACATTGAGTCATGTTCAAATATCAAATAAGCTGATATTCGGATAATAAAGTTAGATGAACTAGACACCCAGTTTATATATAGATGCATACATTTAATAAATAGTGGTCTCATATGTATCACTTTTAATCAATATTTGAGTAGAATTTCGTCTTTATATTGGGCTATGTGGGATATTTAAATGGTTTAGAAGTAGTGTATTCATATAAATAAATAATAAAAAAGTTTCATCATTTTAATCTTAAACATCGATAGCTAATTATATGCACTATCATTTACTTAAACATTATATTTCACTAAGGTTTAGCTTTATTTTATTTTAAGTTCGATATTCGTGTTATCACCTTTATGAACCCATTTATGCTAATTTTCGGTGATGGTTTAAAAGTATCAAGATCTTAGCAATACGTCACACTTGGCAAATAAAAAATCTCATATCAAAAATCATTTTCTGGTTAATGTGAAAATAAATTAAAAGCAATAATAAGAGACAGCGAAACTTCTTTGGTGTAACTTAGGTGGATTAAATACATGTACTTTTATTAAAACAACTTAATAACGTAATGCCTTATAACAATAATTTATTTTAACTGTATTTATTATTAATAAAGTTCCATTTAGATTAATATTTTTTTCTTAATTTGTGTATAATATTATTGGATTGTGAAGCATGTGTGTCATGAAACCGAAAAATATTTCGTAAATATTGTAAAATGTATAGACGAACAAAGAAAATAACTCTTCGATATATTGAATGTATTATTTTGAAAAGATAAAACAATTACTATCCTAAACCAAAACAATATCCAAACTTTTTTATAATGACGACAAAATTTTTACGAACATGATAAAATATTGGCGCGAAATATTGACAGTTTAGCGACATTTTGTATGTACTATCGATGTTTGTTCAGTATTTAGAAATCAAACAAAAAATATTAATTACATTAAACGTATCGTTAATAAACATTGTATATCTACTATGAGATAAACTAAAAGCTAGAAGAAACAAGTGGTTTGACATAAAACTCATTCTATTAAAATGCGTGGAGATTATGTAGGTTACGATGTTTATTTTCGATATTGATGCTACTTTAGGTGTTTTACTTAGCGTTATTTATGATGCAAATTCCGTGTGAAAAGTTTATTAAGTGTAAATAACTGTTGAGACCAGTTCAAGAGTCCATATCAATGACTTGAACTTCGGTTTTATGACAACTGAATATATTATATGTTTGAAATGTGATTTTAATATTATCGTGTATTATTCCCAGTGTATTTTTCAATAAGGAATTTAAAATTTCTTATGTAATCATTGTTATGTATATATGGGAAGAATAAAATCAATCATCGATACATATGTGCTGTCTAACCAAAGATATATAAGTGCCTTTGTATCGTAGGAACATTGATTTATGTAAGGGGTGTATAGAATGAGTATTAACTTGCAATAAAAATAAATACACCCCAAAAAAGCGGATTTTTCATATAAATTTGGCATTCAAGCTGCAATTATGTATTTATTGTTATTATGTTTGGTGAAGCATTTCCCGCTTAACACTTAAACAAAATGAATTATCAGCTTTAAGAAATTTGTAAAGATGTAAATTTTAATTCAAATAAATTCCTACATTAAATATCATAGAATAAAATGTTGTTTCATTTAAAACACCATTAACAGAATACTGTAATTTATTAAAGATCTATATTTTAAGACTAAAATTTACAAGGTGAACCTAAATGTTACTTGCGGAGAACAGTAGCTTTGAAAGGGTGTAATAGTTTTGAAGGGGTGCAAAGTTTCTAATCAGGCTGGCGAGGGTGCGACTGGTGCACCCTCATCCGGTTTGCTCTCCAGAGAGAATGGGGGGATGCGACAGTCGAAGGTGTAGCCGTCCTCGCGCTCCATACGGAAAGTACCCCTAGAGAAGAAAAATACATTTTACTTTAAATGTATTAAGATATTATTAGTATAGAATATATATATATCTAATCTTCTAATATATAAATTTTTCATCTTACAATGTGAGTTATGTACTCCTTCGAAACGGCTTTACCGATTTTTACCAAAATTTATACGCGTATTCAGTATTCAGTAGGTGTGACAATCGGCTACTATCTAAATATTTTTCATACAGCTAAATGATAAGGGTTATTCACCCCTAAATTTTTTTGTTTTCATTTTTCATTACGTGGCATTAAAACTACATACAACCCTAAATTATGACTAATTTATCACCAACCCCTATCTTATATATGGCAAAACAAAGTGACGGGTCAGCTAGGATATGTAGAATGGTTTATATGTTACCACATATGTCCACTGGGTGCCTGCAGACTAACATGGCTGCTGTACTGGAAGGCGGGTGCACGGGGCCCCAGCAGAGGCTCCTGCCCCACCACGCCACGGCCACGGACCGTCTCCAATGTACCGGATAGAGAGAAGATGCGCCAGTGACGCTCGCGGAGTTGAACGGCGGCCGGGAGGAGGTTCTCGAGACGGATGCAGTAACGCCACTGTTGACACAGAATATATGTTAAAAAGACCATCTTTTCCGTATACTGCGATAAATTTACACTAATATAGATGTATAATTAGGTGTATGTAGACAAATTCCACCTCTCCATAAACCATACATCTGAAAGTATTACTTCGAAAGTTTAAGCCTTTCAAAGTTTACCTGATCAATTCTTCATTCATTTATTTATGAATAACTGCCATATTCACCTTATAAAATCCAGGTAAATTAACATTACAATACAATATTTGATAGTCCTCTCACCCAATACACAGCTGAGTTCTGTGATTCCCGGCTGCCCATGTAGAATGGTATGACAGTGACTCGGACACCTTCAGTGGTCTCACGGTGAACATCACTCAACTCCAGCCACGGGTGGTTCTTCTTCTGCCAAGCCCTTAGAGTCTCTTGTGCTGTGAAAGGAGGATCTGGAAATATACAACATATATAATGTATATACCGACTAATATGATAGATTTCATGCATGCACTTGTATGTATATGAGGAAATAATTTATAAAAAATACCTTTATCTGGGTTGTGGATAAGAAACTTATCAAATAACTCATGCTGGAGAGGTACTCGTTCCACTGATGCATACGGTATAATGTCATCGTGAGCCACATAATCCAAGCCCGGGATAGCATACAGGCTTCTACTTGATTCCTGGTTACCGAGGAAAGTAACCGCCTCTGTTTGAGCCCGCTAGATAGGTAGATATAATCAATTAAATAATTACTATACATGCTTGACACTCAAAACGAATTATGCTATACAAATTGCTATCATCGAATACTTAAAATGTATCAGTATATACAATTCTGGATTGTTGTTGAGGAATTGAGAAGACAAAGTTAACAAAATATTAAATATCCATTGCATATGAAATATGATTGTAAATAATACAATAATTACAAAACAATTCATCATTTATAAAGTTGTAATGATAATATTATAATTATGAAATAAAAACACTTGTTTAATCACACTGCAGACAGCAAACAATTGATTCGACAAATAACATAACATGCTAGCCATTCACATTATTATTATGTTAATTATTCAATACGATAAACAATAAGTTGCTTACAAAATAATAAATGTAGAGTAATATATTTCTGTTAATAAAACACTTTTAACATTCAAAAAGTCACATCTTCAAACATACACATATGAACTACTTTGATGTCTGTCAAAATATTATTAGGAATTTTTTAACTAATGAATCCATGAGAATTCCATTATAAAGTGTAAAATAATGATTCACACTGAACATTACATTATATTCAACATCTCTGTACCTTTCTTTTCCAATCTGGCGTCATGTCGATGTGTGATTGCATATTCAATAGTAAACAGATATTTAATATGTATATATAGCATTATATGTAGTGAAATAATATAAATAAGAAAATAATTATATATAATATCATATATATGAATATTTTAAGTTGCTTTTTATACAAATGTTAGAATATATAGACAAATATTAGACAATTGCCGGAATGGTGAGTGATGCCAAGAAGTAAGTGTCGAGTGACACACACACACACATATATATATATATGTATGTATGTATGTATATGGGTATGATTATATTTATATTGAGCAATCTATATTATGTGCCGTCCAATCAAAACCTAGTTTTGTTGCAATATTTGTAGCACATACATTTTAGTTATGTAACTAAGCAAGCAATATCACTTCTTCATCTGAAGTTTGCAAACGCAGATTTAAATGGGACTGTCTGAGAGCGAGATATTTTTGTCTTGTCTGCCTGCAATCATGGTAACTGCTGACAGTTGAAATATCAGGGAACAATTATAATAATAAGATTATATACTAAAATCTGAGTTATACTATTACATTTTAATACTTTTCTGTAAAGATTGTACATTAGAAACATTTTTTTTTAGAATGTGTTGAAATTCCTATCCATATTATACAAAAACTGAACATTATACCGAATTTATATGTACTCTAATTGAATTATTATCTATTTATTCTTAGAAAAAAAAGTGCGGCTGAGGGTCCTAAAAATATTAAAGTACAATGAATGAATACAAAATGCAATTTAAGGCAAATTAATTTTTATGATTGTTTTATATTTTGTCAGGATTTTTGTGGCAATATATAGTATTATTGATATGTGGATGATATGTTTGCTGGTTTGTAAGAGAACTAATTAAATGCAAAATTTTAAGTTAGCAATATATGTTAGGATGAGGTTAAAATATGTAGAAGCAGAGGCATAATGAGTGATACAATAAAAAATATGTTTTACCTAACAATAGCTCTGTAGAAATATTATCAACATTATTAATACTTACTATGTATGGCGCGTCTCTCGTGTCTATGAGAACTTGGTAAAATGTATGGGTCTTCCCTTTAACTTCTTTGCCGACATTAGATAAAGAATCGCCCGATGTTTCAACATTTCCAGAAGTTTCCGGGTTATCCTTTTTATTGGAGGCATCCCTGTCGTATACTCTGGCCAGCCAAGGGAATAATATGACACCTCTATATCCGAATACTTTGTGTAAAATCAGTTGTCCAGTTTCATATTTGCCGGTTGTCTTGGGTGCTTCTAATTTTCCAACTTCAGCAAGTCTAATATTGTAATAAAGAACGTTGAATAGAGAGTCTTAGGTTAAGTACGTAACAAAATATTTTATTTTCATCTACATACGAACCGTGTGTAATGAGCTACATGGGTTAATAATATCCTAGAAGCTGTTAATCTTATTGGATTTGTAGGCACAAATCTTAAGAATATCTCCATTTTAACATTTTATTTACTAATTTTTATTCGACACTAGGATGTTTTTGATTCTTGTTTGACAATGGCAAGTGGTCGTTGACAATTTGCGGTTCCTAAAAACAAAAATGAGAAAATTTGATTTATATCGTTACCTCTTAATATTTTGCATATATACAGAATATCATATTATTGTATATAGTAAAATGAAGAATAATTATATTAAATATTTAAGTAGCAATTATTTAATAAAAATATACCGTAACAAAGGAAGCATAAAGTCAATATAAGTAAAATTAGGAAGTTTCCGAACGAGAGTGAGGGTTCAAACTTCAGTGTTTTAGAATTATTTTTATTGTTTTAATTTATTCATATTTTGTACATATTTACACATTTTCAGACGTGTTTATTAATAAATTAAGGCAAAATGTTAAGACTAATAAGCAGAGCCATAAACGTGTCCGGTACGTACATGATTTAGGAAAATAATTTGTGTATTGTAAACAAATTAATAAAGTTACACGTATATAATAAATCTTATATATATTTTGAATTGTAGTGCAATCTTCACCGAGTAGTTCCAGATGTATAGCGTCTCTATCAGCCCTACCTGATACATATCAGATGTTATATAAAACGTGTAGAGATTTCGCTGAGCAAGAACTGAAACCAAATGCAGCGAAATATGACAAGGAACATCTATATCCCGCCGCTGCTATTAAAGAAATGGGTAACTTGGGTCTCATGGCGATAGCTACTCCAGAAGAATTGGGTGGAACAGGGCTAGACTACTTGGCATATGCTATAGCTTTAGAAGAAATCTCAAGAGGATGTGCATCTGCTGGAGTTATCATGTCAGTGAATAACTCACTTTACTTGGGCCCTATCTTGCACTGGGGCACCGATAAACAAAAAGCTGAGTTTGTAACACCATTTTGTTCAGGTATTAATAATTATAATTAGTATTAATACAAAGTTGATTAGACATTCGTAGCTATATTTTAATATTATTTATGATTTCAGGGGATATAGTTGGTTGTTTCGCCCTGTCCGAACCTGGCAATGGCTCAGATGCAGGTGCCGCATCGACCACAGCTAAAGATGCTGGTGACAAGTGGCTCATCAACGGCACAAAATGTTGGATCACAAACGGCTATGAGAGCAAAGCATCCGTAGTATTCGCTACTACTGACAAAAATTTGAAGCATAAAGGAATTTCAGCATTCATTGTGCCAAAACCGATTAAAGGACTTGAATTAGGTAAAAAAGAAGATAAATTAGGTATCAGAGGTTCATCAACTTGCTCGCTGATGTTTGAGGATTGCGAGATTCCTAAAGAAAATATTCTCGGAGAGCCGGGATTTGGTTTTAAGATCGCCATGATGACTTTGGATGCTGGTAGGATTGGTATTGCCTCACAGGCTTTAGGTATTGCACAGGTAAATTATAGAATTAAAGACTATTCACAATAAGTATGAGAAAAAATAATAAATACATCAAATTTTCCCTACAGGCCTCCTTAGATGTAGCAGTGGAATATGCATCAAAACGAATTGCATTCGGCAAACCCATAATGAAGCTTCAAGCTATCCAAAATAAACTCGCCGATATGGCATTACAGCTTGAATCGGCTAGGTTATTGACGTGGAGGGCGGCCTGGCTTAAAGATAATAAGAAACCATACACTAAGGAAGCTGCTATGGCTAAGTTAGCTGCCTCCGAAGCAGCTACATTTGTATCCCATCAATGCATACAGGTATGGAGGAAAATGGACTTAAAAATAAATGTTAAAAATATCTATTAATTATATAATCTTCATGCTGGCAGTTCTTGTTATGCAATAATCAATGCATTACATAATCATCCATTTTTATATAGAATAAAATATAGCTAAAATATTTTCTAAATAAACGACTTTTAAGGTAATTAATTCACAATTAGTAATAAATTAAACACTAAATAATTGCTAATTGGGAAACAATTATCTTAAAATTCGTTAATTTAGAAAATATTTCAGCTTTAACTTTCTTCTGATAATGTGCTTCCAATGTAGATAAACGTAATTATCCAATGGTAGTTATGCTGATTTGCAGTATTTCCGACGATATGTAATTGAATTTTCAAGGAGATCTTATACTCAATATTTCTCTATTAAATTATAATCTGTATTTATTTTTACAGATTCTTGGTGGTATGGGTTATGTGTCAGATATGCCAGCTGAGAGGCATTACAGAGATGCAAGGATCACTGAGATCTACGAGGGAACATCAGAAATACAACGACTGGTCATAGCCGGACAGATCATTAAGGAATACGGTCTTTAAATCACATGTCCCTCGTTCTAATATAGATATATAATATTTTTTGATATATAACAGTGTTCAATAGTTTAATCATGTGTATGTTTTAATATCCTTATATGTAAGACTGACTAACTCCTATAAATATATTTAATGATGCCAACACTTCCTGTATTTTGAGACGTTTTATTAGATATTTAAATAACTCAATATGTGCTATAGAAAATATATGTTTTTTAAAAAAACTTTGTTTTAATTCAATGGTATAGTTATATATTTCTTCTAGAATTATTGCCAGAATGCAACTAACCAGTCACGTGGTCAGAATCGATAAGTCCAAGAAGCTATGTTTGAAACACTCGTTTATAAATTTTAGGAGTTTTTATTAAATACGCACTTTTTTGCATCGCCTCTTGTCATTATGTGGATAATATACAACCTTTATAAGATTTTCTTTAAAACTAAGCACGTTATTTTCTTGTGCTCTGTATTTGTTGGGACTTTGTGGATCTTTAAAAATAAGATAATGGGGATCCGTACATAGTTTAGTTAAATAAACAGCGATGTTAGTATCCTTGACCTGCACATCGTTACGTCAAATTAAGGTTTAATATATGTATTAAACCTTAATTTGACGTAACGATGATAACTTATTTATAATTTAATTAGATGGTAATCGCTATTATTTATTAAATTCATAAAAGTTAAATTGTCAGGGATTACATACATTAACGTTTTTTTTTTAAACAAAGATTTAAAGGTCAATTTAAGTAACACGTATTGGGCGTACCTCAAGAACCAATAAAATTAATAAAATATTACAGATCACAATAACCTTGATTTTTCTTGAAACTATTATTATATATTTGCAAACAATTCTATCGTCCAGGGAAAACTGGTTAAAATCGATTTAAATCATAATTTTCATCAAAGAAGACAATAGAAAAAAAAACACTATAAAGATTTTATGTCTTTGTACTTACAATATAAGTGGCCGCCAAAACTTCATAAAACACGATTATAAAAAAAAACATACATAAAGTATTGTTAACGACTCTTCTAGAAATAATATTGGATTCATGTTGCGTAAATTACGAGATAATATATGTAGATGACCACGAATATATTAACAGTTTGTAAGGAATCAAATTTTCTTAAATAAAACTGTAAAAAATATTGTTTGTAATATTTATTGTAATATGAAAACAACAGTAAATCAACAAAAACAACGAATTATCTTAGTCTAGTAAGACTTTACATTCCATGTTTCCATCGTCTTGTGTGGTGGGTATTTCGATGGTTGTAATGGAATTTGCATCGAGTTGAGCGATGACGTCACACGTGCCTACTCGTAATGTCGCTTCGTGTGCCTCCCCACTGAAAAAAAGACTTTATAATCTGTTCCTATAAGATTAAAAGTTAAAGATATCAGGATTTCTTACTCATTATATATGATGACCACGATAGTGTCTTCGGGCGTCATGAAGGCAATGTATTCTTTGGACGGATCCTTAACGCACTTGCCACATTGGCTGTAGAGAAAAAACGGTTCATTATTCCCATGAAATGCGATGTAAAACATACAATATATTTGGATCAACTCACTTATCGCTACCAGCAGTTATTTGTATTCTTTGTGATCCTCTCGGTAGAAATTTAGAAAAATGTCCCATGGCATAGAACATGGGTTGTTTGTAGAACTCTTTCTTTTTAGCGTCAACTATTATCGGGGAGTCCACGTAGTTGCCGACCCAAGTCGGACCTCCTTGTCTGTTCAAACATAAGTTCCAATCCACCCAACCAACGAAATTGCTGTTGAGATTCTGGAATTGAAAGTCATTAAAATATTCATCATACTAAACAAATCTTTACCATATTAAAAAGGATATTTTACCTCTAGAATATCTTCGATATAGTCTTTAGCTCGCGACCAGGAACCCAAATCAACTTTTGGAATAGCGGATGGTGAAGATCCTAACAAATTAATAATATTCATATATGTGTATCTTATATCTTAAATTAACTTCTAATAAATTCTATATATTATTTTCTCTACCTGCACAATATTCAGTCACAAGAGCAAATTTATCTGGAAACTGTTTCAGGAGCAATGTTGACATAGATGGTGATGTTATTTTATTTAAATACGAATGCAGAGCGAAACCGTCCACGTAATCAATGGCTTCCGGTGCTAGACCAAACTAAAAAAAATATTAATAATAATTTCAGTAACAGTAAGTTTTTGTCAATAGCAAGGATCAGTATAATTTCTTACCATCACAGAAAACAGTGGAATTAAGCCACGCTGGTCATCAATGGTTAGTAACTTAATACCTTCTGCAGAGCATTTCCTTAATTTCGGTCCAAGATGCTTCGATATGAAGGCACCCTAAATTGTAAAGTCAATGAAGAAATGAAATTATATTCATCAATATCAAAATATTTTTTGTGACACGCTGTAGGGATTGATGTTCAGAGATTCATCGGTATTCAGTATGTATAATTAATTATGTTCAGTCTCAAGCATAAGACGAAATAATTCAAAACGTTGGACAATAACTAAGTAAGTAACGAATAATACGTACCATATCCGGCACATACCACAACGTGCTTTGGAAAGGAGTCTTCAGCAGAGGTGAAGTCGGTTCGTTTGATGTTGACATCGCCCAGATATCGATGCCATTCTTCTTGTAAGCTTCCGCAAATCTAAATAATGGAATAAAATCAATTGTATTTTTTAATAAAACTTTATTCTCAATCAACTGTTTATTATCAACCTTTACCCAACGTACTTAGACGTAAAAAAAATAATATCATCGGAACAAATAATAAATCGTTTATGTTTTCAACATTAAACTGTTGCTCTATTATTATATTCGTTTCTTTTAATTTTTCTGTATTATTGTTTCATTTATTTCAACATACTTACCATTTATAAAAGTACACTGAAATAGATTTTTCTGGACTTAGTAGAAATGCAACGCTAAGAGTAACGTACTCGGAAACTGTTGTATGTACATATACCGATTACTAGCTTTCCGCCCACAGCTTCGCCCGCGTGGAGTTCGGTTATATCGCGTTTCCAAGAGAACCTTTCAAAAGTCTGTGATAAAAACTATCCTATGTTCTTTCTCAAGATCAACTCTATCTCTGTACCAAATTTCATTAAAATCAGTTCAGTGGTTTAGGCGTGAAAGCGTAACAGACAGACAGACAGACAGACAGACAGAGTTACTTTCGCATTTATAATATTAGTAGGGATCAACATACTTGCAATGATAATCAGCGTAGTCCTGGAAGAACTTCTCTTTAACTGAACCCCCGGCAGCCATGCTGTCTTTAGTCTTCATCCATGAAGGAGGTGACCATGAAGCAGCTACTATATGAATATCGTCAGTGGCGACATCTTTTGCACGTTGAATGAAAGGAATCTTTAAACAAACGACACATTAATTGTTAAGTTTGAAATTTTAATGACCTTGATATAAAATTTCATTTTTGTTTTGTAAATGTTTTTATACGATTTCTTTCGAGCCTGTTTTAATTTTTTCCCCGCCGTGATTCCACTTTATGTATGGTCGGCACAACATGTTCTTCTCTTCCACAGAACATGTTGTTAATAGTTTTGACTATTTGTTTTTACGACCGGCCGCCTGCCTGACATCAATCCTCTTTGGGAATGCATTAATATCTTTTATATTAATGTTGCCAGTATTTAATATGATTGTAATAATAAAAATGGGTATTTTATCATTTCATTTTCACCTTATATTCATAATCTTCTTTTGCTAATTTAAAGTTGTCCAGATCTGTATCGTTACGATAATCATCGTAAGAGTAAATACGTGTTGAAAAATCAGTTGAGGCAATCGGCAGACGGATCATGTTGTACTCGATGCCATTACCACCGAAATAAGATCTGGAAAAAAGTGTTTATTAGAAGCGACTGTGTTTAAACTATAGATGTAGATATCCATAGTCAATACAGATATCTACAGATAGAATTTAATCAGTGGATCAAACTTAGTGAACTACATAGGGAAACATTATGACTATTATAAAATCCTAATTCAATCTAGTTTTTTAATTTTGTTTATTTTTTGTCATAATTATATTTTTAATGTTTTCGAGACACAACTCAGTCGAAAGCTGTGTTATTTTATTAATGTTATTCCAGGTACGAAGTATTATTTTAAATCATCTACAAATATATTTATTATTTACTATACAGCACGAGGGAACATCTTACAAAAGCCTTACGAAGTAGTAATTTTAGAGAACTGACAATAGTTGTGTGTGTATTTAAAACAAAAACATTTCTTTATCATAATACATACTTTACTAATTTCCGTTGTGCAGCTAAAGGTAAACTCTTCAAGTTCATACCAGCTGAGTCCGTGACAGCTCCACCGAAACCCTCGATCTTCTGATAACGAACCTTCGGATCCAGTAGGTAGACATTTTCGTCATCATCTATAATTAATAATATTATAATTTTCACATCTACACATATACACAACTAGCATTCCGCCCGCAGCTTCGCCCGCGTGGAGTTCGGTTATATCGCGTTTCCAAGAGAACCTTTCAAAAGTCTGGCATAAAAACTATCCTATGTTCTTTCTCAAGGTCAACTCTATCTCTTTACCAAATTCCATTAAAATCAGTTCAGTGGTTTAGGCGTGAAAGCGTAACAGACAGACAGAGTTACTTTCGCATTAATAATATTAATAGAGATTAATAATAAATATATTTACCTCTCACTGACGGGTCCCGACACTGGATATTATTGATTTGTTTATAGAATCTTTTGCCTTCCTGTAGAAGATAAATAATGATTAAAGAATCTACTTCTGTTGTTGAATTTTTAGTCTATAATATTTATTGATTTATTTTTTTTAATTCCCGTGTTATATATCGTCAGGGAGAGTAGAAAAATCCTCGTAACTAGCAATGTGATAATTCCGCGTGTCTGCTTTAGAAGCAGATTGACAGAATAAATTAAAAACCAAATAATCACTAAAAAAATTACCTTAAAAGTCGTTAACTTTAAATTATTTCAGCTTAAAACTTCGTCTTTCAATCTGCTTCTAATGAAGATAGGCGTAATTATTTTCATTAGGCGTAAATGCTAGTTACGTGGATTTTGCACTATCCCCGACGATATGTAATTAATAACAATTAATATTAGGTATGACGACAAATAAAATTATCTATTATTCCTTACCTTACTGCTAGTATACGTGGCGAAAGTCCCAGATTCAAAGTTGGTTACTCTCGTGATAGTGTCGCAGTATGTAGAGTTACAAACACACACTGACGACTCATTATAAAATCTGGGAGCACACGGCACATCTGAACATCCTGTATTATACAGTTTCAATTAACATATGACAACAGTCAATAGATGCTATAATGAATATTCAAACTTTTTTAACGGTCACGAATTTGAAAGCAAATGCCATAATAGTGAAAACAAGTAAATGAATTAACTTATATATTCGCTTAATTTATTTATAAGCACTTATAGGAATCAAAATAGAACTGTAATGAGATGTTAGTAGTTGAAAAGATTATTAATTTAACTACTCACTACGCTATGCTACAATGAAGACATGTTTGCTGGACATAACTTTATAACGTTCGCTGTTTGTCATTCAAAAATCGTTAACACGTTCGAAATTCAAAATTTGGAATAAGAATGCAGACGTCCTTTAATAAAATGTTTTAAATTTATATTCTGATGATTTTATTTTAATACTTACAAACATTTATTTTATGTAAGTATTAAAAATATGTGAAACTAATATTTTTCTGATTACTACGCCTAATTTTTATTTTAATATCACAACTCGTCTGCACGTGATCTCGGTTGTTGCAAAGTAACCGAAACGTCGGAAGTATATAGTTAAAATAATAAAATACGCGTAGTAATCCGAATAATGTTTCATTTAAATGTATACTCGCAAAAGTATTAGATCTCTTTATATAAAAAAATAAAACCTTACCAGCAGATATTTGATGCACTAAAAACAACAGCGTCAAAACTACAAATGATTTAAAAGACTCCATTTTGAATAATACCCGAAAATACAACGGTTGACTTATATACTGCCTTATGGTTTATACAGCGTGATTTAAATATTAATTCATATAAATGTTTCTTGTTTATTTATAACACAACTAACTGGCGATCAAGTGTAAAGATTATTTTAATTTTTACTAGATTTCCTACCAATCTATTACAATCAACCTAAAAGTACAGCGTCAACAAAATATAATTGGGTTAAAATTTTATGAACACCATGTATTCTATTTGATAATACTTTTATAATTTCCTGTAAAAATTTCTTACAAACATCTGTATGTACATTCCGTCATGGTTACAAGAGGACTTTTTTGCAATGTACACTTATACCATATGTCATACAATAGAATGTTATACTAATATTTAAATAAAATTAGGCACATTTGGTATCACATAGCCGGCTGTCTGTATGCTAATTTTATGTGCGAAATGTGGAATATTAGCTGTAAAAATTATTTACCTAAATTTCCACTTGTTAAAGCATAATATTATCGAATATATTTTTTTAAAGTAGAGAAAATGTCATAATTTTTTGTACGGCTGGTTGAAGTTTATTTATTTGTTTATCGGAAAACATACAGCTTATTTCATAATTATTACGTAAGGTTATAAAATAATTTGCCAGAACAGCTTCAACATAGCACATTGTTGTTTTGAAATGGAGTGTTTTATTAGAAATAAATTAGAAACAAAAAAAAGCACATAGCAAGAACATTAACATGGAGGAGAAAGAATAAAACACATTTTACTACAATAATTATGTACTTATGATGAAAGAAAAACTAAATATATATACTAAAAATAATAAAAAACTACATCAGAATCTTTTTATCAAATTTTAAATTATACTATTTCAGGATTGCTCTTTAAATAATAAATAAAATTAAGGATATTTATAATAAAATTCTATGTTATTATATAGATGATTATAGTTATTATAAGATTTGACAAGAAAGATTTTTGCTATAATTGGTTTCACAAAATGGAACATAAAAAGATTGTTTTAAACGTGATGTTGGACGAGAGCAATTTAGGCGAATTTTGGTTAAAAGATATTCCACATAAGTAAGTAATTTAAAATCTGATATAAAAATAAGATATCTCTTTTTACTCGTCGCCTCTACAAAAAAAAATATATCGGTGAACTATAACACCTTCATTGTCGTTGGCGAATTTAAAAGGGTACTAACCTTTTTTAACATTTAAGATGAAGTTAAATTAAAAAAATTACCAAAATGCAATTCATAGCTTAAGTACATTCTTTGGAGATATATTTTTATAATATCAAAAATCAGCTCTCTAAATATTTGTTACCTGTCATAAAACTATATTTAAAACATATATTACAGGAATAGCGTGTATGTTATAGATTACATCAAAGATAATAGTTTAAAATAAGGTGGCCAACCGTCCCGCATTCTGCGGGATCGTCCCGCAATTCTAGACGAAATCCCGCTTTGAAATTATTAGTAAAATAGTCCCGCAAAACGTTATATGCGTCCCGCATGTCCCGCATCCCTATTTTTCTACCACACTTCTACTTCAATAGTGCAGGAACACAGATTACCTATAATAGCGACAAGCGTATCGCGCCCGCGTTAATTTCGTTTTCTTTTCTTCTGAACTCATGACGCGTAAGAGAGACAAGATTTTTGACATTCCCAATCCCTAACACCCCCCCCCCCCGCCATTTACGAAAGGTTAAGTCCCGCATTCAGTTTTCGGAAAGTTGGCCGCCTTAGTTTAAAATAGCTCTTGCTATATTTGGCACTTGCAATTTACATTTCTACTTTATAGTTATAAATTTTGGCGAGTAAAAAATATATCTGGCATAATTAATTTATGAATTCATGTTATATCTGTGATGAGTCTTTGTAAAGAGTCCGCTCATTTCCAATAGACGAATAGTTGTATAGAAATAGAATAGGCTTCGCAATATAAAGCTAAACTTAATTTTGAAATAAATATTTTTCATGAAAACTTGAAAAATAATTATTTATCTTTTAACGGACAATAACATTTCTTTCTATTATTAATTTATATCTAAATGATTTTCATTATAAATCATGACGATCATGATTACTTGCAGACGAGATGGAAGTGTGTGGTTGCTGTAAAGGAGCCGAAATATCAGGATAAAATCCTAAATACATTTAAAATCACACAAAATCTGAAAAACTTTGATTCATTTTAATGTTTCTTATAATTTTTTGTTCAAATATTTGAGTGTAACAGATTTAAAATATTTTTAAACCCTATTCACAGAACCTCGAGGTCATGGTTTATCGTTGACGTAACTAAAATAAATATTTTTAGAGTTTATTACCATTTATATAACAGAATACATAAAATAACAAAAAATGATATTTGGAAAATTTAATCATTTACCTTTCTTAACTGAAAATATAAAAATTATTGCTATAATTTATATTCCTTGTATAATTTAAAAAAATTTTATAATGTATATTATGTATTTTACATCTGTGACGTTGTGGAATGTAGTCATTCTCGATTATTAGTCTGTGGCATTGATCATACGACGTGAGCTGTCAGCTGAATATTTTTTAATTCATTGTGTTTATTACGCCTAAAAATGTTATAATTATTATAAAAACGATAATATGGGTGCGAAGGATTCAAAGCTTAGTTTTATATCATACGATGACGCTGTGAAACGAGGTATAAAGTGCTGTAAGACGTTCAGTGTTTTTTAATGTTCGTTAAAAATTAAATATATAATATTAAAATTGCAGTGTCTGAGAGTGAGTTGAGGCGTATACGTGAGGCATTTAAGAGATGTGCTGGAGCTAACGGGTCCGTGTTGAGCTTCGAGGCGTTCGTTCAGGAGGTGCTCTGCGATGGAGTGCCTCTGGAAGTCGCGGAGTGGCTGTACCAGGCGTGCGGAGGAACGAAGCGAGGGATCACCTTCAAGGACCTGTTACGTGGAGTTGTCGTTCTTACGAAGGGGAACATAGAAGAGAAAATCAAGTAAGGATAGCCATTACTAACATATATATTAACAATTACACGACTAGTTGTTTTGTTTATATTAACTACCTTATTTAACATATTATTGTTATATATTCAATCACTCCCAGGTTCCTGTGGACGTTGTATGTTAATAATCAAAATGACAACGGCACATACATATACAAACGAGAGTTTGCTAGAGCGCTGCACCTCGAAAATTCATCGTTACCAGAGAACGAATCTCAGAGAACCCTGGACATACTGACCAGTCTGTTTGGTTCCTGTGAGAGGGTCACCTTCGATCAGTTCAGATCTTGGCTCCTCATACATAAAGATGCTACGGTCCTATCAAAATGGTTGTTATTCGATAGAAACAGTATACCACAGGATTTAGACACACCAACATTCTACCAAAGCTTAGCTGGAGTCACACATTTGGATGAAAGGGTAAGGAAATATTAGGTTTTTTTTATAAATAGTCATATATATAAAATCAATTAATTAGATGCTTGCTAAAACTTTAAGCATACTTCTTTCTTAGCCACAATTTAGTAATCGATTTATTAAAGTTGACAATCTTAATTATTTTATAATAAATATTAGTATAGCTTTATGACCATTGTTAATAAATTATTAATTTCACATATATATCATATATTTCTATATTCACAACATAAGAACCATAATTTACTGATACAAATGCCAATGCTTGTTTTTTTTATATATTTATGAGTACTATATATACAGGGTGACTGGTGAATTACTATCGATATTTGAGGACGTGATATTTGACGATCATATATGACAAAATAAAAATTAATATAACATAAATATTAATAAACTTCTAAGTAAAGTTAACCAAAAGTTATGTAATTAATTACGCATCGTATGAACACCCTACAGATTAGGTATACACACACACTCACACATACGCGCGCGGCGCCGTGTTGTTGTATCAGCAGGCCGCCGCACGCGTCAACACTTGGAACACTTGGAACGTGTCCACGCTTTATTTATTTATACGGAAATTTGGTCAAAAATTAAGTACCTATTCTTTTTACATAATTCGAATGAGAATCATGTACCGAGTATGCTCCTTAAATATTGATAGTAATTCACCAGTCACCCTGTATATACACATATATATGATATTTTCTATCAAGTTTAAGAGAACAATGGAATTTTAAAGTGAACATGACTTAACATGTTTGTTGTTGACTTTTTTATATTCAACCTCCTTTATAATATTTATTTATCTGTTGTATAAAAGATGTGAAAGGAGTGGAAAAAACTTTTAATGTTTTAACTTATAATGTTTAACTTAGAGCTTGCTTTTTTATAGAATAACATGTGATAAACCAGATACATTTTTGTGAGCAAAACCATTACAAAGTTTGTTTAAATTGACAAATAGAGTACAACAAAGTAGTGCCTAACTAAAATTATAGAACTTAATGGAATCCATAAAGCTACTTTTCTTTAAGATAAATCATATTATACTTAGAAATAAAGATATTTGAATAATACACTTATGTTATCAAAACATTTGTTCTAATTAATTTTTATCAGATTGTGATATCTGTAATGTATTGAGAACAAACAGACGGGAATAGTTCCTATGTGGTTTGATAACATTAAAAAGAGTATTACCTAACTAAAATGATAACATATCATTTATATGCATATATATGCCAATAAAGTCAGAAATACATTGATATGATTACATGACAAAGCTACTGAACGGTGTGATTCTGCCTTTAGAATGTATATGAAGCAAATTAATATTTTGTTTGATAGTAATTATATATAATAATATATATACATATTTACTATGTTTGTCTGTCTGTCACGCTTTCACGCCTAAACCGCTGAACTGATTTTAATGAAATTTGATACAGAGATAGAGTTGACTTTGAGAAAGAACATGATAGTTTTTATTCCAGACGTTGGATAAGTTCTAACCGAAATCAACGCGGACAAAGCCGCGGGCGGAAAGCTAGTTATATATAATAATAAATATATTTACATTTGTTTGTCTGTCTGTATTGTGCTGAGTATTAGCTAGTATGACGTAATTATTCTGCGCCGTTTCATATTTAATGCTGATTTGTTAAAACAATGGCTGTGAAAGACTATTCCGTCATTCCAATTTAAAACTGATGAAGGAGTAATTTTTCTATCATCGTTATATGAAACGTATTTGTAATATGAATGTTTAATTTTTTAAATATGATTTTTCATGTTCTGAAGCGCTTAATAATAATTTTCTTTATATTTATTTTAATATGAGCCAAAATGAACGTAAAATGAATTCGTCCTTGCACGTGGGATTCCCAACAGTGTGTGTCTTGAGGAAAATTTTACGTAGAAATTATTGCTTTTATTTCTTAATATTCTAGTTTATGTACGAACATATGATTCTTATTGTTAAATACATGCTTTGAATTATAGCTATCAAAATTTTTTGATCCCACATTTCGTTGCTTTAGATAGGAACCCGTAAGCTTATTGCTATTAAGTAAAATTAAATTGCGAATTGCATTATATATATACCAAGCAATTTTGTTTATTTTTTTTATTTTTATATAATACATATTGTGCAATTAATTTTATATAAAATAATTTGAGCGAAGTCATTTATTTTAGTAGCAACGTAAGCGACTCTAGATGGTCTAGTATTAAATTGAAAATTCATCAATTATAAAGTTTATAATACAAATAGCAAAATAAAAATTGATTTCGATGAAATAATATGAAATAAATTCTTCTATCTTGAGTGGTATTAGTTGTAAGCTACTGATGTATAGACGCAGTGGCTTATCTACTGATGTATAGACGCAGGAGAAACCATTATGTACTTTTAAATGAGAAAAAAATATCATCTAATTAGAGTAATTATGTACAGTGCGATTTACACTTGCTTCAACACGCGTTTGTTCCGCTCTGCTATTTATTTTTATAGTATATACATAAAAAATGTATACGTAGAACGTTATATAATTAATTTTCTAAAGAAATTTTGCTATATATGGCGAAGTAGAAAAATAATTATAAATGTATATATTTGATACGTGTGACTTATGTTCTATTTTGTCTACAAGCTATGCTGTATAGTTAACATATAGTATCTTTATATGTTTCAGATATATTATATGTTATAATTACATATTTCTATATACATAATTTGTTAAGTTGCTATCTTAAATCATATTGGCGACTTAAATATTTAAATGCATACATCGTATTGCAGTTTTCGATAGCTTTTTGTTTTATTTGTATACGAAGGCTAAAACAGCGAATGCATACATATTATTATCTGATTGTTGTAATTAACAGATAGATGTTTATATGATAAGTTATAATACATTCTAGGATATAATAGAATTGGAGAAATGTTTCTGGTGTCTCCGGAATTCGGCTCCAACTGGAGAATTGGATATTCAGAGTATGAAGGGGCTCCTGTCTCCGCCTCTGCCGCGGGCGGCTGTTGAGGGCACTTTCCTGGCTTTCGATGAAAACAGAGATGGACATATAGACTTTAAGGAACTCTGCTGTGGACTTAGCGCTGCTTGTAGAGGTCCTACTACGGAGAGGCTCAAATGTAAGCATACACACACACTCACACACACATATGTATATAATACGTAATACGGGGTACTGTTATGTGTTCTAAATGTTTGCTATGTATTAATATGTGGTGTATTTTAAGATAAATATAATGACGTCAAGCGTCTGCAAATATGATACGATAAAGATGCCTTTGAAACATCGTATCAGAATTATATTGTATCAAATTTAAAACTAATAATTGATTTGTGAACATACTGGCATTGGCCGTGGATTTGCTTGCTAGTGGTTGGGATTAAAAATCAGTTTTACCTAGTGTACAAAGACAAACATACTACTGTTTGTTATTTAAAAGTATCTAACTCTCATAATTTTAATAACTGATTACTAGGGAGGTTCCCTATACAATTATACATATATGTATATAGGTTAAAAAATAAATCAGACTATAAAAGATATGGAAAAAATTAAATCAAGATAATTAAAAATTACGAAAAGTAAATTAATATAAAGAAATAACGTTTGAAATTTGTGCTGTTAGCAGCAAATAGTGTACGAATATGGGATAGGAAACATATCTTTAAACAAAACATACACACACACACACACAGCCACAGATAGGTAAATGTGTATGACAAAATCTATTATTAACAATGATTTAACATTGAATGTTTAAATCTTTATATATATCTTTATTTTTTCCTAAAAAAAATTGTCATTGTTTGTATTTGGCTTGTATATGCCGCCGAGATTATTTAAATTGATATACTCTGTTGACAGTTACACACACCCACACACAGAAACGCACACACACACACATATACAAATAACAGTGCGAATTGACGTTATTTTTTTTTAATGCTAATTCTTCATTCGCTCTGGAATCGTGGAATATTATGCCAATGTCAATTTTTAAGTTTTTATATCATAGTGACAACAATATCATCACAGCTTATAAATAAAATAAATTTAATTATATAGTAGAATCTAGTTAGATTTAACCTACGCTAGTTTTTAAACAACTGTAGTAATAAATAAATGTAATATATAAAATTTATATATATTATTTTCTTATATTTATTGTATTTCTCGTAAGACACATCCATATGTAATAATTACGAGAAATGTTATATAATCGAAGTTTTTTTTAATTCAGGTAATTAAAAACGATTACATAAATTAATAATTTAATATCGCAATTATTACTGAATAAGGCTTAAAGTTGAAAAAGTTCATTATGTTTACTATTGGTTTCACGTCTCATACTCAATAAGCTACGTTAATAGAGTAATAGGATAAAATTTATCATTAAAAAACTTTCAAACTTATGTATGTATATGCCAATGCCATATTAAGCTTAGGTCCAGTTATTGAAATTTTCACGTTGTACGTTTTTGTTCACGACCGTACTTTTTGTCTTAAATATTTAAATTTTCTTTCAACATCATCTAGTAATCGTTAATTATACTACTACACACACACTACACATTATATCTGATACTTAACTTTAAATATTTATAAACTGATCGTGAATACTTTAAGGATTTATAAATACTTTTTTAACTACTCTTTATTTTTTTAATTTGAAGTTCAAAAGCTTAATGCTATGCAATTTTAAATTTTAGGAGGCGTTTCTTCTGCGAGTAATTTTACACACACACATAAACACACACATACATATATATAGCTATAAAATTTATCCTAATCTTCCAAAAACTAGCCCATGTTAATTTTACAAGTTTATTTCAAACTCTCAATACAAAATCTATTAGAAGAGATATTACCGTAACAATGACTAATAAATAACATGTCCTCACAATTGATGGTTTTCTGTGGTTTATTTCTGTCAGGACTGTGATAATTATTGTGGTGTCAGATGTCACTAATGATTTGTATGCTGCCTCATACTTCATGAACCCTGAAACAGAATGAACTAAGTTCTATGAAAAGAAAAAGTTTTAATCAATACATTTATCGAATAAACAGATACAATTAGTAATCATGTTATTGCGATTTGATTGTTGACACAAACAAAATTGCATGACGAATCTTAAATTGCTTCCTTCGTCATCTAGATTTGTCTGAATCGGAACGTAATTATACGCGGGAATTATTTTTTTTATAACATGTTAAATGTCATTAAAATGTGTCACAGTCGCACGTCACTGTTTATTTGTTAAATGCTGATTTTTTTTTTTAATAGCCATGTTTTTGTTAAGACAAATTGAACGCGACCCGGCCGTGGTACTCTTTTCTGTCAAGGTCGCCATAAGTCATCCTGCATTACATATTATGTACAATGTTGGCGCGTGCGTCACGATGACACCGCGCTAACTATACCGGCCAGTTAGAAACTTATTGTTCTGTTTAGTGAATTAAAAAAAAACTTATAAAAATACCACGAAGGTCGGATGTATGTTCGAAGGAGTTTTCTTTTTAGGAAACTTTTTGCTCGTTCAGTTTGGAACGTCTTCGAAAAAGGAAGAGGTTCTAAAATCAAAGGTTTTGTTTGTAAATTTTACTCTTTATTTTTAGACCCGCACGTTTTTGATGCAAAAGTTTATTTATAGTAAAAAAGCAACACATTGTAAACATCCAATGTGGGAAGGTATGAGAATAAAAATAAAAAGATATTTATCAATAATCACATACATTGAAATATGAACGGAGGAGAAATAAGTGATCATTTTTTAATTTCTGCAACAATAAATACTTATTTCAGTACATTGACGCATTCGATAAGATACTTCTAGATTCATGTTAGATTATCAATAATTTTTATCGGAGTCTGTGTTCAAAAAAATGTTAGATATTCACAATCTAAACAGTACAATATATTTGACTAAATACGTAATATAATATACATATATGTGATAAGAAAAAAATAAATGTAATCCTTATCAGTGATAACAGATAACAGGCAAGTGTCTCGCGTCTTATACTTTTTTTTCGCAATATAATTAGCTTTGATTACATATCGTTTGATTGTAATTAATGATACGATGAATCATAAGTTCAAGAGTTTAATGTAACAAACAAACGCACATACCTCGTATAGAACTAATGCAACTATTTTGTCTTAGCAAACTCTCTTGCTTCCACAAACTCAATAGCGATAATTAAGTTTTATTATATTTGCTAACTGAATAAAAATAATGTTTTAGGATTACTACGCATTTTTTATTATTTTAAACATAATTTCTAAATTTCGAGTACTTCGCAGCTATCGTGTTCGGGCTGATGAGATGAGAATTTAGTTAGTTGGTTTTTTTATTTATCATCTACATCTACTAATTTCTTATTTATCATTATGTGCTAACTATTGTATAGCATTTAAATATCGTGGCCCATTCTTTGTAATAATTTTCAATCGGATATCCGAGCAATCAATATTCAAACTTATGACGTGGTATACAGAAGCTATTGTTCTATGTACCAAAGAATATTCTTTTCGGTTAAAATAATCTTAAACTTATTTTTACATAATGGAAAGATTTTTAATGATTATGCTTCACGTATTGTTATAATAGATGAGTCTAGAATCTAGACCGTAATGTATAAGTCGTTATATTGGTCAAGGTTCGCTGTGTTTGTAAATAATAAAATATATATGTATGTATGTATATATGTTTTCTGGAATGAAACACTATTTGTCACCTTCAGTTCTGTTTGTTACTGTATTAGATTAAGTCAATATGTATCAGATGATAATTATATAGCTGTTTATATTATTTTATAAAACACTAAGTTTGTTGAGATATATTTAGGCTTCTAACGAAATTAAAAATATAGTTTTCTTATAAAGCCAGTACTTTTAAATAACAAATAAACCTTTAACTTCAATAAACTGCAAAACACACAAGTCGTGTCGACAAAATATTTTCCCGCGTAAAAGTGAACAAACCAAACGTCATCGCTTTAACGTCACTTGGGGTGCGTTCGGGAATTTAAAAGTTCTTTTCAAATTTAATGTGTGTTCCTTTAATAATAATAAAATATACTTTTTTCCTTTTCAGTTTGCTTCAAAATATTCGACCTGGATCGGGACGGTCTTCTCAATAAGAAAGAACTAGAAGACATGGTCAGTATACTGTGTACTATAGCCAACGAGGCTATCAAGAACCAAGATTCGAGGTCTTCAACACCCTCGGACGGAGAGTCGGAGGGTGATAGGGGTTTTGACCCCGAACAGGTGTTGAAGAACTTGAAGGAGAAACTGGTGTCAGTACCCACAGATGCGAGGAAGCCGATGTTCCAACTGGGACCCACTGACGCTGAGAGAACAGTCGCTACGGACGAGGTAAAATGATCTGTACTGTGTTATATAATGTTATTTGTATGTGTGGTTATTATTTATGTGAAGATGATTTATGTGTGTTTTTGTATCGCAATGCAAATTTTATCTATGTGTATAAAAGAAAGTTGTATTAGTTATACTATTCATAACTCAAGAAGTACTGTAGGGATATGATTGGAAATTGGTGGAGAGATAGATTAGAACAAGAGAAAGGACATAGGATATTTAATTATGTTCAATCGATAAAAAAAATCTTAATAAATTATAATATTTGGTTATTTGACGCCACTAGGACGGAATAGACCTCGTCAGGTCAGCTATACATATATAACTAATTCCGAAATTAACGCGGACGAAGTCGCGGGCAAAACCTATTATACATATAAAATTATTGGTATTATAGCGAAATTTACTGTAATTATGACGTCATTATTACATTTTTATGATATGAATCTAATTAATGTCAGAGCGAAATAAATAATAACGTTTGAAAATTTATATATTGAGCAAAATTTTTTTTTACATGAATACATATACAGTGTTTGTTTCAAAGATATAAGTGATTGTAGGAACTAGTTCGACTTGGATTATTTTTTATTATGGCAATATGACAGCATGAATTTGAACTATTGTATACGTAGCGATGCGAAGTATGTTTTTAATATAAATAAGTAAAGGGAAGGGAAAGAAAAGTTGGTCAGAGAGAAATTAAGTATCTCATTGAAAAGTTATTTTAATTTATTGTTAACAATACCTGCGACTTTAGGTTACGACTTATTAATACTTTGAATTGGTCGGTTTAATAAATGGATTTTGTTTCTTATTATCCATAGAATATATAATACAGTACGAAAAATATGTAGTTTCAAAGTTGTGTTAAATCCAATACTTTGCCTTAAAAGATAACATCTGGCACCTAGAAATTTCCTAATCCATTTTAAAACTGATAATTATTTTTTAAATTTGTTGGATACAAATAAGCAATAATAGTGTAACTAATATCTTAAAAAAACTTTTTTTACTGATCCCTAAACAATATTTACATATATTTTTTGATCCTGAGTGTATGTATGAAATAAAATTTTCAGGATGTTCCAGTCCTACTTATCAAATGACACAAAATATAATAAATGACCAGAATTAATTTCACTGTTTTAAAATCTGCGACAGTAAAATGTTTAAAGAACTACTGAACTGACTTTCATGGTTTTGATTGGTCCCATTGCACGTATACTATATGGATTTAATGTTACAAGGAATTTAAATATGTACTGTAGGAGAGTGATTATTGATTTTCTTGATGTCTTTTATAACAATCCCTATAAAATTCTATATATATATCGTCGGGGACAATGCAAATCCGCGCAACTATCATTGGATAATTCCGTGATCTACATTGGAAGCAGAATATCACAAAAAAATAAAGCTAAAATTTTTTCTATATTAACAACTTTTCTAATAATTTTTTTTCTCAATTACTAATTATATAGTGTTTCATTTATTGCAATAAAATCACCTATAAATCTACTCGACCGTTCTTTGCTTGTATATTGTCGTACTTAACCTACCATCTTACTAATATTATAATTTATAATTGCGAAAGTTTGTGAGTGTGTGTGTATGTTTGTTACTTCTTCACGCTCAAACGGCTGAACCGATTTTGATAAAATTTTGTATACAGGAAGCTGACGTCCAGAAATAACACATAGGCTACTTTACATCCTGGAAATCCGCGGGGCGCAGCTAGTGTGTAATAAGTATTATTATATCCATTAACAGGAGTACGGGAGCGGTCTACGTCTAGAGGAGTTCCTCATCTGGAGTGTAGAGAGTGCGGGCCCACTAGTGACGCCCTGCAGGGAACTCTTGTTGGAGCTGTGTCACGTGGTGTTAGGACTAAGACCGGAGTGTAGACATCGAGAGAGAGACATCGGTCAGTATAGAAACGAAACCTCTCAAGTCTCAGCATTCAATGTATTCACGATGCGTGTGTCGGGTCCATCGTTGTAGTGAGAGGAGTTTCAACAGTGACTGGGACTTGTGACACAGGTTTAGGTTTAAGGGACCCTATCTAACTTTTTTTTTTTTTTTTTTTATGTCAAAGGTGGCAAACGAGCAGACGGCCCACTTGATGGAAGGTGGTTACCGTCGCCCATTGACATCCGCAACAAAGATGTTGCGGATGCGTTGCCAACTTTGTTTTATAGGGATAGGGAGGGGTGGGAATAAGGATATTGTAGGAAAGGGTGGGAATAGGGAAAGGGCAACCGGCTCTCTCACTCATCGGACGAAACGCAGCCATTAAAGGCTACTTCACGCCGATCTTCTGTGAGAGGGTGGTACTTCCCCAGTCGAGCCAGCCCGTGTTCGAGCTGTAGTAACTAACCACAGCTAGGCTCTACCACCTTTAAAAACCTAACACGCGTTTTACGCTCACCTCCAACGTCCAAGCTCCTCTCTCTACCTAACACAATTTAAAAAAAACTTACTAGAGATGTAGTAGGAAGTACGGTCCATAAACGGATTGATATTAGTCCTTGTCAGGACTAAAAAACTTACAAAGTTTTTTGTTGGACCTATCGGTCAAAGTTTTTTAGTAGGATCTAAGGAGATTTTTCTGTTATACCTCTCCCTCCCACCTCTGCGGCCTACAAATCTACAACGAACCTATTTTTAGTGAGTTCGTTAGCAAGCTCTTAATACTTGTTGATATTGGTGGTATGGTCTTTGAGGATGTTGCTTCCCCCAGGAACCGTGAGCTTTATTAGCACAACGGGCTCTAAAATTCGCGAATATAAAAATTTATCTGTTCTTAAGGCCGACGCACAAATATCCTCTGGGATTTTATTAGAAGCAGTATTATTAGAAGCAAACTTCTCATACGTATCCATCATTACAGCAATTGTTTAGTCGAGAAACACGTACATACATACATACATGTGTATACAATTAGAATTATATTGTAAGTTATATATCTGTTTTGTTCATGGTTTTGTTGCATAATATTCATGAACGATGAAGTTAATATAATTTAATTCTATCTATGTTATTTGTGTGTGAGTTTCTATATATCGTGTTATCTATAGTCCTTGGCTGGTTACGTCGTGAGACCTGCCGCGGTCTGTCCGTGGGTCAGTTCTGGTACCTGGTCTCTGCCTCCTGGTGGCGCGCCTGGCTACACTACTGCGGCTCGCCTGGCTCTTGCTGCCGACGGGACGATATAGTACCTGATGACAGCTTCACTACTAATTCAACCGGTCAGTGGCTACTATATATGTATACTGTTGTAGTCCGTTAGACTTAAGCTAAGCTTTGCATTTGTGTGAGTGAATGTAAAGCTTGAGTCAGAAAAAAACTTTTAGAAATGGATTTTATTATTTTTTAATTTTTATACATGGATTCTTGATTTAAAATAAAATAAGTTAATTGTTAAAGGACAGGTGTAAATATTATGTGAAGAAAGATAGTTTAATTTATTAATTTAAAATGTAAAAAAAATATAAGAATTCTTCTTCACTTGATATTTCTTTATCATTAAGGTCTTTAAAATCACTATTTAAATTACAATACGTTACAGAGTCAATGGGTTCTTTGCTCTGGCCGGCGGAAAGCGCATCTCTGGGCAGCGCTGGCGGCAGCGCGGGCAGCGCCAGTAGTGGAGTAGGTAGCGTGAGGGCGGCACCTCACCCGGGGCCCGTAGACAACTCCCCGCTGCTCGGGGGCGGAGGACCAGCGGTGCGGGCGCTCACCGGCGAGGGTGGCACTCTCCGCCGTGACGTCACACTAGCACAGCATCGCGACTTCGAGCTGGTCCCAGATGCTTTATGGCACGCGCTCGCACTGTGGTACGGCGCCGCGGACCCCCTGCCGAGACAAGTGATCAGGCCGGTGCACGCGGACGTGGAGCTCGAGCTGTACCCGCTGCAGATGAGGATCTACAGGCACGTGCCCGGGCCGCAGAGTGAGTATACATACTAACATAGAGTGACGTCACACGACACGATAAAAACACGTGTCGTACACTGACGATGTGAGGTGGTAATGTTTAGTTTGATAACCTGTTATTGAGCAGTGGATGTGTCTGCGTCAGGAGCGACCACCCTGGGTCTGTTGGGGGCAGGAGCGGCGGGCGCGGGGGTGGGGGCCGGAGCACTGTACGCCGCGCCGCCTGATAGACAGCTAGCATACACAGCGGCCTTCTCTAGGCTGGCTACCATCAAACAGGTGTGTAATCACATCTGATAGTCTCCTCTGTTGGATATGTGAAAGTGTTATATGATCATATAACATCTCAAATCCAGGTGACGGAGTTCCTCTGCGGCGCCCTGGGTCTAGCGCGTGAGGACGTGCGGCTGTGGGCCCTCGGGACCGGCGCTTTGCTGTTGGATGACGAGCGACCGACACTACAGGCGCTCAGGCTGGATGAACGGTCTAAACTACTGCTGGAGGTGCGCAACCCTGACCTCACCTGGCCTGAGGAAATTGGCGCGCTCGGGTGAGTAGAGAAGCGAATTGTGGCCTTGAAACCATAATAGAACATCAATAATGTCCTCGGTTGTTTACAGAGCGCAATCAGCGTGCGGTGTGACCGGGGCGGCGCGGTGGGCCGAACGACGGGAAACACTGACCGCGCCGCAACTACCCGGCGCCACGGGGCTCCACAACCTGGGCAACACGTGCTACATGAACGCTGCACTACAGAGTGTCTGGAACACGGGCCCGTTAGCGCGGTACTTTAACTCGGGCCTGCATCTGTACGAAGTGAACTCCGTCAATCCACTCGGTACCGGCGGATCCTTGGCATTGCGCTTCGGCGAGTTATGCAAGGAGGTGTGGTCGTCGAGCGCGCGGTCCATAGCGCCGGTGAGGCTGCGGTGGTGTGTGTCTCGATACGCGCGCGAACTCGCGGGCGGGGGGCAGCACGACGCTCAGGAGTTACTGGCCTGGCTGCTGGACGCTCTTCACGAGGACCTGAACCGCGCCGCCGTCCCCGCCCCCGCCCCGCCCACTCCTAGCCCCGCACCTCCCAATCCTCCTGCCGGGCCTCGCCCAGACCGCGAGTCAGCCGCCGAGGCGTGGGCCGCTCACACCGCCCGTAACGACTCCATCATATCGGAGCTGTTCTACGGCCAGCTGAAATCAAAGGTCCGCTGCAGCGTGTGCGCCAGTGAGTCGGTCCGGTTCGACACATTCAACATGCTCAGTCTTCCGCTGCCGATGGAGTCGTACGTCTGCGCCATAGTTAGAGGTGAGGCAACCGTTGATTTTAACAGTAATAATAGTTCTACTTTATTTTATATTATTTATTAATTAATACGTTGCTTTATTATATATATATTTTTTTTTGTGAATGCATGCTGAGTTAGCCTTTAATTGTAGTGTACCTTGTAAGATCATTGTACATTATGTTGGCTTCCTAATAAAATAAATAAATAATCAAACGACGTATAATGTATCTTTAAATCTCCAGTGGTCCTGTTGGATGGGTCGGTACCGACGAAGTATGGTGTGAGAGTGAACTCGGAGGGAACTTACATGGATCTTAAAGAAAAACTGTCGGAGTTGTGCGGCTTGTCACCGGACTTGTAAGATAACTATTATTATAATACTTTAACTAGTTAATGTTACTAGAAACTAAGATATGTATGTCTATAGGATGCTCCTGGTGGCGTTGTCGGGAGCGACCATAGGGCGCGTGCTCGAGTCTGATAACAAAGTGAGTGCGGCCATCGCGAGAGAGCTGGTCGCGTATGAGTTGCCCTCGGACAATGGAAACGACGGCAGCGACCAGGACGGTACGACACACACATACATACACATTAACACATATACAACATGTAACATAATTAACGCACACCCTGAAAGTAGTTTGTTCAGAATCGGTATCTGGATCGATTTTTATAGTTTTTTTTTATGTAGGTCGTTTTTTTCTCAAATTTAGATAGAACTAAGTAAATTACAGTCATCCTACACACAGTTATCTAAACACTTCATTGAAACGAAAATGAATCGTAAATTAGGGTATTAAGATTTTTAAAATGAAATATTAAATTAGTAATCATCATTCAATTAAAGAAAACTGATACTTGTTTCAAGGCTAAAATAGTATTTTACAAATACCTACGCACGCAACACGAACAGCGACAGCCGGCACACATCAAATACCTACGCACGTGTCCATTGACCTCCTAGATCAGCTGATTTGACGCCACTCGACTTTTTTTGTTCGTGCATTGCTGTGAATTGTGAATTGCTGTTCGTTGATCTCACTAAAACTCGACAACGACTGAACGGATTTATCTTATCATAGTCTTGAAATATTCGTGGAGGTTCAGGGAAGGTTTTAAAGCTGAAAAAAAATTATTAATTTCCGGGAAAATCCTAAAAACAGCGCTTTTTTATTTCCCATACAAACGGTTCTTTAACATTAGATTTGACAATTAACTAATATGCCAATCATTCTGTCGCACTTCAGAACACGGAGATTTATGGCTTAAAGGTATACACCAAAAAAATAAATAAGACATAATTTATTTCTTGATTGAGGCAGTACGAAGGCTGCCGGGTCAGCTAGTCTAAAATAAAACCACAATTGCGAAAACAGTCATTAAAGTGCATTGAACAAGGAGGTGGTCATTTTGAAAATGTTTTAAAACGACAACGCTGTGCGAGTGCAAATTAAACTGTAAGTTTGTTTATGATCATTAAATTATTGTAAATATGTACATATTTTTATTCACACCATTTAAACACGCCGACTTTGTCGTAGGTATTGTGGTGTCTAATTAAATCACGCGTTATCAGCTGTTTAATAATTCTTATTTACAAATTTAATTTAACAAATCAGTATTTATAAAATATTGCCTTCACATTAAAAAGAAAATTCAATGTCGTCAATCTAAAGCCTGAAAAATGTGATTGAAAGAAGAATCATAAATCATAATGTAGTTATTTCGTGTACTTATTATTACCTACTTCTTATTATTTGTCTGACGGCACTCGGAGAGAGGGATCGCGGGCGCGGCGAGTACATAGTGTCTGTCTGTGTGTGGGTGTGCAGCAGAGTGTTAGTGAATAGCTGACCATATTATTTGCACGAAATTGGGATAACTAATTTCACAAATAAACAATGCTAACGCACATATAAATAATATTTAGTGTATGCATTGCGTTTATATTATTATAATTATTGGGGTGTTTGAGGGTGTGCGTTAATTATGTTACATGTTGTATAGATACACCTACACATATGTAATGTGTATGATGTTAATCAATAATGAGAGGTAAAGCAAGGATCATGTTCCAGAGTGGTCTAGTGATATAGAGGAGAGTGACTCCGGCGTGACGGAGGGCATGCTGTCCGACGAGGACGAGCGCATCCGACCGCCGGCTGACGAGCGTGACGGACGTGACGGACGTGACGCACGTGACGGACGTGACGTCGGCGACGACCGGGACGGACGACTGGCGGGCTCGGTGAGTGTGGCGCGCGGCCGGACATCCTCCTCGCTCTGCATGCCTGCACTCTTCTGCTTTAAGGTTAGCACCCACGCACGTGCATACACACACACACACACACATTCATACACAAATACACACACACATACATAGACACACACATACAAACGGCCGCGTGTTATGATAATAATAATAATTAATAATTCTAGTTTTAATAAAAGAATCAAATCATTAAATTAATTGATTGGAAAGATTCTAAAATGCCGAGGTGAAGTAACCTAGGAGAACAAAATACATCAGGTACCCAAAATAGTGCAGTAGTTTGTGATGTACATACATACATAGTGATGTTAAGTAATCAGCTAATTGATAAGCCCGTGTAGTATTGAAAAGAAATATACATATATAAATATATTTATTTATTGAACATCAAGTTTTGTTTAATCTAAGTTAGGGCTTATTATTCTGTTGATTATATCCCAATGGTTGTAGATTTTTTTCATACATTCATAAGTACACCATATAAAAAAATTCGAAGGTTAGTCTGTAAAAGAAAGATTTTATAATACAAATCTGTATAGTTTTTTTGGTGATGTCGAATTCCGTAGTTAGCTGTTGCGTGCTTTGCTAGTTTTGTTGTTTACGCTTTTTGATATTTTTTTTCTATCACCCACATATGTAAATAGTGTACAAAATTATTTGTAAATATATTAATGTACAAAGTATTGGTTTGGGATTTTTTTCGGTATGTGATATATTTCTGATAGCTGTGTCACCAGGAATGTGATTGAACTGTAATCTATGGGTGTATGTTGCAGCGTTCCCGCTCTGAATTGCTCATGTCTGCCTCACCGACGGCATTATACGAGCGGCATACCCTACCGCGGGCGATGTCAGCGCCCACCTCCCGTACGCCCACGCACAGCGCCCAACTCGCCCACCACGCCCACGTGTCCAATCAGACGACGTACGAGGAAGGGGACAACTATTTGATAGCTGTTCACAGGTGATGAGGATTATCGTGTTATGATTTATGGCTTTAATAGGTAAACTCCAAAAATATAAATAAAAAAGTAACAGATATTTCTTGATTATAGGGCGATAGATAATTCGCCGGGTCTTCTAGTACCTATATAAATGCTTGATTATATTAATTTTTGTTATTATATAGGAAGCAAGTGTCAGGCGAGGGTTACCTAGTAGGGGGCGGAGGTCGCGCGGCGTTGTTCGGCTCTCCGTTGGTTGTGTGCACTAAACCCGGGACTTCCGGTAGGCGAGTGTACGGCCGTGTGTGGACTCAACTAGCGAGGCTGCTGTCGGCTAGACCGGCTCCTAGACCACACACCAGACATAACCACGCTACGGACTGGTGAGATATAACTATAGATACTGAATCAAATCATAAGCAAATTTTTTTTTTATGCGAAAAGTGGCAAATGAGCAGAAAGCTTACTTGGTGGGCAGAAGTCACGATCAACTCATCTCAACATCTCTACGTCATACCGATTTTCTGTGATGGTATTACTCGAGCTATGTTTATAAAAAGTCACCCTTCCGTTCATCGGTGAACCAAAAGTTATTGACTGACCAAACTTATTGACTGACAAAGACATTACAACTTTAACGTTTTAATTCTGATCGTTATTTCAACGACTCTGGTTTTTAGTGTCAATACTCATTCTAATTGATTCCAATGTATCCTATTCCAGTGATGACAGTCTCGGCTATGAGTTTCCGTTCACGCTGCGTGTAGTCGGCGCTAGTGGCTTGTGGTGCGCGCTCTGTCCATGGCCGGCTCTTTGTAGGGGATGCGTGCTGCCAGCTACTGATGACGTGCTCATAAAAGACGGTAGTTTATAATACTTGTCTATAATTAGATGTAGCAAACTGCTAATTGGCTAGCCCTATTAGCAAATATTATTTCTATGCATAATTATGTGGATATATATAAATATTAGTGACATATAACCACTACAGCACCCACACGTCTCGCCATTACGAATATTTCCGAACAATACTTCAATAGCCCCCTTTGCGTTGGATAATACTAATATGGGATACGTCCCACTTAGTATATATGTATATATATATATACCTTAGTTATTTGTCATTGTGTTCTAGGTACATGTCGTCCTAGAAGAAGAACAGAACCTCGTGATGATGGTCCAGACACAGACTCACCTATAGCACGAGCGAAGCTACAGAGACAAGCCAGCTCACGACTCGGCAACCATACTGTGAGTATTTGGTTATATATATTTATTAAATCAATATAATAATGAACAATATCTTGAACGAAATTAATGGATATTTAGTAAGAAAATGTATGTATTTAAGTGGTAATACACATGTAAGGTAGAAGATAAATCATTCTATTCTGCTATAAGAAAACGTCTAAGTTAAATATTTCTCTATAATTACTTTATATTATTTCAATCCCTATACACAGTTAATTGACGTTTTATTTATGTTATTTTACTCGTAACTATTATGTAATTTTGCTCTTTGTTGGACCTAATATGACGTCACATAATGTCTTATACTGTTACGTAATAACTCTCTTACAATAAAAGCCGGGTGCTGTATTAGACCAGAATCAATCATGTAGTACTTTATATTATAATTTGAGAAAATCATATACATATATATAACATTTGGAAATGATATCTATGGTATATATCTAGGGTTCCCACCAATCTTCTGACGGTGTGGTCCGTCGCCTCGACCTGTCAGGGTTGCGTCGAGCCGGTGTGAGGGTGATGCTCGCTATAGACTGGGATCCCACAGCACTACATCTCAGATACCAATCCACAAGAGAGAAGGTTGTATACACTTCATAAATAATACAGAACTCATATATATCAATATAATATTATTCAATGAATAAGTCATGATAGCCTAGTGGTTAAAATTCGCCTCACATTCATGAGATCGCGGGTTCGATCCAGGCAAGTATCAATGTGATTGCACCGAGTCATATGTAAATACTTTCTATGAGTGTTTAGTGTCTAAATGACTGATGAAGGAAACCTGGACTTGTAATCTATATCTATCTATATCTTCTTCTTCTACCTGGCAATTTCCCAGCTATAGCCAGGGTCTGCCTTACATGTTATGAATAGTTTTATATATATATATATATATATATATATATATATATATATATATATATATATATATATATATATATATAAAAGTCGTGTTAGTTACCCCACTTATAACTCATGAACGGCTGAACCGATTTAGCTGAAAATTGGCAGGGAGATAGTTTAGAGCCAGGAAATTGCAATAGGATACTTTTTATCCCGTTCAACAGCATTCCCGTGGGACTTGACATGAAACGTCAGTCACTATAAAAGTGGAATAACGAAACACAATTGACAGCTATGCAATTGACGTATAATGACAGATATGTAATTTAGTATTGGCGGGATAAATTTAGAAAATCATTGTTTTTCACATGGGCAGTTATAGTTTGTGTGTTCACGAGTTGGGAAACCATCCGCTTTATTTATGTTAACGTTAGGCCAAAAAACAAAAAATGTGGTTTACGAAGGAGCACTTTAAGGAAACGGATAATTTGCGGACACTAGAACGCTTCGATTCGGTATCTACTTTGGATTCACTTTCATTTACTTAGAGAAGTTCAACTAAATAGCACTTCATTTTTGTAATCGAAATGAATTCATTACTGTTGTGAAATGAAATAAAAATTTTCCTTTATAATATAAAACAAAAAAAAAATTTTCTTCATCTTTTAATCACCAAACGAAATGTTACATAAAACAAAGCCTTCTGGAGGCGAAACGGAGTTCGCCAGGTTTACTAGTATCAAATAAGTTTGAAATTACCAACCCGTGCTAAAGGTTGATTAATGCTCAAACCTTCTCCATGTAAGAAGAGACCTTTTTTTAGCAGTTTGCTCTGTTATATTAATGATAATGTTATATCCAGGTGTTCGTCGAGCATGGTTCAGTTCAGGCCTGCCTATCAGCTGGGTCCCAGCCCGTGGACCTGGCCAGCTGTCTGCGGGCCTTCACCTCCGAGGAGAGGCTCGAGGCCCGTTACCACTGCGGACCTTGTTCAGCACTACAACCGGCTACTAAGAAACTACAGATGTGGAGACTACCGCCCGTACTGGTCAGTAGCTATAGATATAATTATAATGAGATTTACTTTTGGAATTATAATAAATTGTGTAAAGTTATAATAGGGATAATATATGCGATAAATGTGCGAAAATAGCGGATTTTTTTGTGGTAATGAGTGATGTTTTCGTATCGAAGAATATAGAGACATGATATAGTATAATGGATTAAATATTTGGATTCTGAATGGTAGGAAAATATATGACATGAAAACTTTTCGCTTCTCCTAAACGACGACCTAAGCACATTTCTAACAAATTATTGCTGAAAATTCTACCTGTTTCAATATAGTTCAATTTGTTGTATAAAAGCTGCCTCTCATTCCAGATCATTCATCTCAAGCGGTTCCAATACGTGAACAACAAATGGATCAAGTCCCACAAAGTAGTCGATTTTCCCTTCGAAGATTTCGACCCGACGCCCTACCTCGCCTCGGTACCACAGGAAACGATCCTACGACACGAGGAGCTCAACCAAAAACGAAGATCATCAAACTTCATAGACATAGAAGATAGAATATCTGAGAGTGATGCCGAAACTGAGGAGGAAATAGATATGACATCCGATGAAGCTGCTAAAAGACGAAGCAAAGACAGGAGAAGACGGGAGTCAGTAGAAGTGAAGGGAAGGAGACGTCTCGAGTCAACCAGTTTGATAACAACCCCCGTGGTGGATGATAACTTGATGGACTACCACCAGCATCGACTGCTGCCTGAACGAGACGTGTTCGACCTCAAGTATAGGCTGTACGCGGTCGTGGTGAGGCCTTATAATAAATATAATGACATATAAGACTTTACTAAGTATTATACTAATATTTTTTCGGATTTTTGCAAAATAAACTTGATTTAGGCTACTTATCTACTTTAAAATAATGACATATAAGACATTTGCGAGTTTTATACTAAATGAAAATAATGTTTTTTTTAAATATACTAATCGTGCCTTATTTTTGTGAAAAAACTTACTTTAGGCTACTTTTCAGCAACTATGATCACGGCAATCTTGTCAGCCCAAGTAAAGTACTAAATCACGCGTAGTATATCCAAAAAATATCACGTACCTTATTCTAGTACTAACACTAACAATATACTTCCAGTCTCACTCGGGCCAGCTGTCCGGTGGTCACTACGTGTCCTACATCCGTCATTCCTCCGGCTCCTGGCTGTGTTACAACGATAGTTCCTGCCGCGAGCTCGGCTCAGCGCCTACACTGGACGCCGCAGCAGCGTACCTGCTGTTCTACGAGCGTGTAGGCCTCCGCTACGACGCTTACCTCCCCTCCCCGCCGGACCGACCGCCTCCACCCCTTCCCGCTGACGACCCAGACCTAAAGAACGTCTGTAGCATCGTGTAGCATCGCGTAGCAAGCAGCTCAATGTAGTCATGATAGAACATATTAATATATCAATAATATTCATAAAACTATTTGAAATATCTACTCTTCTATAATAAGATATTCATTTTAATATAAGTTCACTATACGTGACTAACGAAGCTTCAACTAGCTTTGTGGGACACAAGAATACATATTGTTATCAGCATTCCATAATGTTATGGTACACATATACAAACGGCATATACATGGATATGTCACAAATAGTGTGATCTACAACATAAGTACCGTGTAACTGTTATATTATAATTCACATTCAATAAAACTCTGTTAGAAACATTATAACTAATTTAAATTATTATATTTGGAGACTGATGATGTTTGTAGCTTTAGATATTAGATAACTTAGTTTATAACAACATGTATGTATGTGTTATATCTTAAATATCCGATGGGAACATTTAAATTTTATTTAAACAAATATAATTCTGTTATTATTTTATATTTTATTACATTCTATTACTTTATCAATAACGTTGATATAGAAATATTAATAGGATTGATATGTTTTTTTCTTTTTTTGTTTGTTTTAATTGATTTTTTTTATATTGATATAAAATTGTATTTAAATTTAATTAAGATATTATTTAATGGTTTAGTTGAAGTGTAATTTCTTTTTGTATGTTACTCCATATTATTTTGATATTAGTGTTTCATAATGTCATCGGAATATAAAGATGGAACCAAAATAGTAATAAAAGTATGAGAATTTGTGTAATATATTTTAAATTGATATTAAATACGCCATTTATAAGGAGGTTGTATGATTTATCAAACACTATGTATCTTTAATCCTTATCCGCTGATATATTTTCACTCATTTTGATATATTAAATATATAAATATTACACTTATTATTTAACATAGTGCCATTTCGTAGTAATATTAATAAAATTGTTTTGGTTTATAAATTTATCAAGCGGAATCTTAATTGATGTATTTTGTTTTGATAATATTCAAACTTTTTGTCAGCATGTTTCTATAATCTGTATTTGAAATGTTATTATTTGTTATCTGTATTTTGTAAGGTAATATCCCTGTGCAATAAGTATGTTTTTTGGTAACAAAAGTGTTTTATTACGAAATGTATTGCATTTAAAAAAACCTTTTTCATAAACTGACGTGAAAAGTTAATAATAGTAATATATTCAATCTTTTTTATCTCCACATTAGTGTTTTGAATTAAAAGTATTATTATCTTCATACAATTCTGAGAAAAAATTAAATTCGTCTGAATTTAATATATTTTTATAGCCATAATCCACAAACCTAAATAATGAGAAGTATAAGAGATATCCTAGAGTTTTTATCATTACCTAGATCCAGTAAATTTCTCAAAATATTGTTATATATTAAAAAAAAAATAACCATGTATTAAGGGGATATTCTTAACAACAGATTATATTAAAAACTAGCTTTCCGCCCGCAGCTTCGCCCGTGTGGAGTTCGGTTATATCGCGTTTCCAAGAGAACCTCTCAAAAGTCTGGGATAAAAACTATCCTATGTTCTTTCTCAAGTTCAACTTTATCTCTGTAAAAAAATTCATTAAAATCAGTTCAGTGGTTTAGGCGTGAAAGCGTAACAGACAGACAGAGATACTTTCGCATTTATAATATTAGTAGGGATTAACCAACGGCATAAATTGGGAATACTTAGAACCAATTATGTAATTCAATAAAGAACATTAATATTTTTTTGCTGACTGCTATTTAATAGAAACCATTTCTTTCAATAGAGTTCTAAGAATTACTAGTTCGGGCTAGCGTTTGCACATTCCGAGCCTTTATGCCGAGCTCAACAATATTTTTATTATTTGTTCTTGATAAAATTAATGGAGCATTTATTTTACTGATGAACTATTTATCAATTACAAGCTTGTTACATGAATTTTGGTAAATAAAATAACGAAGACTTCTTTGACGAATAAGTTTAATAAGAAAGGTTTTTCATAAAATAGGAAAAAAATTGAGACTTTTGCTTAATGAGTCGAAGGGGTTTTCTGACCATATATTTTTAATATAAGCTGATTTTATAACTTAAAACCTTAATTTAAAAGTAAATCTTTATGAATAATATATGCAAAAGTTAATAGGTAATATTTTTATAAACCATTAAAGGGTATTCGTAAAAAAACATACTTTCTGAATAGTCTGAATTAAGTGTGAATATTTTTATATAAAAAAACACAAAATAATAATAGTAAAAATAATTACATTTAAAAGCGGATGCTGTTTTAAAAAATGGTGTGGTATATGGCAACCTTTCACGAACGGAAGCTGCCATTTCCATGACGTCATGGGCGGAGTTTAGTTGAAGATCGAATTCGGATTCGGTTGGCGGGCGCGGCCATCTTGGTGAATTAGTGACCTGGCGATTCGGATTTAGTTAGTGAAAAATCATTTGTCATCCACAATGTCGGAAAGGGAAGATAATGTGTATAAAGCTAAATTAGCTGAGCAGGCTGAGCGTTACGATGGTGAGTACATATTTTTGGTATATTTTTAAAATTAGGACCTTAAAATCCTTCCAATTTTTTGCCGACAGTTGAAAGACGATTTCAAGAAAGAACTTCAATTTTTACCATCGAATCAGGTCCAGAGGCGTCTGTTATCGCCCAATTAGGCCGAAAATATATATAATATATTTATATAAATCGTTTTTGATGTAATAAACGGGTAAATCGATGGCATTCTCTAGGCTTGGTCAACGATCGATGCGTCATCCGCCGGTGGGATGGCCTTTACCTTACATTCTGTGATAAAACATGTTAAACATGTTTGAAATTGACAGGATAATCGCAATTGTTACTATTAATTCAGTTTTAGCATAGCTGAAATATCGATTTTGAATTCGCTATTGACATTTCTCTAGAAAATGATGGAAAAAATGTCCCTTCAAAGCCGTAGTTGTAGGAGCCGATCGATGTTTCAGAATTCATTCATGCATAGCCTACCTTGGCCAGAACGGTCGGCTAGGTGTCAGGAAAGTTCTAGACGTAGCTTTAAGGTAAAAGGTCAACTTTCGTCTGAGTACATTTTCTCCTATTGTTTTAATTTCTCGGCTAGCTGTGAACACTTCGTGCTGCACATTCGCATCATTTGTTACACGGTTTTCATTGTAAATGTTAATTCTGGCCAACTTTCACACATGTCTTATTAAAAATGACAATGTAAGAGCGTGCCGCGTAGGGCCCGTGAATCAATAAGTATGACGAATTTGTATAATGATTAGATATGAAAGTAATGCATTTGGCCTGTGGCTTCATTAAATATATTAAATGTTAATTAATGACCATCACTCGAAGCTTTCTCTGAATAAATTTTATTTGCTTAACATTAATTTAATATGAAAGAGGTGGGTGGTGCATACTTAGTTTTTATGACTGATTATGTTGAGAGACTTAAAATTATGAAAATGCTACAATATAGATGTATAAAATGGAACAAGAATAAGGCGTGAGCTACTATTGCATCATAAAAGCTGTTTCAGCACACAAAAAGGTGGCATCATGTTAAAAGTTCAATAAATATCCTAAGAAATTAATAGTCATTGATTTATATAAGAAATATCCATTAAAATGGTTTCATTTGTAATGTATTATTCCAGTTACTAATACTAATGTAATATGTTATAGAAATGGTTGAGGCTATGAAGAATGTGGCCTCCCGTAACATATCAGACAACGAGCTGACCGTGGAGGAGAGGAACCTGCTGTCGGTGGCTTACAAGAACGTCATCGGAGCCCGCCGAGCCTCTTGGAGGATCATCTCCTCTATCGAACAGAAAGAAGAGACCAAAGTACGTTCAAAACTATATATACATCAGCAACTGCAAGCTTGAACTAGTTTAATATAAAATTTATATGTATTACATAAATGTGCATTTTATCTGAATTTTTATATAGTATTATAGTTGCCAAGTTCATTACATTAAGTTAGCTTTGTGGCTCTGACTCATTAATAGGGTCAACACTTGGTTGTGTGAATCATGCTGGCAGGACAATCTCTAGAACTTTCTTAATTCAACACAAGGTCTCATTCACACATTCAAATATCATTTTGAGAGTTTTAATTACTAGGAAAGTTAGATATTTCATAGATTTCTTATTTCAACCATATGTATAGAATAATTATTTTCATGATGACTCTCCTAGTAATTAACTGTACTGAATACATATTGATCTTTAACATTGTTAATTATAATGAGCGCTAGCTTTATTTTCATATAACATAAGCAGGATAAATAAATTAAATTAACCTAGGTAATAGTCAAAAATAGGAACGCCATTGCGCCGATGATGGGAGGGGGGGGGGGGGGGGGGTATGGAGACGCGGTAAGCAAACATAGGTGTGGTGACATAAATGCGATGCTGTGCAATGTATTGACGTTAACAGAGTATGAGAATTATAGTTTTTTTGTACATATGTAGATGTAAAGCGTTTAAAATCTCTCAAATGATACATTCTTAATTGTACGCAGAGAGATGCTCTAGAGGGATTAATGGTCTCTTTACGTCTAGTCGGGCTTTTCACAGATCCAAGTTTAGAAGTGGCACTTGATGTAAGATTTTAACATTGAAGAGTCATTTCGTTAATAGCGCCGAATACTCGAGTATTATATAAAAAATATATGAACGGCCTTCCGTGGAATGCATCTTAGAGTATCATAACGATTAGTAGATGATATTGGATACTGTTGTTACGTGACGTGACTCAGGTTTCACGTCACCTCTTGAATATCAGCCTGACGCAGGCTCACTACATTAGCGCAGCGCCTTTGATGTATGCGTAGCTATTGGATTTGCGATGTACCTTTTTTGGTTAGATTTGTATTACCTCTAATATTCATAATAGAACAATTGTAATATTTAAGACGGGGTTGGATCGATGTGAGCGGGGAGTTTGTTCCCGCGGGTGAGCTCCTCTTTACATATTGATCAAGTCATTACGCTCCAATGCCGCTATCTGCCTCTGGCAGTTTAATCTACAAGCGGCCGTTTAAAAAATTGATGTAAAAATACAAATCTAGATCACTCGTACAAGATATAATATTTAAATTGTTCTATGATTGAAACTATAACAGGAAAAATAAATATAAAGATTATGGAATATAAAATATTAAAAGGTTTAACTAAAGAGATTAGTCAGTTTTAAAACATTAACATATATATATGGAATCGTTTAAACTATTAGTGTGTTCGTAAACGTTTATAATGCGTACTAAGTGTGCTAGCTACAGAGATGGACAGGTTCTATGAGCACGTGTGCCGCGATCGATACTAACGTGTCGCCGCAGACAGGGTCGGGATAATGGATGTTATACGTTCATGTACATACATATACATATATAATATTATAGTACCATATAAATGATTAAAATGTATAGACATACACATTTAGTTGCATAATTAAATTATTACTTCAATTAAGTCAAATGTATTGTCATATTCCATGATAATAAACCTTTTATATTTTATATTTCAGTCAGCGTAAACATTGAATTGTACGTATCACGGGTGTATAAAAAAAATGATGGTCGCCATCTTGTGGCGTCCGCCATTTTGAGATTATTGTAAAACTTTGAATATACCGCATTACTGTGAGCGAATACATATAACGAACATTGCGAAGTGGGTCAAATAAAAGTTTGCTAACATTGAAAGTTAACAATGATAACTCATTGTGAGGTCCATATCAGAAATGTCTTGAAGTTATTTATATAGTTGTATGAACAGGAGTATTGTTGTCCACGACAATAAATAGACTTGTATGTACAATAAATAAAGTAAGCTTTAGGCTTTGATACATTTTGATATAGTATAGTATATTAATATTAAATATATTTAAATAACTTTATCAGTAACTGACCTCAACTAGATTACCATACGATTAATAAGTCATGTTTATTAGGTTTGCCTTTTTGTTTCTCTCATTCACCGCTAGTCACATGCAAACCAGTTATTAAAAGCTTACAAGTGATATTGCATTAGCGACAGAGTATTATCATATGTGCCGTTATAGCTGAAGCGCGTACTACGTGTGTTTGACGATGTATTAAAATGTTTTATCATATGTAAGGGCGCGGAGGACAAGCTGAGCATGATCCGCGCCTACCGCAGCCAGGTGGAGAAGGAGCTGCGCGACATCTGCTCCGACATACTCGGCGTGCTGGACAAACACCTCATACCAGCCTCGCAGACCGGCGAGTCGAAGGTGTTCTACTACAAAATGAAGGTACGATCACATGCACACACACACACACATATTTCGACAATGACACACACATATGTACATGTACCCATACCTTTACAATAGGACAAAAGACAGATATAGACCGGCCATTTGAAGAAAAACATAATTAAATATTTATAAATCAGAGTTGAAAATAAATGTATACTTGAGTTATTTTTGTATGTCAAGTGGTTAGCGAGGAAATGTATTTTAAAATAAACCTGCCCTTTAGCGACATTCGTGACGTCACACCACAACACCGGATTAGTTTGAACCCATGTTTACTCGGGAATTTAATATATAATATTGTTGATATATATATTACATCTCAAGATGGCGGTTTTATGAAAACGTTACCAACTTACAAATTTCAGAATACTGAAAAACACGTCATGTCCAAGAGATAAAGGGAATTCCTAATGTATAGATTATTTTAGCATATGAATAGCGATCATGTTATGTATATGTGTGTGTAAATATTGTAATTCCATGTACAAGGCGACTACAACACAAGCTAAACTTTGTGTAAGCCAGCGTTTGACGTGAAAGAAAATGTCTGCCCGCTATTATTTCTTTTCTTCTGTTATAATTCAACAGCCAAATGAAATTTGTAATAGCTTTTAGCCTCAGCGTCTTTGGAGGCGTGAGACGGCCATTCAAAGAGAGATTGTGTTTATTTTTATTTATTCTTCTCCATAGTAAATTTGTTGCTGATTTAATAAAGAAATAAATTGGTCGAGGAATCGAATAAAGGAACGTCACGGCTGTGAAATTACTTTTAGGTTTCAATAACAGAACGGTAGATGTAGGAGCTCTGTTGTTGGCGTTTGATGTGAAAGAAAAGATTATATTTTGTTTGTTTGTTTATAGAGAAAATGCGGAAAAATTGACGACGATTTCTTATTTGATACAATTTCAAACGTGGATACTTTTATAGAATCGTTTGTAGAGAACAAATTTTTGTTTTTAGCAGCTACATATGATCACTGAATTTGAATTTTATTGTTAGAACGTGTAAAATACTCTTCATTGAATTTAAAAAAAAATATAGTATGGCTAAAAGCTAAATTTTAATACATGAATATTCTATGATTGTCTAAATAACTCTCGGAATCTGTACATGAATGTCCAAATCCATGGTTGAAACCTCAGTAAAAAGGCATGACTTGACAGTAAAAAAGCACTAAAAGTTGCTCAGAGGAGCTATTTTAGTTGCGACGACGTCCGAAAAAAAAGTATGCTTTGGACCGTTAGCCATCATGACTGGATGAAAGAAGTATAAAAAATGTATTTAAACAGATGAAATATATTTATAAAAGTAGAATGCCAGTCTGAAAACAGTGTGGCGTGGTGTATATGTCGGAACTAATGAAGAATAAAGTGGATAGCAGAATAGAATAATGCAACAATGTAATTCTGTTAGGGACAGACTCAAATTGAATTAGCTGTGATAGACATTGGACAGGGCGGTAATGTGGCCAAACATAGATACAAGTAAAACGGAGGTTTATTAATAATTTCAACTAAATATATCATACTTCACCTGCAGGCACGTCAAGCTAGACTTGATGGCTCTAACTCCCGGGGGGGTAAGCTAGGTAGAAATTGATATATAACAAACATGACGGCTGTTAGAGACATACTATTTCATTACGATACAATATTAAATTTATAGCTCGTACAAGAATATAGGACTAAATATTAAAGAGAAATTATTTGGACCGCATGGGCTTAAAATACTAAAGGCGTTATTAAATTATTATACCCACATTAAAAATTCATTTCATTATATTAAAATTCGTTTTAATTTTAGAGCTTGGTCTTAATGTATTCAAACGAACATGTACATATATCAAATGAATAATCTTTTTTCGATTAAATATGTTGTTTCATTATTGTGAATCGCGACATGTCTGCCATTGGGCGGGTGTTGTAGTGTGACGTCACTAACTGGTTACGTGACCATTTTTAGTATATGAAATGGCTAACTATGTATATCGAATAATCATTTGATTCAATAAAAATAATCTACATATATGTTTGATGCCTAATATTCGTCTATTTGAATTTTCTATTAATACATAATGAAGGTAACATATAACTCGCCTACAAGGATAACTTTTCCATTCCAACTCTGTAATTGGAAAACTTTTTTCACGTGTACATTATAAATGTTATCTTGCTATGTATAAGACTCATGATCCTCGCTCATGATGGGATTATCCTCTACACCGTGTAATTTAAACATCTCCATCCTTCGAGCCTCGTCCCACGCTCATCGAATGTTATGAATGAAAAAAGGAATATATGTAATATCAAACGAAATTATCCACATATGAATTAGAATAAAACCCACATTCGTTTAAAAGGAGAGCTTGAAAGATTAAAACTTTTTCGTACAATAAAACCTATTCCCTAATGATGATTTGAAATTTATGACGAATCGTTGTAGCCAATAATCATTTTAAAGAATAATAGGCGGTTTAATATATTCAGGAGAAATGTGGGTATGTGAAACGGTATGTGGTATAGCGGTAATACTAATAAGGAATGTTAGTTTTGGCGTGGTGACTCAGATGTGAGTGACGGGGCTCAACCTTAAAATACATGGGCTGAACGTCACACTAAGTACTATTCAGGAGTTGTGTGTACTGCTGGAAATTTATATGTGTAACTAGCTTTCCGCCCGCAGCTTCGCTCGCGTGGAGTTCGGTTATATAGCGTTTCCAATAGAACCTTTCAAAAATGTTTTATAAAAACTATCCTATGTTCTTTCTCAAGTTCAACTCTATATCTGTACCAAATTTCATTAAAATCAGTTTAGTGGTTTAGGCATGAAAGCGTAACAGACAGACAGTTACTTTCGCATTTATAATATTAGTAGGGATATATGTCACATATGGGACTATAGCCGGGGCGATACTAAATATTATATGATACACGTACGTACGTATGTTATCAAACAGTGATATCATCTTATCAGTTATCCGATGCTCTGTTGGTGTTAAACTCGATTATATCTCGTTACTATAGCCTGCTATCAGTGACGCAGGCTACTCGGTATGAGAATCTTATTTAGTACAGTGTACATAATCCTCGACACTCTACAGCAAATATTTGATGACGTACTTCCTTTGCCCTTCCATCTTTGTATAGTTTCGTATTCCTCAATACAAATTCAAACATAATTTATATTGTAACAGAGCGGTGTTTTTTGTCTGGTTTAATTGCGTGTTAGAAATATATACATACTTATATTTGCGTTGTCCACTAGTTCCCTCCCGCGACTCCACTCGAATGTTTTTTTCGGTTATCTGTTTCTGTTATGTAAAGTTTTGGACATCCGTTACTGATAATTTTTTCGACTGGTTCTTATCGATGGTAGGTAGTTTGTTTTTCAAGGACATTAATAACCAAGAACACGTTCATCATACGAATGTATAAGATTCAAGCTATATATATTTATTAATTATGAAATGGGATAAAAGATTTGTCAAAGTTCACTGTCTTGTCGTCTTCAATAATTGATTAAGTATTTCGTTCAAGAGTCCACTACTAGGTATACCTAAAATAAAATGGAACGGATTTTTGTCAGTATTTATAAAACTGTTTTTTCCAGTTATTCCTCTACAATCTATTCCTCTACAATCAAACCAAAAACGATTTAAAAAAAATATTGCGTTTTTCAATAACCACCGCAGATGTTCTCGTTCACATGGACTAACCAGATTTTCAATCGAATAGAAACGGAAAATTGTATTTCATTCTATAACGAATGTTATTTGTTGGAGATGAAAAAAATATTTACATATTTTTTGTATACGAAACATTTGTAAAGATAAATAACAAATATTGATATAAAACTAATTAACAGTCGGGTTTTAAAATATAAATATACTGTAAGGGTGTGCATTAAAATAACAAAATAGCCGAGATGCGGCCTAGGGTCACAACTGACGTGAAAGATTTATATAAAATCATTAGAAACTTTATATAAATAACATGTTAAAGCCTACTTGAATATACTGAAAGCTCATTATAATCTACAAGTATTGACGTGATACAAGATACGTGTTATCTGTTACTAAGAAAGTGAATCACAGCTTTAGTATCTGGTTTTCGTTTTGCAATTAACTGCATCGCCAGTTTGATTGCCGATTGTCACATCTATATTGCGTTGTATCGATTCAGTTGGGCCTTTTTATGTAACGTCGTCTAGAAAATTGCTATTTGTCGATTTCTATCTGGTTGCTGGCCAGAATGTACGCTTATGCAACGCGTCTGACTCAATGGCAGACAAGAGACTATATTTTTGTTCATAATAATTTTGATTGTTTAACAAATATGCTCTAGAAACAAAATTGTCAAATCTACAGATACTCAATCTGTAAAAGAACTACTATAAATTTTACTTATTTTAATGTTAGCAGTATTTATAAAATATAATTATTCTGATATCATAATTATTTCACGAACTTAGGACACTATGTAATAATAGTATCAATGTTGTTAGACTCGCCACCTAATCTAGTTTAAGAGTTAATTAAAGATTTTTTTGATCCCTATTTAAGATGTACGTAAACTATATGTATATATAGAATAGTTGTACTGTTCAGAGTTTCATCTCCATAGGAAGAACTAGTGACGTGTTGTTCACATTATGTCGGAACAGACGTTCTATCCATTGTTGTATATGTCTTTCTGGCGTCACAATGAACACTTGTAGAGAAAAACAAGGACATGCATATAAAGGCTATGTATGAAATACATGGAAATATATAAGTTTAAATGTGTCCTGCCAGAATGAGTTATGTAATTTGTTTTTTGGGGTCATCGTCCCCAAGTTATCTTGTTCTGAACGAGACTGATTTGAATAACCCCCGAGGGAGGTTGCGCTGCTGGTACTGAGTGAGATGAGGAGAACGCCTTGAATATAACACTATTTAGTATTTGTATGAGCTCTGCCAGCACATTTCTTTAAGTTCCAACTTGTTTCGTCTCCTTATGCCCCGATTAACGGTCGAGTGAAATAAATCCTCCTAAGGCATCATTTCACTTGAAACTTTATATGAAATATAAGATTTTTTTTGGAGCCGCTGTAAAATATTTCTGTATATTTTTTATTGTTATAAAACTGGTGAGGGCACATAATTTTTAATTCACGGTTACTGAAATGGCGACATTTCTGCATAAATCGTTGTTGCCAACTTATTCGGTCAACGACCCCTAAGCTAGTTTGAAGTCGAATGATGTGTGCAAATGGACATGCTTCACCCTACCCAGTGCAATGCGCTCTTTAAATAATTTATAAATTAATTAAACGTTTCAAAATGTTATAATTTGTTCTCGAATGTGTATTCGAGGAATGTTTTTGAAATATTAAGAGTTATTTGGAGGGGCGGTGATGAATTTGTATTGTATCGGAGAATTTGATGTCCCTTGATGAAATGCCTCCTAAATACTCGTATAGGTATGTAGGTAGTTACTAGGACATCGAAAATAAATACACTGATATACGGAAAAACCAGAAAATTGTCATGAAATAATTGTGCAATGTGTAGGCAATAAAAACTTCTATTCTCCGATATACCAATAACAAAAATAATTCATTTAAGTTTTGATAATTCATGTTTAATGTGTATTATATTAAATGTAAATGTTTTAACAATACGAACGTTTGTTTTAGTCGAATGTGTTATATATATAACATGTTATGGGAAGATTCGTCTGAGATACGGCACATGTTACCGGTCATTGTAATTTTGATGTTATACATAAATATAAGCTTGGTTACTATATACTAAACAAAAAACATATAAAGCAAATATGTATCTAGATGAAAAATTGAGGGTAATTCATACCCATAATGCGGACGGACGGTTTCCCATTTAATAAACATCTTAGGTTACCTTAACAGCAAGGCACTATGATGCCATTAACTTATAATTTGAAAAAACAAGACACGAGAGTGGAGTCTGGAGAGATAATATGATTGTTAACGTGATTATATCGTTAATGAGACCGACGAAGTGCCACCTAGTTGTATAACAGGTGGTGGTTGTACATTACGTGACGATAAAATATAATGTACCCTGCGTTAAAGAATGAAACTCAACGATCGATATACGAGAGGGAAAACGACTTAGGATTTACTACGAACGATCGTCACTGTTGAACTTTAGAATAAATACTGAAATAACTGTTATACACGGAATAAATAAAATGAAAGCGGAGTAAGATTTAAATTGAATCCATCCGCTGCAGCATTTAATATAGAAATGAGATCTCCATCCAGATAGAACTTCGAAGAAAATCTAATTACTTAATCCGTACCGCATCCCGACTCTTAGTATTCTGTTGGTAACGTTAGCTCTAACAATTTTCAATGTGTGCTATCAATGTGAACGATGTATCATGTATGTAATGTATTGAGAGTTAGCTAGTAGTAGTATACAATATTTATATTAATAGTAGTTTGTGACCGCGCCCTTGTTGTATCCGTACCGCCGGTATGACGTCAGGCCGTAGTGTAGTAGGGGGGTGTTGTCGGCGCACCCCATACCCCAGCCGTACCTCGAATGTAGGATAATCAATACGGTTGAAGGAGAGCGTGTAGCCCGCAGCCGCCGCCGTTATATAACGAGGGTAGCCGACTTTATAAAATACAACCCCCGCACCACGCCACGCCGCGACACTTACTATATTGGAGATATTCCAACATTACAAACACGCTAGTGCATCTATAGTAGTATAGTAGTAGGGGGTAATTGAAATTTGTTGACCCGTCTCGACTAGTCACCTAGCAGTTTAAACACTATCAGTGCATTTTGTTTTACATTATAATATTATTCTTTACAAATAGCACTTAAATAGGAATCCTTGTAATTACTAAAAGATGATGTTGCATAATAAATCCCCATGTAAGGAATGCGTAAAGTAATCCACTTGTCTCTGTAACGACTGTACCGAGAGCCGGGGCTGTGAAGCGGCGTATATATAGATAGATGATTCAGAAACATTCCTCTTACGCTAAATGACTTTACCTGTCGAAGGTCCTAACAGACGATTCTTTATTTTCATTATTTCTGTCGTCTCCGCTCTAAACCACTTCAATGAAAACTTTGCATCGGAAAAAGCTTTTCCATACTTTAATTATCACATTTTCTCTTTTATATGACTAACGTTTTATGTTATGTTAGAGTTGTGTTATTGCAATTGTCATTACAGTTGAATGTATTAAGTTTTGTATACTATTTTATCATGTGATTATTCACCGACTCGAGACGGAACACGATATCCCTGAGTATGCAGATTCGATTCCAGCCCGTGTCTATGAATTTTGTATTTGAATTTCATAACAGGTATTGATTGAATGTTCAATAATAGTGATTATAAGTAATTTGTACACCCCTACCATCCTATCTCTCTCCTCTACCAAAGGTTGCCTGGAAGAGATCGCTGTTTTAACGTTAAGGCCGCCTATTGTACATTTTTCTTTTCTTTATATAAATATAAATAAATTATAAGTGAGAGTGTATCGTTTTCCAGGGTGACTATCACCGATACCTGGCCGAGTTCGCGACGGGCAACGACCGTAAGGAGGCGGCGGAGAACTCTCTGGTGGCTTACAAGGCAGCCTCCGACATCGCTATGACGGAGCTGCCTCCCACACATCCCATACGACTCGGACTAGCGCTCAACTTCTCGGTAACTATGACTTATATGACTGAACCACGTATTATATGTACATACAAGATGTACAGAGAGAGAGACGAATGTGTTGTGTGTACATAGTGTGGCATAGAAGTTGGTTAAAATTTTGTTATAACAAAATGTTTTTATTAATTTTTAAGTATTAGTTTTGTTTTCTTCACTTTTTTTCGTAATATGTCGTCATAAAGAAGAGTATTTGTAGCTATTTCAATTCGAAATTGTGCTATACTATTTGTTTATGGATCATAAATATTCTATTGGCCATTTATATGATGGGTGTTATACGAATATTACATTGATAACAACCACCGTAGCTATCTTATATGAACGAATTCTTATTACATCGCGTTTATATTCAGGGAATATTTGTATAAATCCTTAGATGCTATGCGAATTTTATATTGGAACTTTCGATTAGTACCTTTTTTTTCGATTAAACGTTTCCTACACGAAGGCAAAATCTAATTTGAGATATCAAAATTTCAAAGCCACCAATCGAAATAAAATGTTCATTATATACTATTAATCCAGATTAATAGTCATTAAGTCCAAATAAAGTCATTTGAACTGCTGATGGTTGTCGAAATTAGATATGTTATTACGAAAACAATTCGTCATCAGCCTATCAGAGCCCACTGCTGAGCAAGGCCTCTTTCTCACATGTAGAAGGTTTGAGCATTAATCACCACGCTTGCTCAAGACGTGTTGGTGATTTCAAAATTATAATTATGAAACTATAAGTCCAGGTTTCCTCACGATGTTTTCCTTCACCGTATGTCAGTGGTGTCTAAATATTCTCAGAAAGTACATATGACTCCGAAAAATCATATTGGTACTTGCCAGGTTAGAACCCGCGCCCTCGGCAACGAGAGGCGGGCCCCTTAACCACTAGGCCACCACTGACTTACGAAAACAATAATTATTTGTATATTTCTCAGTTGACTTTGCATGATGTTCTTTATTTAATAACAAAAAATTATTCGATGCAAGTGCAAACTCACAATTAGCGAAAGATAAAAATTATACTTCCAGATATTTTTGAAGAATTGGCAATACGAGTATGTCATGTATAAATAGAATAGTATATATCGATATGTCGGACGCGAACAAAGACAGTGTGTGATTGTTGCAGGTGTTCTACTACGAAATCCTGAACAGCCCGGACCGCGCGTGCCGGCTGGCGAAGGCGGCCTTCGACGACGCCATCGCGGAGCTGGACACGCTCTCCGAGGAGAGCTACAAGGACTCTACGCTGATCATGCAGCTGCTGCGCGACAACCTGACGCTGTGGACGTCGGACATGCAGGGGGACGCGGAGCCCGACCAGGAGCCCAAGGAGCCCGCGCAGGAGCCCGACGACCAGGACGTGTCGTAAGGCAGCGACGCGCCCTGCGCACGGGAGCACACCGACGACCCCACTCACCCGCCGCCCACCCGCTTTACTCACGTGGCAAATATACTGTGAGCCGTGTGCGTCCCCAAGATGTCTCGTGTTTCGATTACGACAAAAAAATATATTATATATATGTAACGTTAAGAGAGAGCACTACGGTATCGCGTTCTATCTGTACGTTCTCTGATGTGTGTGTATCCCGCGATGAGGGGGGCCGCTCGGCCGTCTCGCCACCGACCACTACCACCACAACCACCTCAACCACAACCACAACCACATCCCCAACCCCAACCCCAACAACCACATCAACAAACAACAACAACAACGCCGCCGCCACTCTCCGACACGGGGATTGTAAATTTTCTAAGTATTTTGTACCGCGTGTAAAATGTATGTATTTGTATTCAGTCGTAGCACACGTCCGTGCCGACCTCACGTCGAGGCGTGTGTCACGTCACGTCGCACAAACCCTAAACACAGGTGCCCGGCGCCCACGTTGATCATCATTTAACTTATATATATATTTTAAAGGTTTCTCATGATTACATTATTAGATGGTATGTTTATGTATGTACGTACGTACGTAGAGCCACTCGCGTCTCGTAGCCGAGCGACGGGTCAGCGTCGCGTCATTCGGAGTATTCGCACCGGATCGCTTTAATTACTTACGAGTATTGTGATAGAGATTTTTTTTTGTATATTTTAATTTATTTTTTATTTCGCACGTTTCTCGTATCGAAACACCCGTGTAGCGCTACGTCTCTACCGGATATATCACACGCAGGACGAACGGTAGTACTGAACGGTAGTCGTGCTAGCTTTAAGGTTTACTCACTCGGGAAGACAGGCCCTCCGGGCGAGCTCCTCGACACATTCCACCTCGATACTTAGTGTATGGAGTGAATCTATCGGTCGGCTGTTCACACGTAGTGTTCCGTCATAGTGAGGCAGTGTGCAGTGTGCAGCGTGCAGCGTGCAGTGTGTGCAGCGAGCAGGTGCGTGCCCGAGTAAGATATTAGCGTTATTATTATTTGAATTCGTAACATTCATATGATTCGTTTAAAATATCCTCGATGAAATACTGATTCGATTCGATCAGCCCTAGTGTTATGCGATATTTGTTTATGTCCTACCATCTACATGGAAATTTATTGTAAATGACAGTGTAAATCTAATAATAAAATTCAAAAGTCCAAGTGTTGTTTCATTGGTTTAAACTCCTCTTTATATATCTATCATCTATCTACCTATCTATACATTCTGTTTAGTTGGGTCACTTTGATTGTAAATTGAATAGTTTATGAATTTGTATGCTTAGATAACTATTTATTTAGATTATACTAGAGATTGTACTATAATAATAATGATAAAGTTAGTGTGTTTTAATAATTTTGTAATGTTCACCATATACCGTTAAACGTTTTATTGTTAAACACATGTACTACGCAGTATAGTTATGGCGTTTTGTAGCTTGTATATCCATAATTTTTTGAATTAACTACTGTATCTTATTAAATAAAGCCGTTTTGAAATCTAAATTATCTTTCTATGTTACAATAAAACGAAGAATTACACTGGTCGGATAGATTTTTCTGAGTATCCCCTTTAGAAAGTACCTTAAACATTTAGATGCTGATTCCTTGCATTTTTTTTAAAGAATAATAAAATAGACTTAAACCTAAAGTAAGTATTACAAGACTTTGAATACGTTCATAGTAAATTACAGTTGTATTAAAAATCTTTTGTCAAAATGGCTCCCGAAATTCACAGAGAAAGAGGGTATTCGTATGAAAGTCAATGTCACTTCTGGCTATGCTTCGAGTTTCAAGTTTGACCATTTGGTCGAATAGTATATGAGAATGACTACGTAAAGCCAAAGTAATGGACATCTCTGAGGTGATAATTGGGTGGGCATACAGTTAACACTAATGAGTAATGATCGTTGGAGTGGGTAACCCGTAACGTTTACCTCAAGATACATACTTTAGATTGAAATCAATTAGTTTATTCTCATTCGTAAATCTTTTCATTAACTATTATAATAGGGTTATAAATGAAAAATTTATATGCTTAATACGTAGTGTAATGATGAACAGTTTTAGTCAGCATAGAAGTAATTGGAGCTAGATCTTTGCGCCTTGGTGTTCAAAGAGGACGGTGTTCAGCAGTGAGGGACTATTGCCATACTAGCTGCGCCCCAGGGTGTTACCCGTGGATTTCCGGGATGTAAAGTAGCCTATATGTTACTCCTGGAAGTCAGCTTCCTGTATACAAAATTTTATCAAAATCGATTCAGCCGTTTGAGCGTGAAGAAGTAACATACACACTCACAAAACTTTCGAAATTATAATATTAGTACTTAGTAGGATTACAAAAGTAGTTAACATTTCCTATACAATTCAATACTATCATGACAGTATTTTTTCTTTAAATCACTATATTGACAAGACTTAGTCACATTTCTATGAGAGTAACATTATTCTGATACTATATAAGTTTTTGCTAGTGTTATTAAAAAGTTCATACGACAAAGATACTTTTCTTAGAGAAATTCTCTCTGCCTATTACTATAGTGGGTTGTATAATATATTTAATAGGTTAAGTTTGTTTTATACTTGTTAAGGCTTTCATTTAAATTTTGCCACCTTTATTATGTATATTCTATTTAAATAAAAACAAAATTGGTAAAATATTTGATTTTGAAGGATTTTCTAACAAAAAAAAAATACATTGATATTTAATCTGTCGTAAACTTTTTTAATTCCCGCCATTTTAACATTCAATTCTATCATGTCAAAGTATATAATATATACATATGTACACAGTTTAATGCTGGCCTAAAACCTTAAAAGATATTTTTAGCAGCTCCAACGGGACAACAAAACCTAAAACAAAAGAGTTTAAGTAGGTCTTCATGGTTTTTCAAAGTTTATATAATAATGTTGACAAATCAATTGCTTCAATATGGAACTTGACAACTGATCCAAGATAGAATTTTGCTCAACAGTTTTGAGGTCTTATAAAAAATATGTTTTGCGTTTTCCTTAACTTTGTGGTTCTTAATTGGCTATTACTGTTTTTTATTTTTTTCTGCACTTTTTTAAATTCATAAACCTTACATTATAGTATATAATTATTATAATGTGTAATGTGACAATGCAAACGTGAACATACACACTGGTTTTATTTTATACATAGGCCATTCAACATAGTAAATGCTCCACATCTGTACTTGGACTATCTTGGATTTTAATGTCGTAACAGTTTTCTTCTTTTTTCATTATCGTTGTTTGTGTTAAAAATGTTTCTTTTTTAATCCTAACTCTCGAATCGTTTAAAAATCTGCCAATACCAAAGTTTTTATTTGTTGGACGAATGACAATCTTGAGTACTGTGTGGAAACAACACGAAGAAGTTTGTAGGATGAAAAAAAAGGAGTTTATTTAATTATTATTTTTTGAAGAATACGAGTTATATTTTTAGCAGCTTTTAAAGTATGTAAAATATGTAAATAATAATCTAAACATCTTACTATATAGGAAATTTTTAAAGGAACTACTACAGTTTTAAGTTTCTAGATTTAATAAATTAACACACAAACCGGAAAAAAATAACTATAGACCAAAATAAAAAATACCCAGCGCTAATTGGAACGTTCTGTTATTATTTTGATCAACATAAAGTGACAAATTTTATTATTTATCTGTATGTCAAATGATCGATCAAGGTCAATGATTTTCAATTTTGCGTTTTTTATCTTTGTCTTAATGTCATGTTGTCTCATAGTTTCCTAATGAAAAGGTTCTTTTCTTATAATTTAAGTCTTTATATTACATAAAATTACTAGCATATCTTGTTTATAGTTTATACACAGTAATTTACTGTTTAGTATATACAAATTTTCCATTAGCAACCCATCGTTATCTCTTAAAAAATTAGCATATTTAAGATCAATATACCAAAAATATATAAGTATATATATATTTTTTGGTATCTTTCAGATACTTACCATTCGATAGCAAGACAAGTATGTTCAAAGCATTGGTACATACTTTGTATAACATTGCTCATTATTACGTAATTGCTAATGTAGAAAGTTTAGTTAATATAGAAAATAACGATAAACAGGATTTCTTACAATGTCGAATGCCGCCTGTTCAACATTGATCGTACACAAAAGCGTTCTTCAATTTCAAGACATTATTTGAATTAATTAAATCTTCAAACAAAGGAGTAACTTTATACAAATTGAACACATTTCGTCGTAATAAACACGTTAAAACACGAACTACAAAAACTTAAATTGTATACAAAATGACCGCTATTAATAAAATATTCAACGGTGACTGCTTTAGTTATTATGATTGTATCATATCGCATTTCTTCTTTCTTTTTATTAATATTTTTCAAATACATTAGACAATTTGTTCAGATTGCTCCAATGGGTAGCAGTTATTGATCTATACTTACACCATAAGAGCGGTTTTAAACTTACTAATAATTATAGAGAATAATCTATATACATATATAAAAATGAATTGCTGTTCATTAGTCTCCCTAAAACTCGAAAACGGCTGAACGGATTTATCTTAACTTAGTCTTGAAATGTTCGTGGAGGTTCAGGAAAGGTTTAAAAGCTGAAAGAAATTGATTAATTTCCGGGAAAACCCTAAAAATGGCCCTTTTCTATTTCCCATACAAACGGCTTTTTTGACATTAGATTTGACAACTAACTAATATGTCAATCATTCAAGTGAGCGAGAAATTTTCTCACTTTGATTAATTACGTTACGATACCGAGGAGAAGTCTTTAAGGAGGAATAGAGTTCACTCAGTCAGATATACATTACTAATTCTGAAACTAACACAGACGAAGTCGCGGGCAAAAACTAGTCATTAATATAATAGATATGAACCTAAACATATTTGTTTCAAGAAAAAGATCGATTTTAGAAGTACTAGCTAAAGCTAAGTAATCCTTCGATTTTGTATGATAATCGTTTTCGTAAAGAAAGTCCTATCATTTATCTATTCTTATTTTTATAGTTGTGTTAATAAATAACCAATTTCATTGTCTTCCTTAAACCATAATAGTAATAATAATATTGTCATAATTGTAGTGTGATTTACTAAGAATTAAACTATGAGAACATCTTAGTAATGTAATCTCCGTAAACAGTACCTACGAGCTGAAATTTATAATGGAGTATTTTTTTAAATAAATCCCTAATATTGTCTTTTATTATACCAAAAACATATTACAATAATGTGTTAAAAACAAAATGATCAGTAACAACTTGTATTGAAGAACGCACTCTTTTCTTTTTCTTGGGCCTTTTATAAGGCTTATTTAGTAAAAATTTGTGGATGAATGGAATATGTTTTTAATTGTGTTTTCTTTACCTTATCCGCAAAACAATTTTATAATTTGTATTATTTTTGTAACTCGTTAATGTGTTGGAGTTTTGTTCTACTTAAAAAAACTCTTGAATTAAAATTCGTCTATAGTTTTCAAATTGTCTGTTTCGTTTCTAATGAATTTAATTTTGTCATCTAAAAAGTTATAAGTATTTTAAAATTTCGTAATAAACACAAAATTTTGAATTATTTGTCAATGGCGCCCTTTTTAAAAAAGTAAGAGCAAATCTACTCATTTTATTTATATCTTACAAATATTGCTACAAAACTTTGTGAAAAACAATGAATAGTTAAGTACTTACTTTTATATTTTTAATGTTTTAAATAAAAAAAAGTATAATAGAGATATATAACCTCATGTAAAAAACATAATATATTTTTAGTATGCGGCTAAATAATTTACAATACCTAGTTTTAAGCTATAAAAAATTAAAACACCAATTTTTTTTAAAAATTTTTCATGGTATATCTAGCATACTTACTCCTTCAACCACCGTATTAAACCTTTTATGTAAAAACTTTTCACAAATTGGCCAGCTATCTTATCCATGTATAAAGAATATATTAAAAAACTGTAATTTTAAAACAGTAAGCAAAAAGGTTCAACTACATATTAAAATGGATCGATAAATTGATGTATTGAACATAAAATAAATCATTTAATATTAACGCTTTAACGAAAATAATATATTTAACTGAGAGATTTTATTCATAAATAATTCATACTAAAATTTCAAATTAGCAATATGATCGGTTGGGTGTGAAATTAGCTCAGATCAATAAGAACTTGTAAAGGGTGATATATTTAGTTGTTTTGGATAATGTTGCTAGTTGTGAAATATAAAGTTAATATTAACATATATGCCTATATATATGAAATAATATTAATATATTGTGCTAATTCTATATGTTGTTTCTGTGTGTAGAATTTTTTTATTTTGTTTAAGTTTTTTGTTATATCAAAATATATTCTTATATATTATAAACCCATCCGAATATAATGTGAATAAAAGTACATGATAAATATATGCGGTCATATACTCTTTTAAATAAGGAATGATTAATTTAAATGTATGAGGAATCTTGAAGGTAATGTATAGTGAGAAATCGGCAAAAGCTGATTTCGTTAAGTTTATTAAAATATTTAGATGTGTTATAAAATTTTCTAATCAAATGATTATAATATTATTAGAAAGTCGACATTTATAAATAACAATACTGACGTTCTTATACTAAATACAAATATTGATCAAACATTTTTCATCGGGTTTAATACTAAAAGAATCCAAATGGTTAACCAGCTAATAATAATCCTTTTCAAAACTAATATAAATTCAGAAAAAAAAATATTTGTCATACCCGCCCAAAACGACGCTTTTTATTATAAAAAACACGTTTATTTGACTACTAATTATAATATACATTTATACTCATACATAGAATCCAAAGAAACAGTTACATTTCACTGTAACAAAAAAAAAACAGAACTACCTCCTTGTTTACAAATAAAATTGATTTTGTTTATGGTAACATCGCCTTTGACATGTAGTCAATAAAAGTTTCGGAGACTGCGCGTCTGGACGCAGAATGTGATGAGACGTATTATAAGTCTACCGTGCAAGAATTACTGAACGCCAAGGACGTAATATTTGATCAATCGTAGCCGAATACCCGCTTCAATTAAAAACAACAGGAGCTAGATGGACGGATGGAGATCGTGCTCCCGCATTCAAAAGGTTAGTAGAATAAATATCTGAAAACCTAGTAATGAAAAATTAGATCGTACTATGATTCTAGTCTAATACCTAGGATGCAATTTGTCTGTCATTCAAACTAGACAACAAATGTGTTTGTAGTGACAATACATTCTTGTGCATTTGATTTCATAGTATACACAATACACACGAAAGTAAATAATAAATTATTCAGGACGGTAAGTCAAGTCGATTATTTTTCACTAATGAGAATAATTCGTTACCGGGAATTAATGTTTTTCCAATTTTACAATGAATAAATAGGGATATGTTTCTAAATTTCCATATCTTTCTTGTCTGTTTTTGTTATTATATTGGTGTTTTTATTGTGTATCTTTTGTAAATATATCGAATTTAAACAAAGGAATGTGAGACCGATGTCGAAAATAGAATATACCTACAATTTTTTATTATTGAAAAATTAATGAATATTCATAGTGATAAAATAATATAAATTATTTAGAAAATATTTATTAAGCAATTATTATTATTATTATGGATTTGTTGTGTGAACAACAGTCTTGGGATAATTTTTCTGTACGACTATAAAATATTTACAAACTTAATGCAGTTTATGTTTTGACACGAATTTTTAAGAATTTTCCATGTTGAATAAATAAAATATTAATACGAAAATCAAGACTGACGATCATAACATATTTAAGATCGCAAAATAAAATGCTTCTTACAAAATTATTGCGAAGAAAATCCTGTTAAAAATTATTTAATTGTCATAAGTATATTATCCAAACTCCGACTGATTGTCGATTATGTCAAGTTGGACAATAATAAAAATCTGTCTTTTAAACCGTACTCAAAGTAACGGATTACAAATAATAAGTGAACTACAAATTCCTTTGAAGATTTTTCACTATTTATCGTAGTTTTAGATTTAGCTATGCACGACTGTTTATAAAAAATCATAAGGTCAAAGGCACATAATATACAGCATGATATCTTTAATAATTTTGTTTTTAGGACCTAATTCACTGAACATATTAAAGCGTAAGTAATCAAATTTCTAAGATATTAGAATTATTTGCTATATACATATATTACATTTATGCTTTCTTGGTATTCGAACCTGTTTGATATAATCTTAATTAATAATATTCAAAAAGTATATGTAAGTAAATCATTTTTTACTTAAACGAGCGGTATTTTTTCTTGTCCGTAAGAAGTTTCTCAATCCGTAAATAAATAAATTGATTAATCGGATTTGTCGTTTGAGTTAATAATTTCGGAGTTAAAACAAAGTATTTTTCTAACTTTCGGTTCAATTCGTTTTTGTATCAAACTCGCGCCGAGATTGTTGGAGAACTCTTACAAGATATTAAAAAAGGGTCTCAAGCTGTAAGCTTATTTCAGATCATCCATTGAATTAATTGTTTTACGTTAAATAACGAAAGCTGTGAACAAAGGTTTAAATGTTAAATAATAAGCTTATCTTCTGTGTTTAAGTATCTGATTTTAGTTCGGCGTTTTATGTGGATTTTAAAGGACAATAATGAGTCCACGAACTTAAACGCTAGGGAGAGATCAGACTGCCAAGGCCTCGTGACTTTCAATAGTACTGAAACATCAATTCTCCAACAATTTTCAGTTCTTGCAACATTATCATGTAAATTTATTTTACTGAGCAAACCCAAAAATAGTGAGTAACTTCAAACTAGTTTAACGATCAAACTGCGATTCAATTGGTTAGATATATCAATATAGAAAAGGTCTATTTTGTTTAGTCTAACACGTTTAATATTTGTAGTTAATGATGCAAAATAGTTTCCAGTTAAATTTTATTATTTTTTATTTGAAGACACAAGTTGTTGTGTACGGTCGTTGAAAACATTGTTCATAGCCGTTAGATATATAAAGACTAACTTCTTATCCAAACTTTTATATTATCTGTGCATTATTGTGGCTTGTCTTATTAAATTGTCAAAGTCACTACCAATTTGTTTGGCTCTTGACGGGCCTTAATGTCGCGGTTTGCGGCCATTTTCTGAATTGTGAAGTTCTAGTTAAATAAGTTTTATTTTATTTTTATTATGGCGATATATAATTAAAATAGTATTGATATGTAAATAAGACTATAGTTTTAAGTTTTATCCCGTGACTATTAGCAAGAATATTGAATATATTTAAGATTAATCTAAGTTTGAAGTTTTTTGCTTTAAGCTAACTTTTATTGTATATATATATATATTGTTGTATGCGCAAACACGATGTCTAACGTGAGCTATGATCTTGATACATCCGGCGGGCTCATGCCGGTAAACACCCGTCTATCAAATTTATATGTTTTCAGCCACAAAAGTTTGACAAGAGTAATGAGATATTTTTCTTTATTTTTATCTTTTTTAGCTTATAAGAGCACTAATCAAGCCGCCTGATGAAGATTTAAATGCTTCGAAACCTAAGAAACCTCAGCATCCGTACTACAAGCGGCCCGGTAAAGGCCACAACCACGACTCGTGCGATGCGTGTGGTGAAGGTGGCGATTTGATTTGTTGTGATCGTTGCCCGGCAAGCTTCCATCTCGGCTGCTAGTGAGTTGAATTAACTGTACATATAACAAAGTAAAGATTATTTAAAAAACACAACCTTAATATTAACAACCTTAAAGAGAAACCTTAAAGAGCATAGTAGTAATGTAGTATGACTTGCTTTCCTCACTTTTATTGTCTTTATATATTCATAAGTCATTCAGTATCTATGTTCTAGTCTTAGTTTTGATTAACACATTTTTAATATTTGTCATTGATGGATATAACCTTTGGGACACTAATACTCCAATTATTAACATGTGTTATGAATGAACAAATATCCATTTTAGGTCATAGTTCCTAATATTTTCAATATTTGTGTTCTGCGAAATCTATTTAATGATTGTCGCTTCCATAGTTATAGCAATTTATTACTGAATATGTACTATAATATATATATATATATAATATTATTTATGTATGTATTAACACAGTATTTTAGGAGACATTTATTAAAAATGTTCTGCTTTGCAAATGTTTTAAATATATATACAACAATTATTTTATACTTGTATGGATTTGATTAATGATATTCATATTATTGCACAAATATTAAAATGTATTTTGAATTAATTATATTTACACAATAAGTTTAGTTTATAACATTTTACCTCCAACACAAGTATAATTTTTATACTTTTGAACCTATACCTTTACAAAACTATATTCTTTTATGTATATTAATATTCTTAAAATCCATTTTATTATACTCTAAACATATAGCACCAATCTTTGATACTACAGTGTCATATATGTTACTAGTCGTAACTATATACTATATACAAATCAATATATTTCCAGTGATCCGCCACTCGAAGAAGATGATATTCCCGCTGGGTCGTGGTTGTGTCGAGAATGTAAGGCTGGTGATGAGAAGGGTGTCATACGCTCCAATAGAGTTCAGTCACCAACAGATAAGACTGAAGGGGAAAAGAAATCTAGGTATAACCATCTATGCTAATTAATTATTATTATTATTAAGACATTTGGGTATTATGTTAAGGCAGATTATTGAATTTAGTACTGTTTTCTACTGTGTGTTTATTTATAGTCTTGTTGGATTCATATTATATGTATTGTGATTAGTGTAAAATGTAATACTTTTTTAATTTAATGTATAATGAAAATGTTGCTTGTTGTAATGTGAATTTGTATATGTTGGACAAGTCAAAATAAAATCATCATTATAAAATGCCTGTAAAAACATGCAATTCTTGATTAGGTTCCTTATACTCTATGTGTTTTTAAATGTATATCTATATACAATAATCTTTCAGATCACTTCGTAACAGTCGTACAAACTCACTCAATAAAAAGAAAGGCAAAGATGAGATTAAAGAAAAGGAAATTGAAGAAGTAAAAGAAAAAGACAAGGATTCAGAGCCGGGGAAAGAGTTAACACCGATGGAGATACTTGTTAAAGCAGCAAAGGTCATGAACCCTAAACAGTTTGAATTGCCGAGAGAAATGAGGATCCCATGTAATTTTCCCGGCACTGAGAAAGGTATATTGATATTGTATCTAAAAAGCTATCAAATATAAAACAATCTTACATATATATTTGAATTTTAAATGAACCTTGTAATATAATTTTAAAACTACATACCTGTGCTGTTTTGGTTACTTTGAAGCAACATCATTCACATCTCGTCTATGTGATCTCGGTTGCTGAAAAGTAACCATAATGTTGGGATTATGTAGTTAAAATAATTAAAACGAGTAGTAATCCGAATAATATTAGTTTCATTTAAATGAATGTTTGCGAGTCTTAGATCTTATTATATATGTATTTTGTATGTGTATATATATTATGACTATATTTCTATATGTTCATACAGATGGTAAATCATCGAGTGGTATAATAACTGTGGATGCATGGGGTTGTGTGCCGTTACCAGCTAAATCGTGTTTCGTCTGTCGAGGGACCTGCAAGATGGCGCCACTGCTGCAATGTGATTACTGCCCGTTATTATTCCACCAGGTAAAATACTTGTATTGTATTAAAATGAAGCTATCATGGGCTTAGATGTATTGAAAAAGATTTTATAGTTCTCAGGTTCGATTCCTGCTTATGTCGATGATATTTTTAACATATTTTTGTGTACATTAGTAGTAATTAGTTAATTAGATTAATGAGTCATTAGCAAGTTTATTTATTAACTGTTTATACTAATTCAGAGATTCTCAAACTTATTTTGTCTTCTGCCCTCTCTTTAAACCCATTTTTAAGTTACTTCAAACCATTATAACTTATTCTAGCAAATGACATAACCTAAATCACCTTCCAGGCCACTACATAATACCCAAATTTTTTTCAAGGTATCTTACCCCCTCTAAAAGCTTCAGCGCCCTCTATAGAGCGTTGTAACTCACTTTGGGAAACACTGAATTAACTTATTTATTAAAATCTTTCAGGACTGTCTCGATCCTCCATTAACAGCATTACCCACAGGGAGATGGATGTGTCCGAATCACGTTGAACAGTATATAGTGAGTATATAAAGACTTTATTTATTACAAGTATTATGTATATACTGAGAATAACTACATTTATTCTGTGGCTCTGGCTATATCATTATATACATGGTGTGATCTTCTTCTTCTTCTACCTGGCAATTTCCCAGCTAAAGCCAGGGTCTGCCTTACATATTGAAAATAGTTTTGGCTCATTGTTTTTATGACCGGCCGCCTGCCTGACATCAACCCTCTTTGGGAATCAGCATTAATCAATGATGTCTAAATACTCTTAGAAATTACATATGATTCGGAAAAATCACATTGGTACTTGGTATATACATGGTGTTATATGTTATTACAATGTTTAAGGATTGGAAGCTCGTCAGTTCAATATCAGCGACCGAGCGTGCGGCTTTGTGGGATAAATTCAGCGAGCCAGTGGATCAAGACGCCATTAAATGCGCATTCATACGACGAGCGAGGACATACAGACCGGCATTTCGGTGAGATATAGATGTATATTCTATGACTTTAGTGGTTCTATGACGATTTTAAGCCAGTACGGAATGTACTTAAAATTGTGGTTTACTGTTGGTCAATGATTATTGGTCCAACTATGACTTTTAGGCCAGTACGTAATGACAGGACTACAATACTATTGTGGTCAATAGCATTCTACTGGATTGTAATTTGAAATAAATTATCAAGAAAATATTATATTTAATTATTCTGAATTCTCTAGGAATGTGTTTGCTATTTAAGGGTTTGTGCTAAAGTCATATATAATTGTTCCATTCAAGTCACCTTCTATAGTCTTATTTGGTTGTTATTTGCTAATTCTCTCTCTACTAGCAAGTTATGTACATATTTTTCCTCACCCTAAGTGTAATTTTAACATTTCCATGTGTTTTACATACATATATTGATTGTTATTGCTCTATATAACAGTATAAAGGTGCCGTTGTCCAGTCGTGGTAGGGTCGTAGTGCCCAGTATGGTGAGAGCTCACTACAGTAGACCGCCGCCTCTACTGCCATCTAGGAGGGATTATGTACGATGCACTAATGGTAAGATATTATGGAGAAATAACTATGATATATAGATAATATTATTATATATATATATATATATATATATATATATAGGCGGGTATAGAGCAAATCCATGTAACTACATTAGATATTCCGCGCATTTACATTGGAAGCGGATTATCAGAAGATAGTTTAAACTAATTAGTTAATTTAGGTATTTTTTTCTCAATTAGTAATTACTAATTGTGATTTAATTACCTTATAAATAGTTAATATAGAAAATATGTCAGCTCAAACATTCTTTTGATAATCTGCTTTCAACGTAGATACGCGGAATTAGACAGTGGTAGTTAAGCGGATTTGCACTATCCCCGACTATATCTGGAATTGGTTGAAGAAAAAGAAGTTATAATGTGCTCTGGTATATAACTTATTATAGTATAAATATGTATTTAGTTTATCTTTAGAGTATAATCAGTTAAAAAAATCATATATGAGGGAAATAGGCTACTCATACAAAATTTTGTATTTTTTTTAAATGACAGTGATAAGGAACCTAAAAGCCGGCGGCGATTACTGTGACTCTGAAGACGGGGAGCCTTACAAGATATGTATGAACTTGAGCTGCCCACAGTACAGCGGGGGTGAATGCCCTCTGGACTCGCCTAAATTGAAAGGCGCCACTAATGAGGACGCTGACGAGGATCTTAAGGAAATAGAAGACAGTCAGAAGGTGACTAATAGTATAACATAACTAGATTTCATTTTGGACTATAGAATACAGAGACGAAACCTCTTAGCATTCAATGTATTAATCGGGTGTTAGGGCCATCGTTGTAGTGAGAGGAGCTTCAACAGTGACTGGGACTTGTGACCCAGGTGTAGGTTTAAGGGACTCTATCTAACGCGTGTTAAACGCTCACCTCCACCGCACAAGCTCCTCTCTCTACCTATTTATATTGATGAAATATGAAATTGTACTAGTTTTTTGGCTAATTGTTTGTACGACCGCCCGCCTGCCTGACATCAACCCTCTTTTGAAGAATTAATATAAATCAGTGATGTCTAAATACTCTTAGAAAGCACGTATGACTCGGAAAAATCATATTGGTACTTGCCCGGGCCAGGATCGAACCCGCGCCCTCGGCAACGAGAGACGGGTCCTTTAACCACTAGGCCACCACTGACTTAAATATGAAATTGTACTAAGTCATGACTGAATTTGCGAAAAATAAGTTAAAATCTCACTCATATTTTCCAGATTGAAAAGAACAACGCGTCAGACACCAGCGACATTGACTCCGATCTGGAGAAGATTACGGTGAGGAAGCGGAAGGTTTCTTCAGAGGAAGGAGCTAATAAGAGAATGAAACTGGAGAAGTTGCAGCTGAAGGAGGAGGAGGGAGTGAAGGAACTGCTGGACGCTGTTGAGGAACAGCTGGAACAGATCGATGATAGGCTGGTGAAACTGCTGGCCTGGCAGAGATTACAGCAGGTAATGATAACTTGCTACTAACTAGGGTTGTACTGAGAGATTTTCGCAATAAACAATCCTCTTTTTGCACATTTTACTAAAATCTCTTAAGCACCAACCCTTGAAAAGGGGACTTGGTATGTGGCTGAATATTTTGTTACTACTGAATACCAGTTCAGTTCTATCACACTTAAAAAAAAAACCAAATATGTAATTAAATTAGTTCAGTATTTCTAAAATAGTTCGGATATCATACCATGAACGTAAGATTTATCAACATATATATATATATATATATATAGATATATTTATTTATTGTTTGTTATCACTACCAGAAACGTGTTTTCGTAACTGCTAGGAATCTTTTCCTAGATGGAATGGATATCTGTCCTTCTAGAATATTACACAAGTCGAATCATATTAACTATAACCGTAAATAAATAACAGATTTTCTTGATTTTCTTTATAATTCGTCCAAAGTGTTTTTTATATATGTATATAACTTGCCGTCATTTCTCTTTCCTTACTCATAATTCACGTAACCAAGACCTTGAAAGTTCCATATATGAATGTGTCCAGTGAATACATGAAGAATTCATTTAGTGACGTCACTTAAGTTATATACTATAATTCCCCAGATAGCTGCTGGTGAGACGGTGTCCGGTCGCTGGCGTCACTTCCCTCCCCCCGGACAGGTCGGCAGAGCTGCCGTCGCTTTAAGCTCCGCCTCTCGGGCCTCGCTCGCTAAACTAGGTGTCAAGACGGTCCCGCTGCCCTCCGACCTCTTGGCTAGAGAGGACAGGGACCGGATCGCGCGGCTCGTGTGGGGCTCCGCCCCCGCGCCGCCGCCCGCTCCCGCGCCACGCGAACAGCTCGCCAATTCACTGGTCAGGGCGGTTCTGTGTCAGGTGAAGTCGTTAGAGTGAGTATTCGATATATACATATATTTGTTGTATATGTCGTCACCTATGATGTATATATGTATGTATGTGTGTTCAGCGGTGAAGGTAACTCGACGCTGACCTCGACGGTCGCTATGCGCGGATCTTCGCTGGTGGCTGGCGTGGACAGCGTCTGTGACCTGCGGCTGGACCCCGTGTGCTGCAAGGTGTCTGAAATACATGCGAGGATTTTCAGCGACGAGGTGACACACACACACACACACACAGACATAGAGACAGACACACACAGACACAGTGCGTCGTTATAGTGTTATTCGTTATAGGTGACTGGTCACTTCGAGCTGATCAACTACTCTGAGTGGGGCACGCGAGTGAACGGTGTGCTGTACGCTACGGACGTGACGCAGACACGAATAGCTGACGAGGACGATGAGAGGACGGAGGATCTGAGGGAGATTGTGAGGGGGAGGAGGGGGAGGATGACGCGGTACATATATACATATACACTACATATATACAGTTAAATGAATAAAAAATAACGATCAGCTATCGAATATAATGTTCTAAAGCAAGGACATTTATATAAATACTAGCTGCGCCCCGCGGATTTCCGGTATTTCCAGGATGTAAAGTAGCCTATGTCTTATTCCTGGACGTCAGCTTCCTGTACACAAATTTTTATCAAAATCGGTTCAGCCGTTTGAGCGTGAAGAAGTAACAAACATACACTGATACAAACTTTCGCAATTGTAATATTAGTAGGATAATAGTTATCATATCAGGTTGAGTAATCTTTATCAATATTAGCATTTCCGGTCCACTGACGGAGGCAACATCCGGCGGCGGGTGCTCCTGTTCGATGAAGGGCGCAGCGCCCGGCGAGGGCGGCGCCTGGGAGGGCTCGGCGCTATTACCACACGGAGCCCTAATACAGTTCGGATGTCAGATGTATGTGTTCAGTATAACAGATTACAAGACATCATAAATATAATGTATACAATAGAAAAATATTATACAGTGTGCATCAAAAATTGTGTCAAACCCCTTAACTGCGCTATCATTATCGAAAATGGAACATAATCAAACAACTTACTTTTACAAACTCCTCAATAAAAATAATAAAATTAAATATTATTATATGTAGAGTAACCAAATGTTTGTAAGCCATGGTATAACACGATCAGACTAAATGGCGCCATCACACCTGCTGCGCTACTAGTGACGAACTCGAACGTACATTCACATTATTGAAAATATCGATATTTAAAAAATCATAACAATAAATAAATATTTAATATTCATATTATTTCGATACTTATTTTGATATATCAAACATCAATATTATTTTTTATTGTAAAACACCATTTTTAACAGAAATAGATTAACGATTTATCCTGATAATACAACATAGTTAATATACCTGAAGAAGTTCCAAATTATAATATTGATTAATAAAAGTTATTTTAAATGAAATTATTTTAATGTGAAAATCATAACTATTTATAGCAATAATGAAAATATGGATAGAATATTAATCTATATACCTAATTTTTAAACTTGCAAATCTCTATTCGAAAAACTAACAAAATAATAATAATATGTCGCGACTGTACGGCGCCCTAACCTTTTACGGGTCAGATGATTGAAACATTTTTTCAAATAATGTCGATTTAAAATTTATTTAGCCTATGCACTGTAACTGACCTCTGCTTGATATTTTTTAAGTTATACTATTTTTTATAAAAAGCTTATACTTATATGTATACATGCCTTTAAGGGTTGACACAGTTTTTAGAACCCGCTGTATATATAAGGCATGGTTGTTAATATTTAACATTAAGTTACATTAAAAGTGACAATTATTGTAAGACATTGCCTCGTTATAAGTCGGTTGAATCTTTAAGATAATTCAATGTATCAGTGTAAGTTAGTATATATTAGTTTTAGTCAATAACATGTCAACCTATCTAAATGTCGTTTTGGGATGCACTCATTTAAAGATATTGAACTGAAATTGTAATGTTTTATAATGAAAATTAAAAGAATAGATTATCTTTGTATGAATAAATGTAGAAGTGTTACTTTCTCAAGAATTTCCATATAATAGCCACTACAATTATGCAGTATTTTTGAACTTCTTCTACCTGGCAATTTTCCAGCTTTAGCCAGGGTATGTCTTACATGTTGTGAATAGTTTTGGCTAATGGTTTTTACGACCGGCCGCCTGCTTGACATCAACCCTTTTTGGTAATACATTAATCAAAAATCACAACAAAATCCCATTTTTTTTAAAAATCATATTGATCAAAGTGTTTTATTATTTAGAAACCCTAATCAAACAGTTATCTGTAATAATGTTATTATCTTTAACACGTTATTATTACTGCCTAATTTAAAATGAGTTCAAAATATTTCTTCATTTAAGTGCATGTGATTTGAAATATTTTTTGAAAAATCTCATTTAAAATACAACATAATTTACAGGTATATTTATTAAAAACTATTATATACATGAAAATGTAACAATAATTAGTTTTTTAACTCCTTAAGTATTTAAAGCTTGACATGTTATTGCATACCATCCATATATAATAATTGTTCGAGCCATTCAATTCTATTAAGTAGAATCTTCTCTATTAAGTAGAGTCACTGCCTTGGAACTTATACTATGTTTTTATTAATAGTCTTTGGAAGTATTATCAAAAATCTTTGTTCTTGATAATCTTGAATAAGTATTGGCTAATATTAATGTAAGTAATATTTTTATTGCTTACAACTATTAGTGACATGTTAAGTATAGGATAATTGATGTACGAAAATTGTTTTATTTTTGTCTTTGCCTTGGTGCATAAATGTATGTAATAAACGTTTTTGAAATGTACAATTTATTTAATTTTAAATCCCTAACCTAATAATTTTCAGTCATAGTCAATATTCATACTTTTAGTGATAAACTTGTAATTTTGTATATCCTTTATAAAGATTAATCTGTAGGGGTAATTTCTGTATTGTTGAGAATAATGTACTATTGTAATGCTTTCGAAAATATTTGGTTAAAAACATATATCATTCTCATGAGTAGTATATTACACCTTGAACTAAATGGTAATCTTTACTGCAAGAGCAACCCTAATTATTACATTGTACTAGTACTCCAGACAATATATATACAGATTTTTATAATTAAGACACATTCAATACTTGATCTATATAAGTTTCAATCATTATTGTATCATACAATGACTTTGAATTTGAAATATTAAAAAAATGTTTTTAAAGTGTCACAATTGTTGTTAGGTAATTAGTGTGATTTTAAAGAGTAAAAGTCATATTCATATTGATTCTATATTTCTAGTAGAAACACAATATTGGATATTATTTTCTTATCATGCTAAAGCTTCATAATTAGTCGACCTCATCAGGGTCTTGTTCATCAAAGTCTCTTATTTTGACGTCAGCATCCTCTCCGTACTGTATAATATTGTCTATAGTCAAGAGAATGTTGTCTATGCTCTCTTCATTCTTGATATTGAGAGGGTAGAACCTCACTAGACTGAAATTTTCTATCACCTCACCAATAGATTCTGTCAGCTTTGCATATTTCTCGTGCCATTTTGATTTTGCGTTCCTCATGTCTGCCAGTAAAATGTGAGGATCCGGGTCTAAATAACTGGAATTATAGAGATTAATATAATTTCATTAACTTGAATATTAGTTTAACAAGTACAAATATTTATTTTGCTTAAATATCCAATATTTGTATCTCTTGTTATATTATTAAGACATCACACCACTGGCAGTATACACTGTGTTCAATTTTGCAGGACTGAAGGCAACATTTAAAACAAGCAACCATTATAAAATATCAAAATACTGGTTCAATATTCTATTAATTTGTTATATTATGACAAAAGTGTGGATTAGTATTTTTTTATATTAAAAATACTTTGTATACTCACCTGTCAAGTTGTTTCCTCGCAGACTTGCTTAGCAGATCCATTTTGGTTAAAATATTCACATGAGGTAACTCTAAATTTACCATAACACTGAGGGCGGCCATTGTACCTGCATTATAAGCTCAGTTAAATTCATCACTTACATATATAAAGCAAGAAGAGATAATATTGAGAAAACTAAATTAAAATGAAGGAAAAACTTCACTATCATACTATTAAAATAGTTCTCTCATTAATCTTGAGTTTATATTATGCTGTACCTGACAAAAATTTTGCACCGTCAACCATGAATTGTGAATCAATCATGAAGACAACACATATCCTGAAATTCCATCTCTGTAGCGTATCAACCAACTTCCTCATTACTGTTAAATGTGTGTACAGTTCTATCTGTCCCGGACAATCAAACAGTAAGTAATCCTCATCAACATCACCTAGCTGTTCCTCGAGCCAATCAAGATTCTCCAAAAGAGTTCTGCAAAGATAGTAACCAACATTAATTTTATAAATTAAATTTCCTTGCAATATGTTTTAGTTAAAGAGCTTGATATCCTACAAAAAGACTCAATATTAAAAATTAATTATTACAAAATTGTGGGTTGAAAAAATAGTGGTTCTGTTGTGATAAATATGTTAATCAATAAATAAATATTATTTTTTATTATTATATTATATATTCCTAGCCTGGGCAAGTACCAATGAGATTTTTCCAAGTCATATGTATGTACGTTCTAGAGTATTTAGACATCACTGATTAATGCTGATTCAAAAAAGAGGGTTAATGTCAGGCAAGTGGCCAGTCGTAAATACAAATAGCCAAAACTATTCACAACATGTAAGGCAGACCCTGGCTATAGCTGGGAAATTGCCAGGTAGAAGAAGAAATATGTTGATTAATAATATTAACAAGAAGAAATTACATAAAACAATTAATATTTACTCCAAGCAGAACACGAGTCCTCCGTTAGGTCCAAACTTCAACTCCTCGTCTTCCATGGCATCTTCAAGATGTATCAGTTCCCGGATATCAACTAGAGGCTCATAGTCAAAATGCTCAGCGGCCGGATCAAGGTTTACGACTTCTACAATCCGTTTTGTGTCAGTAGCATGTTTAACTATGGTTGAGCAGTATGTGGACTGGAAAATTGATATTTATATATACTTTTCATGGTTATAATATAAGAGAGATGGATACTAGCAAAATATAAACGAAGGATTGATAGTAAATGATAGTATATGAAAATGGTGATTTTGCTTTGACACATCACATATAATGTTAAAGAAATAATCAATTACCTTTCCACTGCCTGCCGGACCCACAACTAACTGAGCGTAACGCATGTTTATCAAAAAAATATTAGGCTTTTCAAGTCTCTATTATTATGGCAAGAGTTATGATTACGTTCTGTTTAATGGAATGCTAAATATATCATAATGGCTACTAACTTAACAAAATCTGTGACTGTAATATTCTAGATAATATTTAAATCTTTAAAATTTAATATGAGAATTCAAAGCTTCAATAGAATAAAATTTTGTCAAATAAAGTCTTGACCACAACAACATCAAACACGTGTGTCATTTTCGGCTTTTATATGTCAAACGTGACATTTAACATTTTTCTTGTTGTTTAAAATTAGTTTAAAAGTTTAATATAACATTGTCTAAAATTCTCAATTTTTAAATAGATAAGTGTATTTTGGTGTTGAATTTAGGGTTTTAATTTAAATTATATTTTAGTTGCAGAATTGGTCAACAGCTTACAAATAGTAATTGGAATGGTGAATCAAAGAGGTAAATATTTTAAATCAATCGTAAAGACGTTCCAATTTTAAAATTAACTTCATGAGTGTCAAACTGTTTCGAACGTATTTTGGCAAATAAATTATCACTTCTCGTAAAATATAAAAATTCTCAAAACTCGAAGGAAATGAGCGCAATTGGAATTGATTTAGGAACGACTTATTCTTGCGTCGGTGTGTGGCAACATGGTAATGTGGATATTATAGCTAACGATCAAGGTAATAGAACAACGCCTTCCTATGTAGCGTTCACTGACACCGAACGCCTCATCGGAGACGCTGCCAAAAACCAGGTCGCTCTGAACCCCGTTAATACAATCTTCGACGCCAAACGTCTCATAGGTAGAAAGTTTGACGATCCTAAGATCCAGCAAGATCTCAAACACTGGCCTTTCAAAGTCATTAACGAGGGTAGTAAACCAAAAATACAAGTAACGTATAAAGGCGAGACGAAACGTTTCGCTCCCGAAGAGATTAGCAGCATGGTTCTGACGAAAATGAAAGAGACGGCCGAGGCATATCTGGGAAGAACAGTCAAAAATGCCGTCATAACAGTCCCAGCTTACTTCAATGACTCTCAGCGCCAAGCGACTAAAGACGCCGGAGCAATCGCTGGCCTCAACGTCCTCCGTATCATCAACGAACCAACTGCAGCCGCCCTTGCTTATGGGCTGGACAAAAATCTGAAAGGGGAAAGAAATGTTCTGATTTTTGATCTAGGCGGCGGTACATTTGATGTCTCAATACTTAACATAGACGAGGGATCGCTATTCGAAGTAAAAGCTACAGCAGGAGACACACATCTAGGTGGCGAAGACTTTGATAATCGTCTAGTAAACTTTTTAGCCGATGAATTTAAACGAAAGCACAAAAAGGATTTGCGTACTAACCCAAAGGCATTGCGTCGTCTTAGAACAGCTGCGGAGCGCGCTAAAAGGACGTTGTCTTCCAGTACTGAAGCAAATATCGAAATCGATGCCTTATTTGAGGGCATTGACTTTTATTCAAGAATTTCCAGAGCGCGCTTTGAAGAACTGAACGCTGATTTGTTCCGCGTAACTTTGGATCCAGTAGAAAAAGCGTTGAAGGATGCAAAGCTTGACAAAAATTCCATTAACGACATCGTTTTGGTTGGGGGCTCTACTCGCATTCCAAAGATACAGAGCCTGTTGCAGAATTTCTTTAACGGCAAAAAGCTCAACTTGTCTATTAATCCCGACGAAGCCGTTGCCTACGGAGCCGCGGTTCAAGCTGCTATATTGAGCGGGGAGCGTCATTCCAAAATTCAAGACGTTTTGTTGGTGGATGTGACGCCGTTGTCTTTGGGTATCGAAACAGCCGGTGGGGTTATGACCAAAATAGTAGAGCGTAATGCGAAGATACCGTGTAAGCATTCCCAAACCTTCACAACATATTCGGATAATCAGCCAGCAGTAACAATTCAAGTTTACGAAGGCGAAAGGGCTATGACGAAAGACAATAATCTCTTAGGAACTTTTGATCTCACCGGAATACCTCCGGCGCCACGGAACGTTCCTCAAATTGATGTGGCATTCGATTTGGACGCCAATGGTATATTAAATGTTTCTGCCAAAGAAAACAGTACGGGCAAGAGCAAGAACATAGTCATCAAAAATGATAAAGGACGCTTATCTCAGGCAGACATAGATCGAATGGTTGCTGATGCTGAGAAGTACAGAGACGAAGATGAGAGGCAGAGAGAACGTGTGGCATCAAGGAATAAACTGGAAACGTATATTTTTGGAATCAAACAAGCGATTGACGAAGCGGGGTCTAAACTAAGCGACGCGGAATGCTCCAAAGCAAGAAGATTATGTGACGATACTCTGCGTTGGCTGGAGAAGAATTCTTTGGCTGAGAAAGACGAATACGAGGACAAGATCAAGGAAGTGTCAGCTGTTTGTGCGCCTATAATGAGGAAGATTCATGGCGCTGGTTCTAAGAAACCACAGGGCGCCAACAATAGCGACGGCCCGCTGATTGAAGAAGTTGATTAAAATGTGTCGATTCCTTTAGAGTATTACGAGATTTTAGTTATTTTTAGTTAGATTAGTTAATAGCAGCACGCGTTTCTTCAAGTAGAATGTGGATAGTTCCGACACGTGATATAAATACGAGGTCGCAATATACATATACATATTATTAGCTCGTATAGTATTCGTCTTTATTTTAGATTTGTTAGGTGCTCCTTAATAATTATATTCGATTTAATGACAACGTTATTGGATTATATTTTAATAAATTCTCAGCAGAAACTGTATATTGTTGTTTTAAGTCTTTTTTATACTCCTGATTCGAAAGCTTTGATATCTTCTCTGTACCCCCTTGAATCATTATCTAATAATAATGCTCGTAAATGTAAATGAAACATTTTTAAATGAAACAAACATCGATTAGCAATTTCTTTATTTTTAATTTAATAACTTTAGAAATTGTTCAGAAAGAGGACAATGTTCGTCATTACTCATTAGCGTCGTTACAATTAATATTATGATATGAACATTAATAATTACCCTATCATTTATATCTATGTTTATAATATGGGTGATACGTAATATGTTCTTCACCAATTAGCTACGGTGCGTATGTACAATATTATTTACTAATATCAACATAACAGGTATACAAGAGATCGTTTAATATCTAATGCAGCATTAAACATCGGTTATCCAAAATGAAAATAAACATTACATCAAACTATATGTGATTATTTTAAAAATTATAATATCAAGAAATATTTAACAGCTAATTTATTTTATTACTATATATGTATACCACTTCTCTTCTCTTCTCTTAAACACTCCTTATGTCTCTTCGATGGCTCACGAAGCTATCCCAGTGGTTATATTTTAACAGTATTGTAAACATTTTTTTTTTACAAAGCAGAGAGAAACCATAAAAGCCTATAAGTACTTCTCCAAATTATAATCAATAATTCTAAAAACATTTAATCTGTTAAAAAACTGTCAAACAGCCTAAAGTATTGACTATTACACACTAATTCTTAAAATTTAAGTTATATTTTTATTTTTTATTATTTTATATAACATCGATATGTATGGAGTTTGGTTAATACTTAAACTGAATAATCGAATAATTCATTCATTTATTGTTGTTTTTTCATTTCTTTTTTTAATGGTGACGGTTCATTTACTTTAATTTTCAAATTACTTTATCATTATAATTATAATTATCTAATGCTACTTTATAGTAATAATTCAACAATTTAGAACTTCAATATCTCGTTTTATGAATGTTTCCATGCTGTATGCATGTTGAAGGGTCTGTCTGTCTGTGTATGTACGTATATTGTACTACTTATCTAAGTACGTTCTTCATTGATGTCACTTTTATTATTTACATCAAATAATATAAATAACTATGTACATCATGATGCAAGGAGTGCGGTTCCATTAAATATACAACATTTATCACCTAATTATATATCGAAAGAAATCGAGGAGAACAGAAGAAGAAATAAATAAATAAAACAACCAAAAAAAATAAAAAAAAGAAGAAAATAATTTTAAAAGCAAAATTTATTGCTAAAAAATAAAATAAAAACTATAACCATCAGCAATACATTAGTTGCTTAAATTGTAGAAATATTATATTTCCGTCTAGTTTTTGTACCTTTTCTAAAAATATAAAAAAAAACATTACAACTCTTTTATTCTAGAAACGATACTAGTGTTCGCATGCGTGTGGACTGATCCCGTACGTCGAGACATTAAAATAATATATAATAAAAACATAGGATAATTATTACATATAATAAAATGTATAATTTAAATGTAGACTCGTTTAAACCAATCATAATATTTTAAACCTCACCGGTTACTATAAACATAATAATACTTTCAACTGGGGTTTAGTTAGACCATAGCTTAAATTTACATCTGATTGCACTTCAAATTTTAACAATAATTGAACCTCTACCCCTAACGCAGATAGCATTCATATATGTACTATGTTACATACGACGAACGTTCGCTACCCTACATACATATGTACAGCCCCGGCGCGACCGCTACTTCGATACATATTTGGTATATTTATTTACAACAATCATATCGAACAAAATCTATAAGTAACTTAAACAATACTCAGATATTTGTACCTAGTCACGGTACGACGTGTATAAAAAATTAAAGCAAAATGCAAACTTTTGTATCGCAAACGACGCCGACGACGGCTCCAACGATATATACAGAGTCTTTGGCCTTACATCGAACAACAAGAACACATCGAGACGAACGACCAGCGTGGTGACGTCATACGGAACGTTCACGATCACGACACGATCACGAGCACGACACGCGTCGTGAACTAGCACTGATGTCGACACAGCGATGGCTTAATACTCCCACCGGTCGTCCTCCGCCTCCGTCTTGATCTTGTCCTCGGGTAGCACGTCGGGGGAAGGCGTGCGGGGCGCGCGGGGGCTGCGGGGCGGCGGGGGCGAGGGCTCGCGGGGCGCGGGGGAGGGTTCCACCCTCACGGTCTCCGCGGCCTCGCGCCGGTAGTCGTCGGCTCGCATCACACACACACCGTTGATGATGACCTCGTCAGGGTTGCGCGGCTTCTCGTCCTGCCAGTCAGGGTTGACCCACTGCGGCGCGGCGGGCTTGCGGCGGCTGGACCGGCCCGCGGGCGTGGACGCCGCCTTGGGCTCGGTCTTGGAGTCGTCGTCCAGTGAGTCCTCGGAGCCGAGGTTGCTCTCGACGTCGTCCTCCTCGAAGTCGTCTCCGTCGGGGTCACGCTTCAGCGGCATCGAGAGGTCCAGACCGGCGGCGGGGTCCTTGACGCGCTCGTCGGTCGGCAGCAGGCCGCGCCCGATGAGGGCCGCGAAATTGGAGTTGGCGGCGAAGTAGGGCGGGTAGGGCAGGGGAACCCCCGCCAGGCCCATCCTCTCCTTCTGCAGCTCCAGCAGCCTCTGGTTGAGCAGGAGACGGAACTGTACGGGGTCGAAGGGAGCGGAGGCCTGATCTCGTGCCGGAGGTTCCGCGGGCAGGCCGTGCGGCGCCTGCTGCTTCAGTCTCATGCGGTGGTTGTGGAACCAGTTGGTGATGGTCCTAGTGGACAGGCCCAGCTCGGCCGCGAGGAATTCTATCGTCGGCATGTTCGGGTAGGGATCCAAAGCGAAGGCTAGTCTCAACGCTTCCTTCTGTTCCTCTGAGAACAGTACGCGTTGCTTCTTGGCGGACGGCGCGCCGGGTATCGGCCCGGGCGAGCTGGAGTGGTAAAACTCCGACGTATCATTGGATGAAGTGTCCGAGGAGTTGTCCTGACCGGGTCCGCTCGACCGCCGTCTCTTGTTAGCTTCGCGTCTCTCGTTCTTCAACGCTTGGAGACGATCTATGTTATGTGCATCGCTGAGCCACAGCTGCATTCTGATGAAGGGCTCCCGTCCTTTGATACTCAACATGTGCCAGGGTTTCGGTTTCGATAGGAGTTCACTGACCGATCCCTGGGAGAGTCCCAGCACGGCCTCACCGAATATTTTCTGTCCGATGTTATTGGCAAGAAGTGCTTCCTTTATCTTGGTCGTGATCGTCTGTGTGTCGAGGTCTTGTGTCAGAGCTGCCATCTCGTACACGCTGGGTGACATGTGCTGGTGAAGGCCTCGCATCACTGGTGGTTGGTGATGAGGTTGAGGAGGTGGCGGTGGCTTCCTCTCCTTGTTGTTGTTGTCGTGATGCTGAGGCGGCAGTGTGACCGCGTGGTGTGGCGGGAAGCCGGGCGGAGTCAACAGGAGAGGGGTCGGTTGCCCCAAATGTCCTAAGTGACCAGATCCTAGAAGTTGTTCCTGTTGCATCTTGCTAAGGAGTACCGTGGCATCTGAGATCATCTTCTGTGTTGGTGGCATCGGCTTGTTCATATTTGGCGGACATGCTGTAAAGAAGACGAAGATATTTATAAACTGAGTTCCTAGTACATTATATAAAGGGATCAAGACAACTGTTACAATATTATCTACTTACAAGGTGCTCCGCTATAGTTCCCTGTTCTCATCAGCTTCTCTGGGGCGATTTTGTATTGAGACGCAACCAATTTGTGCACTGCGTTTTCATCCTCCAAGAACATTTTCATTCGAATGAACGGTTCTCTTCCCTTTTGTGTCAACATATGCCACGGTTTCGGTCTCGCGAGCAGGTCGCTGACGGATCCTTGAGACAGACCGAGCACGGACTCACCGAACAATCTCTGGCTTATGGAATACTGGCTGAGAGCCTCTTTAACTCTCTTGACGATTTCCTCCGTATTCAAGTTATTGAACAGATCGAACTGTTGCTGAGTTATTGGTGGCAGGACCGCCTTCATCGACCTCTGTGGTGGCGCGTGGTGCGGCGGGTTCGGGGGTTGGGATATCAAACTATTCGTTATGGAAGCCATTCGTTGTAACGGACTCGCTGCGGCCGAGTTACTGAAGTCTTCATTCGGTGTGATGGCGGGAGGAAGAATAGCATTCCCCAGTGGGCTGGACGCCGAGGAGCCGGTGGATTGCTGTCCCGGTTCTAATTTCGGTCTAACTAATGAGAAAGCGCTTCCCGCGTGTCTGATGGCCTCTTCGGCGTCCATGGACCTTTCCTTATCACTATCAGTCATTCCATTAATTTTGGTATTTTTGTCTTTGGGCAGAGAGAGATCTTGGATTGCCCCGGAGCCGTTGATATGCTGGCTCTGCGCTTGCATGGCTTGCTGCTGAAGAGCCAGTAGATTGGGGAAGGGCGGCATCCCTGGCAAGTTGTGAAGGGTCGGAATGTTACCGCCCGGTTGTATTTTGGCTAGTTCCCTGTGATACGCTTCCAGCGCCATTCTAATGTCTTCTGGAGGGCGCTCCATGTGCGGGGCCATGCCGCTGCTGAAAAATGGTGGAAACATGCTACACGTTAGTTTTAGATTTGCTGCTCTCGATTGAAATATAAAATTTATACAAAATAATTGTTTCTATCCCAGCGTAAAGTATTGCTAGTCAAATTCTTACCCAGGGAAGCCATCTCTGTTATGACGCATGTCTTCCACTCGTCTCGTCATTATTTTCGCCAGCTCTTCC